AGGCTTTCAAAGCAAGTGTTGAAAAGGAGATTGGAACCTTCATCACTTGCCTGAGGATAGACCGCGGAGGGGAATTCACGTCCAATGAATTCGGAGAGTTTTTGTAAAACTCATGGTATCACCCGACAATTGACGGCTGCATTTATGCCACAACAGAACGGAGTGACAGAGAGGAAGAATAGAACGATAATGAATGCGGTACGATCCATGCTGAGTGAGAGGCAAGTCCCAAAGGAGTTTTGGTCTGAAGCTACAAGATGGAGTGTGCACATCCAGAATCGATCTCCAACAGCAGCCGTAGAAGACATGACACCGGAAGAAGCTTGGAGCGGTTCAAAACCTGAGGTGGAGTATTTTCGTGTCTTTGGGTGCATAGCATATGCGCATATACCTGATCAGAAGAGGAGAAAACTAGATGACAAAAGCAAGAAATGTGTTTTTCTCAAAGTCAGTGAGGAATCGAAAGCATGGAGGCTGTATGATCCGGTTATGAAAACGATCGTGATAAGCAAAGATGTAGTGTTTGATGAAGAGAAAAGCTGGGATTGGAATCAAACCGGTTTAAAAGAGAAAATACTCGACTGTGGAGAAGAACAGAATACAGAAGAGAGAAAAGGTGACATGGCTTGTTCTCCATCAACTACAAATTCGTCGCCTTCTGGTTCATCTTCGTCTTCCGCATCTGGTGGCAATTCGACACCGCCAAGCCCAGTCTCTTCATCATCTTCATCAAGATCGATTGAAAGAGAAGTGGTTGTAGGCCCGCGGGTAAGGAGAACACCAGGTTATTTGGCTGATTATGTCACGGGTGAAGGAGAAGATGAGGAAGAAAGCTTATCAGCCATGCTATTGATGATGATGACAGAAAACGATCCAGTCAAATTCGAAGAAGCAGTGAAAAACAAGGTGTGGAGAGAAGCAATGAGAAACGAGATCGAATCGATCGAGAAAAATAACACATGGGAGCTAATTACCTTACCTGCAGGTTTTACACCAATTGGAGTGAAATGGGTATATAAAACAAAACTTAATGAAGATGGTAAAGTCGACAAATACAAGGCGAGGTTGGTGGCAAAGGGATATGCTCAGTGTTATGGCATAGACTATACCGAAGTCTTTGCTCCGGTGGCGAGGCTCGATACGATTCGAACTATACTTGCGGTTGCAGCACAATCAAATTGGGAAATCTTTCAATTAGATGTCAAGAGTGCCTTTTTACATGGGGACCTAAAAGATAATGTGTATGTGCGACAATCAGAGGGATTCATAAAGAAAGGAGAAGAGGAGAAAGTGTACAAGCTGAGGAAGGCATTGTATGGACTCAAACAAGCTCCAAGAGCTTGGTACAGCCGTATTGAAGGACATTTCTTGGATGAGGAGTTTGAGAGGTGTCCGAGCGAGCATACTCTATTTACCAAGACGAAAGGAGGTAAGATTCTCATTGTCAGCTTGTATGTTGATGACTTAATATTCACTGGAAATGATAGAGCTATGTGTGATGAGTTTAAGAAGTCGATGATGATGGAATTTGAGATGTCAGATCTGGGAAAAATGAAACATTTTCTTGGGGTAGAGGTGAAGTAGAGTGTTAATGGTTTTTTTATTTGTCAAAAACGGTATGCTCGTGAAGTTTTAGCAAGGTTTGGAATGGAAGAAAGCAATGCTGTTAAAAATCCAATTGTGCCGGGAACGAAGCTCACAAAAGATGAGAATGGCGAGAAGGTGGAAGCAACTATGTTCAAGCAATTGGTTGGGAGTCTTATGTATCTAACAGTGACCAGGCCGGATTTAATGTATGGAGTATGTCTCATAAGTCGATTCATGGCAAATCCAAGGATGTCACATTGGCTTGCTGCGAAGAGGATCTTAAGATACTTAAAAGGTATAATTGAACTTGGAATCTTTTACAGGAGAAGTGAAAGCAGCAGTATGAGACTTATGGCATTCACGGATAGCGACTACGCCGGCGATCTGGATGACCGGAGAAGCACAACAGGATGTGTGTTTTTGATAGGGTCCGGTGCAATTTCTTGGGCATCGAAAAAGCAACCTGTTGTTGCCCTTTCCACCACTGAGGCCGAATATATTGCCGCTGCCTTTTGTGTTTGTCAATGTGTGTGGATTAGAAGGATCTTAGAGAAGATTGGAGCAAAAGAAGAGTTTGCAACTGTCATTCATTGTGACAATAGTTCGACAATTGCTTTGTCCAAACATCCAGTCCTTCACGGGAAAAGTAAGCATATCGAAGTAAGGTTTCATTATCTTAGAGAGCTGGTGAATGGCGAAACTGTTAAGCTGGAGTATTGTGCAACAAAAAACCAAGTTGCGGATATCTTTACGAAGCCGTTGAAGCTGGAGCAGTTCGAGAAGCTGAGAGCATTACTTGGAATTGTTAACTTGTCTGAAGTAAGCTTAATTAAGGAAAGTTAAGCTTGAGGGAAGGTATGTTGGAGTTTGAACTTGTCTTAGTTGAATAAGTCATCTACGATTACGTAGTGGAGTCTGTTTCCTAGTTCTTAGCTATAGTGGAGTCTGTTTCCTAGTTTTTAGCTTACTTCTGCTATTTCTTTGTTTCTCTTGTAAGGCTATACAATGTCTTTGTTTTCTTTAATAAAACATCACTTTCAACCTCATATTCCACAGGGAAAACAATTGTCCCTCTCCCATGGTGTTGCAAATCACAAACCATCCTTTTAACGAAAACATGGTAAATTTTTATTAAAAAATATTTTTAAATTTTTTTTGAAATAGCGTAATTAGTACTATTAGAATATTTGTTAAAAAATTTAACTATAAATTCTTTTATTGAAAAATGTAAAAAATAATAATTTTTAATTTAATTTAACACGATTTAAAAATTATTATTTATTAATTTCTTAAAATAATTAAATTTGTTAATATACTTAGTTTAGAGAATGGGGTGCGTGTGAAATGATAAATAACAACAATAAAGTTTGCCTGTTTTTCTGTGTTCTTTTTCGTGGGTCGTTACTATTTCCTGGAATATTGAAAGAAAATACAAGGATCAGGATATATATATATATATATATATATATATATATATATATATATATATATATATATATTTCACATAACACATTATATTGAAATTGATTGCTCAAGGGATATAAATCTCAACTCATGCTATAATTATAACTAATAATAAAAATTCTCATAATTAGTCCACTTTAATGAAAGCACTCATTTTATGATAAAAAAAAATCTAAATTTAAATTTAAAAATTAAAATTAATATCTAAACTCAAAATTTAAAATATCAAAGTTTTAAACTAAATTTTAAAATTCATTTATTCTTTATTCATTTTAACAATTTATGTTTATGATTTGATTTATTTTAACTAAATTACATTGTCATCATTTTTTACAATTAAATCAAGAGAAATTAAGTTAGTTTAAAGAATAAAATAACAATTTAAATAAAAATAAGTTAAAATTTTATATATAAAATAATAATTTATCATATTAATGAATAATTTTTCATAAAATACAAAATTAATTAACTCAATTATTGATTTGAAAGTTTTCAATAAATATTTTAAATATATAAAATTTTATATGAAAATAAAATTAATCAGTACTTTATTATATTACTTTATTTTAATATGTAATATGTTTTTAAAATATAATTAAACATTAAAATATAGATAATATACTTATAAATATTTAAATTATTTAAAATTTAATATATATAATTAAAAAATAAAATGATTCAATGATTGGATCAATTAATATTATATTTAATTTAATAATTAATCAAAATATAATGAAGTTATAATATTTTATTAATTTTTATATAAAAATATAAACTATTCAAATAAAAATATAAAATAAAATATAGTAAAAGTTTTGATTTTGGAGTGAAAAGACTTAATTTAAGTATTTAAAAAATTTAAAAAACTAAATGTAAGTAATTAAAATTAAAAAGATCAAAATCACTCATATATATATATATATATATATAACTTGCACACCAAAGAAATACAAAAGTTTTCATTTTAACTTAATTTATATTTCTAAACACTATATTTCAATTAACGTATTAAAAATTTTAAAATATTTTATTAGTTAAAATGAGAGGTCCCGAAGTATGAAATTAATTATCATTCTCATCAAATTTCAAAATTTAAAAGAACTTTTTTTTTTCTTTCCTTTTCTTTTAATAATCGTTGACTGAAATAGGATATTGAATTAGGTTGTTTTTCAAGATTCACTTTTGCTTCAATTACAAAGTTTCTATATTTTGATAATAAATTGATCAAATTTATTTGGGACTTTTATTCACTAATAACATATGACTTTGCTTCTAACATTTTGTTAGATTTAATGGCCTATACATGAAAAAATTAGATGAATCAATGATGATCTAAATTTAAAATGTATTATTAATAAGATTTAAAGTGTTATAATAAAAGGACTAAATTAAAATAAAACTTAGATGATCAAATTAAAAATGAAAACAAAAAAAATATATATTGACGAAAAATTTGAATTTTATTTTATTTTTTGCCTATATATAACTATTAACTAACACACAAGTTTCATGGCGTCTTCTTCTTTTATTGGTGACAGTTTCACGGCATCTTACTTACTCTTTAGCCACTTCCACCCAAATAACGTGGCCTTTAGTGGAGGATGATCTATACTGTTTATATATCATTTCTATCTTCTTATTGATTATATTACTCTTGTAGGTAATTATTTATTATATTTTTAATGCATGTTAAATGATACATAATAATAAATAATAAATTTTTTAAAATTATAATATTTAATACTATCTCAATGAAAAATAGAAAATATTTGGATGAAAAAATATATGAGTTGTACAAATACATAAAAGCTATTTTCCTTTTCCTATATAAACAAACAGAGACACCCCAAGACTCGAGGAGTTATGAAAACATTGTTCTCACTCATCCCTCTCTGTTTTAGTGCAAATCAGAACGATTTGCCTCCGACATAGGTAAAAAGAGTGAAATAATGGATAAGCTTCGAAAGTGCAAAGCCAATACTACCCCTCTCACTCCTCTATCTTTCTTGACCAGAGCAGCCAAATGCTATGCCAATGGAACCTCTATCATCCATGAAGCAACCCGTTTCACTTGGCACCAAACTTATGAGCGTTGCTGCAGCCTTGCCTTCTCCTTACGCGCCCTCAATATTGCTAGGAATGATGTTGTAAGTGTAACAATTTCTATACCTTTATTCGATAATGGTGCTTAAATATCTCTCTTCAGTTTAAACAAAGCCAAAGTTATGAAAATCATCTCTCTGTGGAACAATAAGCTTTATACATGTTCTACCAAAAAAATCATGAGAAACTCGAAAGATATCAGTGCTGATTTCTTACTGTGTGATCGGAAACCTTCTTTATCATCCTGCATGCATAGAGAATGATTAAGCACTTTAACAACAATCATATTTTATTTCATTAGGTGATAAAAGAGTAAAAATTTAGAAATATTCTTAATTAAAAAAATTCTTGAAATAACTTTTTTAAAGGTTTTTTAGTCCATTTCTATTATTTTTTTATTTGATTAAAAAATTTAAATCTGTACGTAAGTTTTACTATAAGACAAAACTTAAAAAATTACATTAAAAGGTAAATTGTAATAATATTAAGTAAGAATCTTTTATTCAAGTGAAACAGCACAAAAAAATCACACTTAAATTTTGTCCTTTGTTATATCTTCTTATATATCCTTTAATGATTTTCTTATTTTGTAAAATAAATTTTGAATAGAAAGTATATATTTATTATCTTAAATATTAAAAAATATTAAATATTTTTTAAAAATATTAAATATTTTTTAAAAATATTTAATATTTTTATCTAATAATTAACTAAAAGATTTTAATAAGACTAAGTGTAAGAGTATTCAGAATTATTCTTCAATAATGCTGACAGCTGGTTTTTGGTTGCTAAGGTATCAGTGCTGGCCCCAAACATTCCGGCAATGTATGAGATGCATTTTGCAGTGCCTATGGCTGGAGCAGTGCTGAACACCATAAACACTCGCTTAGACGCCAGAAACATAGCCACCATTCTAAGCCGCTCTGAAGCCAAGTCCTTGTTTGTGGACTACGAGTATGTCCCCAAGGCAAAAGAAGCCTTGAAGTTACTAATGGGCCAGCAACTCCAACAAGGCCCAACCCAAAAGCCCATTTCTCCTCTTCCACTGCTGATTCTCATTGATGACATAAACTCACCAACAGGCATCAAACTCAGCGAGTTAGAATACGAGGAAATGGTCCATAAAGGTGACCCAAAATTCATTCCAGAAGAAATCCACGATGAGTGGTCCTCAATCACTTTGAATTACACTTCAGGAACAACCTCAGCACCCAAAGGAGTTGTTTACAGCCACATAGGTGCGTACCTTAGTGCCCTTGGCCTAATATTAGGTTGGGTATTCAGAGGCGCGTAACTTAGTGCCCTTAGCCTAATATTAGGTTGGGGTATGAATATCCAACCAATTTACCTTTGGACACTGTTATTGATAAATGATCAGCAATAATAATTTGTTTATTGATAAATGATCAGCAATAATAATTTGTTATTAACGTATTTTTGAATTAGTCATAATCTTATCATATTAGGTTGTTAAAGAGATATTTCAGGAACTATTGTTAGCATATATCTCTTCCTATTATGTAGTGCTCATCTTGTATATATACTACATTCACATACATAATAAAAATCAACCAATTCATCTATATGGTATTAGATATCTCTTCTTGATCCTACCTCTCCCACCTCTTTCAAATTTCTTTTACGTTCCAGGGCGTCGTTCCCTCTCTTCACGCATGGCTGCGGAATCAAATCTAACCTTCCCTAACCCCCATGAACCCACAAAGTCCTTCTCCTTTGTTACTTTATCAGGTGTCGTCAAGCTAACACAATTTAACTATCTCAATTGACAATTACAAATAGAAGCAATTCTAGATGGCCTTAACCTTTACAAATTCCTCGACGATTCTCATCCAGCACCGACAGCCTTCATCGACAACACTGATACCCCACCTGTCAGTCAAGCCAACCCCGCGTATCTTACCTGGAAACGCCAAGATCGTCTCATCTATGGCGCTCTTCTTAGCACCCTCTCGGATTCCGTTGCCTTGCTGGTTACCCAGACCAAAACCTCCGCTGCTCTCTGGTTGACTCTCAAGGGCACTTTTGCACATGCCTCTCGTGGACACGTCAAGCAACTCAAGGATCGTTTACGCTCCACGGTAAAAGGCACACTTTCTGTTACAGAATTCATGAACAACATCAAAATAGTTGTTGATTTACTTGCTTCCATCAGTCACTCCGTTTCCATCGAGGACGTTACTGATCACGTTCTTCGTGGTCTTGATGAAAGCTTGAAGCCTGTCATTGATGGCGTCAATGCCCGAGATAACCCCATTGCTTTTGATGAACTCCATGAGAAGCTCATCCAACATGAACTTCACCTAAAAACCACTCACCAACTGACCATAGGTCCCACAACAACACTCACTGCTCAGGCTAAACCCAACAAAGCCAAACTGAGGCCATTTACACAGTCACAGCCATGGTCGTCTCCTCCACCAAATGCTTCTTGGTCTGTGCCGCCGCAGCAACAGTCCACCTCTCGTTCAGCAGGACCACGACCCTACTAAGGAAAATGTCAATGGTGCAAAAATGTTGGACATTCGTTGCCGTAGTGCCCAGTTTTCTGTCAACTCCATCCCACCATTCAGGTCCCGCAGAACCCACCTCGTCAGCCCAATCACTACATTGTCCCACGGGCAAACACCATGACCACCGGCCCTTCCAATCATCATTACCTGGTTGATGGTGGAGCCACACATCATGTCACTACTGACCTAAACAATCTTGCTGTCTACCACCCCTACACTGGTTCCGACTCGCTATTTATGGGTGACGGTTCAGGTTTGCACATTTCTCATTCCAGCACTCTTAAGCTTCATGATATCTCATTGCCTAATGCCCTATGTGTCCCTTCTATGAAACAAAATGTACTTTCTGTTTCCAAACTAACCAAAGAAACCAATTCTGCCCTTGTTTTCTTACTTGACTCTTTTGTTATGAAGGATCTCCAAACCGGCCACACGAAGCTTAAAGGACCATGTGTTAATGACGTCTACGTTTGGCCATCGTCCTCTCCGTCTGTCAATCATCTTCAACTAAATAAATCAGTAGGTTGGCACCACAAGTTGGGCCATCCCTCCTCTTCAATTTTCAGTTTTCTTCAACGTGAATTTTCCTTAGGTTCTATGCAGTTTAACCAATCAAATTGCTCATCTTGTCAAATAAGTAAAAGTCACAAACTTTCTTTTCATGAATCTTCACTTTTGTCGTCATTTCCATTAGAAATAATATTTTCAGATGTATGGACTTCTCCCATTTTATCTAATGATGGCCTCAAATATTATTGTATGTTTGTTGATCACTTTACTCGCTATATTTGGCTCTATCCAATGCGCAAGAAATCTGATGTTCAATCAATTTTTCCTAAATTTAAATCTCTTGTTGAAAATTACTTCAAACACAATATAAAAATTCTTTACACCGATAATGGCAGAGAGTACATTGGCTTACGTTCATTCTTGTGTGATCATGGTATAAGCCACAAAACAACACCACCCCATACCCCTGAACATAATGGCATTGCTGAGAGACAAAACTGTCATATTGCTGAAACTGGTCTTTCTCTCTTAACACACTTTGGTGTACTACTTAAATATTGGCCCTATGCAATGACAACTGCTACATATCTCATAAATCGCCTCCCTACACCCATACTTGCATATAAATCACCGTTTTCCAAACTCTTAAACACCACCCCAAATTATCATAAGCTTAAGAGTTTTGGATGTTTGTGCTTTCCTTGGCTTAAACCATATGCTAATCATAAGCTTGCTGCAAGATCTACCATGTGTGTTTTTGTAGGTTATGTAGTTGATCAAAATGCCTACCATTGTCTTGATCCCTCAACGGGACGCATCTACGTGTCACGCCATGTTAGGTTTGTTGAAACTACCTTCCCTTTCTCCACCATGTCCATCCAACCCTCACTGCCCACACCTGTCTCCACACGGACTGACCTCACTATCCTCATAACCCACAATTCCCTCCCTATAATACCGGCTCAATCCACAACCATATCGTCCAGCTCCAACTCAAATCCACCCCAATCTCCTAACCTATCCCATACTACAGTCCCATCTCCATCTTCCCTAGCACCCCCTCAGGTTTCTCACCCACAGCCACCTATACCTACGGGTATAGTAATCAGATCCAGAAACAATATAACCAAACTCATATCCAAACTTAACCTACACCTCACCACCAAACAACCAACCGAACCTTCCACCATCACCCAAGCTCTTCGGGATCCTGACTGGCGGGCTGCCATGCAAACGGAGTATGATGCCCTTTGCAAAAATAATACTTGGGACCTTGTTCCTTCATCTATTGGTCAGAACATTGTTGGTTGCAAATGAATTTTTCGCATCAAACGTCTTCTTGATGGTTCAATTGATCGGTATAAAGCTCGCCTAGTAGCAAAAGGATTTCACCAATGCCCTGGCCGGGATTTCAGTGACACATTTAGTCCTGTTATCAAGCCTGTGACGGTCCGGGTTATTCTCACACTTGCTGTAAATCGTGGTTGGTCTCTTCGACAACTCGACATTAACAATGCTTTCTTACAGGGTTCTCTTTCTGAGGAAGTCTTCCTAAGTCAGCCACCAGGGTTTGTTGATACAGCTCATCCTACTCATGTTTGCTGTCTCCGCAAAGCTTTGTATGGTCTTAAACAGGCACCACATGCCTGGTATAATGAGCTTCGCACATTTTTATTATCCTTAGGATTTATGAACTCATTTGCTGATGCCTCATTATTCATTTTTTGATATAGAATAACCACATTATACTTGTTAGTCTATGTTGATGATATTATTGTCACAGGCAGCTCCCCTGATGCAGTATCTACACTCATTTCTCGGCTTGCCGCTAAATTCTCCTTGAAGGATCTGGGCACCCTGAATTATTTCCTTGGTGTTGAGGTCTTGGCGTCTCCTGATGGCTTGTTCCTCACACAACGAAAATATGTCCAGGACTTGCTTATTCAGGCTGGTATGGCTGACACCAAACCTACCTCAACTTTGTGCATCAGTTCCTCTTGTCCGTGCCAGTGGCACCCTATTATCTTCACCTACTGAATACCATCAACTTGTGGGGAGTCTTTAGTATCTCAGTATCACCAGACCGGATGTTGCCTTTGCTACAAATAAATTATCTCAATTTATGCAAGCTCTGACGACGGCCCATTGGTCTGCTCTCAAGCGACTCCTTCATTATCTGGCTGAGACGTCCACTCATGGCATTCATATATCTGCCTCCTCTCCCTTGATTTTTCATGCATACTTTGACGCTGACTGGGCAGGTGATACGGACGATTATGTGTCGACCACAGGCTATATTCTTTATCTTGGTGGCACTCCAATCTCCTAGAGTTCACGCAAGCAACGGTCGGTAGCACGATCATCCACCGAATCTGAGTACAAGGCACTTACAGACACTGCCGCTGAAATGTTATGGGTGATCTCCCTCTTTGGGAAACTTGGACACACTATCAACACTTAACCGGTCATCTATTGTGACAATGTAGGTGCCATAAGTCTCAGTGCAAATCCAGTTTTTCACTCTCGTATGAAACATATTGCCCTTGCTTATCACTTTGTTAGAGAACAAGTCCAGAAGGGTACCTTTCGTGTCTCCTATGTCTCCACAGAAGATCAACTGGCTGATGTTCTAACCAAACCGTTACAACACACAAAGTTCGACTATCTAATGTCCAAGTTGCATCTACTCTACCGATCGTCCAACTTGCGGGGGAATGTTATTGATAAATGATCAGCAACAATAATTTGTTATTAACGTGTTTTTGAATTAGTCATAATCTTATCATATTAGGTTGTTAAAGAGATATTCCAAGAACCATTGTTAGCATATATCTCTTCCTATTATGTAGTGCTCATCTTGTATATATACTATATTCACGTACATAATAAAAATCAACCAATTCATCTATAGACACTACCCATGTCCCATTGCAACGGATGGACCTTCACGTGGGGCGTGGCAGCGCGTGGCGGAACCAACGTTTGTCTTAGAAACATCACAGCCTATGACATATACAAAAACATATATTTTCATCGCGTGACACACATGTGTTGTGCCCCCATTGTTTTCAATATCATTCTAAAAGCCAAGCCAAATGAACGATTCGAAATCAAAACCCCAGTTGAAATATTCACAGGAGGTGCACCGCCACCCCCTTCGTTGCTCATGAAAATCGAGTCCCTCGGGTTTTACGTCATCCATGGGTATAGATTAACAGAAGCAACTGGCCCAGCGTTGGTGTGTGAGTGGCAACAAGGGTGGAATCACCTAACAAAAGGTGAACAAGCTGAATTAAAAGCGCATCAAGGGGTTAGTATATTGACCCTTAATGATGTGGATGTGAAGAGAATGGACACGATGAAGAGTGTGGCAAGAGATGGGAAGATAATGGGTGAGATAGTGTTAAGAGGGAGTGGTATAATGAAAGGGTATTTCAAAGACCTTGAAGCAACGTCAAAGGCTTTTAGTAAAAGGTGGTTTCATACTGGGGATGTTGGTATTGTACACAAAGATGGTTACGTGGAGATAAAGGATAGGTTGAAGGATGTGATCATTTCGGGAGGGGAAAACAATAGTAGTGTGGAGTTGGAGTCTGTGTTGTATAAGCATCCGAGGGTGTTGGAAGTTGCGGTTGTCGCAATGCCACATCCTAAGTGGGGAGAGAGTCCTTGTGCGTTTGTGGTGTTGAAGAAGAACGGTAAAGGTGGAAAAGGTGGTGTGAGTGAGAGTGAGATTATTGGGTATTATAGAGAGAACATGGCGCATTACATGGTTCCTAAGGTGGTGAAGTTTGTGGAAGAATTGCCAAAGACTTCAACTGGTAAGGTTCTCAAGTTTGAGTTGAGGGAAAGGGCAAAGGGTTTCGTTGTATCAGAGAAATTGAAGTCTAAGGACAATGAAAATATTCGTTTGATAGGCTCTCGTCTTTGAAGGTCTTTCTTGTAAAAAATTGAAGAGAGACACAGAGAAATAAAGAAAGATATAATAAGTGATGTGACAAGAAAGAGAAAAAAATTATGAGAAAATATAAATAAATTATAAGAGAAGACTATTAAAATAAAATGTCAATTTTTTTTCTTTTATAGGAGTCGTATTCTTTTACCAACTATAGTTGCTTTATTTTTGCATACTTTCCTTGTATAAGAAGATAAAAATTGGCAAAGTGAGAGTGGTAACATGACAGGTTTTCTTTTGTTCTCTTAATAGAATCTTAAAAAGGGAGAATACTAGTATGTTATGTATAATATTAAAATCCTTTTATTCTAATTGAAAATAAGTTTTAGTCTCTTCGAATGAAAATTTAAAATTTTAGTTTCTATATTTTTATAATTTTTTATTACTCATATGATCTATTAAAATGTTAGCTTATATAATTTTTTTTTTGTTGAATCATGTTAGTGAGATAAATTAGAAATTTTTTTTATAAAATTATAAGATTAAAATTTAAAAAAAAGCTTGAAGGGATAAAAATTAAAATTTTACTAAACATAAGAAATGAAAAAAATATTTAAAACTTCTTTTTATTTCTCTCTTTCTCATCCCATCTCTCACTTTTTTTTATTTCTCTTTTTCATCCACCTCATTTTTCTTTGTTAATTTCCTTTTGAAACAAGAAGCAGTAAAGGATAACTCACAATTAGGCACAATTGCTTGCGAACATCTAGATTGAGTAAAATAGGTATTTTGCCTTAACGCTTAGATCATACGTACCAAGAAAATGGTACTCTTTATATACATCAGACTCGCCCATTTTCATAATTTTTACAAATCTTTCTCTAAAATGGGATGTGATATGTAGGACAGTGAATTTAGTGGGAGTGATGTATGATTGTTGAAATAAGCATGGTCTAAGTTGCACAAACTACAAGTTGCATCTATTTTTTTTTTTTCTATAGCACATATTTTTCAAGATGCATGCATTTACATTATTGGCAATTAAAATAAATTGTTTTGTTTGGAATAGAGATCCAAATAAAATGATAAGTATTCAAAGAATAATTTTAGACACATAAAATATATTTTTATTAAAAAAAATATAACACTCAATACTTTTGGCTTTGTTAATAGCCAATTTATACACTTAAAGTATAACACTACAACAACTCAAAAGGCTTCTTATAAATATTCAAGCTTACTAGAGTTTCTTTTGCTCTTTTCTCTCTAATTTTCTAACTTAAACTTACTTGATACCTTACAATGACATAAGTTTCTTATTTATACTAGATAAGAGCCGGTTGCTAGATTTCTAATACCGTGTATTACAACTAATAATATAATAAGCATTTGACTATTCAAAGCAACTATGATGAGATTTAAGCTTGATAACTTAACTTTTTTAATCTTTATATGCTGGCTATTTTAATGGCAATTAAACCCACATCATGGTCTTCAAAATCGGCAAGTAATTTAGTAGCAAATTTTGACCAATCAAAGAGTTACTAATTAAGCTTTTCTTGAAAATATTCCAGCGGCTTCTAGTTGGCCCAAGTTTAATTTCTAACATCCTCCCTTAAACTTGGCTTCATTATCCCAAGCATAATTTTCAGCTTCAAATATAAATTGGTTTTGAGTAGCTTTGTAAAAAATCTGCTACTTGATTTTTTGAAGCACAATACTCCACCACAATTTCTTTGTCTTTGATCAAGTCACAAATGTAGTGATGCTTGATGTCAATATGTTTGCTTTGTCCATGAAAGGCTGGATGCTTTGTTAAAGCAATTGTTGATTTGTTGTCACAAAATATCTTTGTTAGACCATCTTGTTGGTGTTGCAACTCACTCAATAATCTCTGCAACCAAACTGCTTGAGTAGCACAATTTGTTGCTACAATAAACTCTGCTTCTGCTGTTGACAAAGCAACTACTTGTTGTTTCTTGGAGAACCAAGAAAATACACAAGTACTTGGATGAAAAACATGACCTGAAGTGCTTTTTCGAGTTTCAATTTCACTAGCCTAATCATTGTCTGTGTATCCAATCAACTCTGGTTTGTTAGAATTTGAATAAAAGATACCTTCATCAGTTGTACCTTTGACATACCTTAAAATTCATTTTGCAGTTTGCAAATGGGATTGTCTTGGTGTTTCTATGAACCTGCTTATGAGCTTAACTCCATAAACTATATCAGGTCTTGTTGCTGTCAAGTACCTGAGACTTCCCACTAACATTATAAAATTTGTTGAATTGACAAGATCACCACCACTTTCTTTTCCAAGCTTCAATCTTTCTTTGATAGGTGTCAGCATTGGTTTGCAAGTCTCCATCTTGAATTTCTTCAAAATATCTGTTGCATATTTCTTTTGAGAGATAAAGATCCCTTCATTTGTTTGAAAATAAGACATTAAGCCCATATTTGTCATCTCAAATTGGGTGGACATATTTTCTTTGAATTCAGCCAGCAATTTTGGATTACTGTCAGTAAAGATTAAATCATCCACGTACAGACAAACAAAAATAATATCTCCAACCTTGTTTGTTTTGACATATAAAGCATATTCATATGAACTTCTGTGAAATCCATTGTTTAAGAAATATGTGTCAATACGTGTGTACCAAACTCGATGTGCTTGTTTCAATCCATACAATGCTTTTTTCAACATGTAGACCTTGTCTTTTTTTCCTTGTTGTAGATACCCAGGTGGTTTCTCTACATAAAGTTTTTCTTCAAGTATACCATTCAAGAAAGCTGACTTGACATTCATTTGGAAAATCTTCCATTTGTTTTGGGCAGCAAGAGAAAGAATCATACGTACTGTGTCCAATCTACCAATTGGAGCAAATACTTCAAAATAATCAATGCCAGGTTTTTGTTTGTACCATTTTGCCATAAATCGTGCTTTCAAACGATTTATCTCTCCATTTGAATTGTACTTTGTTTTATACACCCACTTCACACCTATTGACTTCTTTCTTTTTGGAAGTATTGTTAACTCTCATGTATCATTCTTCTTAATTTCATGAATTTTTTCATCTATTGCTTTAATCCAACAATCATCATTGACTGCTTCTTCATATGTCATTGGATCACAATCTACAAATAAGACATAGTAGGTAACTTCTTCCTCCCTATCTTCTGGATCATCATATCTACTAACTTCATAATCTTGCAAGGGAGGAGGTAGATGCTCTCTTTGTGGATATCTATAAGGTGGTGAATCTTATGTTGATTCATCTGATGATTCGTTAGCTTTATCATTGAGTTCTTCATTGATAGTAACTGGTACAAGTAATAATTCCTTTTCTTTTTCTGAGCAGTCCCATGCTCCATCTTCATCAAAGGTAACATCTCGGTTGATAATTAACTTTTGAGTCTCTGGATTGTATAGCTTGTAGGCTTTTGTTTCTTCACTGTATCCTACAAAGATGCATTTTTTTGTCTTGTCATCGAGCTTCTTCCTTAGTTGATCAAGAACATGTGCATAAGTAATACAGCCAAAAAATTTTAAGTGACTGAGATTTGGTTTTTTCCCGCTCCAGGCTTCTCGTGGAGTTTTATCACGAACACTTTTGATAGGACATATATTCAAGATTTAAACAATACAAGTCACTGCTTCTGCCCAAAAAGTCTTAAGTAATTTCTTACCATGCAACAATTGTTCTGTTCTTTCTTCCTGTCACCCCATTTTGTTGAAGAGTGTATCTGACAATCATCTGGTGCTTACTACCATGCTTCTTCAAGAAATCATCACAAATAATATACTCTGTACCTCTATTAGTTCTTAAGATTTTCAGAGTATGATCACTTTGTCTTTCAACATATGCCATAAAGGTTTTGAGCGTATCACAAGCTTCAGATATATTTTTTCAGAAAATAAACTCATGTCTTTTTGCTGAAGCCGTCAATTAAAGTAATAAAATATTTATTACCTCCATTGGATGGAATATCCACATAGGACAAATCAGAGTATACCAACTCAAGTGATTTTGTAGCTCTCCATGCACGTCCTTTTGGAAAAGGGTCTCGATGCTTTTTACCTATTACACAAGCTTCACACATTTGATCAGGAGCTTGGATAACAGGCAAGCTGGTAACCCATTTTTTATTTGCAAGAAATTTGATGCTTTCAAAGTTGAAGTGTCCAAACTACATGTGCCAAAGCCAATTATCATCAACGGTTGTAGCTTTACAACATAAACCAGTATCATACCTAATGTTCATTGAAAATAGATAATTCCTTGACATATTTGTTTTTGCTAATAGGCCCATCTCTACATCATTTATGGTGCAACCATTCTTGTTAAATTTCAAGTCATAACCTTTCTCAGCAAGTTGTCCCACACTTAGAAGATTCTGACATATCTTTGGTGCATAGAATACATCAAAAATATAATTCAGAGATCCATCTTTCAATTTAATGGCAATTTTTCCTTTCCCTAGGACTTCAAGCTTTGAATTGTCACCAACCTTGACTGAAGTGTGGTAACTTTTATCTAAATCAAAAAATAGTTCTTTTTTTCCGCTTAGATGATTACTGTATCCTGTATCTAACAATCATTAGTTGTCATTTTTATTAGCTACTACATGACTTGTTGTAAGCACCATGTTTATATCATTTTCACTTTCTGCAACTCGGGCATGACTCTCTCTAATATTCAATGTTTTAGTATGACATTCTCGACTATAGTGACCATACTTGTTACAGTTATGGCACTGAATATGAGATTTTCATTTAGTTGAAATTGTCTGTACTTTTGACATTTATGACATTGAATATTAGATTTATTTTGAAATGAGCCATTAACTCATGTAGCTTGGCTTGAGTCAGATTGATGATTCCTCCCTTTTCCTTTGAAATTCTGACCTCTTTGATGATGGTTCACCCTTCTTTGCACAGGTCCCTCATTTCTTACGTTTGTTTGAGCTTTTAATGCTTCTCAACTGTTCCACTTGACTTTTCGTTCATCCACATCTCACGTGACTCTAAAGATGCTTGCAAATCATTTAGAGTCATTGTGTTGAGATCTTTTGTTTCTTCAATAGCTGCTATCACGTAATCAAAACTAGTTGAATGGGTGCACATGATTTTCTCCACAATTTCTTTTTCTTTTATATCATCTCCATTGTTTTTCATTTCATTGACAAGTTTGTCCATTCGTGAAAAATAGTCACGAATGTTTTTTCTCTTCCTTGCTCCATCAGCTCGAACTGGCGTTTTAAGCCTTGCAACCTCGTTCGTTTGACTGGATCAACACCTTCATATGTTTTGAGTAAAATTTCCCAAGCCTCTTTTGCTATTTTAGCATGAAAAATTTCTCAAGAACAAGTAGCTCCACAGGTTGACAAATAAAAAATAAAGCCTTTTCATTAAGTAGACGATTTTTATCTACTTGTTGAATATCAACTTTTCCTTTAACTCCTTTGGTTGGTTCAATAAAACCATCCTTGATGATTTCACCATAACCACTACTTTTTAAACATAGCTCCATCAATCGTTTCCACATGGCAAAATTTGATTTGCCATCAAACTTGAAGACAGTTGTTTGCACTTGTTGAACTTGGTTTGTTCCCGTGATTGAACTTGCTGCCATTTTGATACAACAAGCTCTGATACCAAATGTTGGCAATTAAAATAAATTGCTTTGTTTGGAATAGAGATCCAAATAAAATTATGAGTATTCAAAGAACAATTTTGGACATACAAAATATTTTTGTATTAAAGAAATAATACAACACTCAATACTTTTGGCTTTGTTAATAGTCAATTTACACACTCAAAGTATAACACTACAATAACTCAAAAGGCTTCTTACAAACACTCAAGCTTGTTGGAGCTTCTTTTGCTCTTTTCTCTCTAATTTTCTAACTTAAACTCACTTGATACCTTACAATGACATAAGTTTCCTATTTATACTAGATAAGAGCCGGTTGCTAGATTTATAATACTGTGTATGACAACTAATAATATAATAAGCATTTGACTATTCAAAGCATCTATGATGAGATTACAACTTGATAACTTGACTTTTTTAATCTTTATATGTTGGCTATTTTAATGACAATTAAACAACTTGACTTTTTTAATCTTTATATGTTGGCTATTTTAATGACAATTAAACTGACATCATAATATCTAAAATTGGCAAGTAATCTAGTAGCAAATTTTGACCAATCAAAGACTTACTAATTAAGCTTTTCTTGAAAATATTTTAGTGGATTCTAGTTGGCCCAAGTTTAATTTCTAACATACATAAATGTTCACATACTAAAAAAAATTAGGGAAGTACACAATTCAGATCCTAGAGATTCGAATAGGTATAGTGGTTCCAAGTATTTGATGCCTAACAACTGGAACTAGAGGAAGAATTTGCATGTGGCCTTGTAGATATCTATGACAATTTTCAGCAGCCATCATCCCAGCAGAGAATGCTCCATGCACAGATCCCTGGTGATCATCCATGCTAACAGCTTCCCCACCAAAGAATAGATTACCCAATGGTGCACGGAGCCTGTCATACACATCATTTGGCTTCCCCACTAAATCATATGCATAACAGCCTAGAGAGTTTGGATCTGTTCCCCAACGTGACACAAGATATTGAACCTACAATGGTCCAACAAAACTTCAAATTCTTATCAACAATTAAAAGTTGTTCCATTTTGTTTAAGAACACATTTTTTATTAATTTAAGAACAAAAAAAATTATATATTATCACATAAAATGTCAAAATAATAAAATATTTTTATTAACTTTAGCTTTTAAAATTGAGTTTAAGTGAGTAATAATAATAAAATTTTATTGAAAAAAATATTTGTCATGCATTTTTATCTTTAATATATTATATAATAAATATTTTTAATAAAATTTTATTATTATTACTTACTTCAACTTAGGGTTGAATTACTCCTGAAATTAGATGCAGAGAATAGAGAAACACATGACATGAGAAGTGAACTTACAGGCTTAGAAGCCCGAGGAAACATGTTCATGAGATGTTGCATGGCAAAATTTGCTGCTGACTCATCAGATAGCATCTCAAGGTCATAGGCTGACCTGCCAGATGCCATATATACAAGAATTGGATGCCCAGTTGCTTTATGGAGATTGAGAAAATAACCACAGGCATAAGAGGTGGGTGCAACAATACCCAGAACTTCTACATTAGGCCAAAACACTCTATCAAATCTTAGGGCAATCTTGTTTTCATTGCCCATACCAACATCTCTAATTGCATCAACCTTCCAATCAGGCAGCTTTGGTATAAATTCAATTAAATTGGCCTTAAGAACTCCAATAGGAACAGTTATAATTGCAGCATCAGCAACAAAGTTTCTTCCATCCTCAACTGTGACCATTACCTTATTGTAACCATAGGATATCTTGGTCACCCTACATTGTGAGGTTTCACAAAAGGATCAAAACCTGACACCGTAACCACAATAAGAGGGGAAAGGACAACAGAAAAAAAAATAGGGATGTATTCTCATTAATAATAGTCTCTAAAAAATAATGACAATGAACTCCACATATCTGCTAGTTTAAATTATAATAAAGTGGGTGCCACATGAAATATTTCTAATTAACAGAATGTTTACTTTAATTTTCATATCAAAATATTCATTTATCCTGGGCATAATATTTTCCAGGATCCAAACATGGCATCTCCGAATCTGCAACATTCTTTTTTTCTCCTTTCTTTTCTGCATGTTCTGACACAAAACATGAAAAATGATCATGTGGCTCGGTTGTGCAATAAATTACTAAGTTATTCAATAAATTACGATGGCATACCTGTGGTTCAAGCGTATATCAAGATCTTTTGCGAGAGCTTTTACAATAGGATCATATCCTTGCACCATTAGTCCATGACCACCAGTGAGAACATGCTCCTGTAAGAAAAATTAGTAACAAGAACAATATAAGCATTAATTTGAATACTAAATAACACTCAGTTGATCTTCTATATATAGATAGAATACAACAATAACCAAATTTTCGTAACAGATCGTATGTAATATAAATTTTATCAACATCAACCAACGGTATTACCTAATGAATCAAAGGTCTCACGGACTAATAATACACAAGTCATATCGCATATTATAGTTAATATTGTTCAGCAAAAGATTCTTCACAAGAAAATAAATAGATATTTTTCATATTAGTACCCAAATGAGTAAAAAGGTTACCGATGCAGGAAATACTTATAATATGATTATGCAAACTGTTCCATGTAATTTATTAGGCTTATAAAACTATCCAAATTTGTCCAAAAGATTGAAAATTTGACCCTGACCCAGCTATCAAATGGAAATTCTATTAAACAATCATTTGGATTTGATTTTAGATCAAATATCTTAGGCAAGTTGACTCATCATCATCCCAGTTCAAAATCAATTTAATTATTTCAAACGTTCAAATTTGCTTTGATTACTTGATGAGCAGGTTGATCTTGCAAACTCAAATTCAAATAATAGGTTTATCTTGTACTTTCATGAACATGTCCCTTTCATTTTAAAAAACACTGAAGATCTAAGATTCAAAACACAAAAGAGAGTGAATTACTTCATATAATTGCAGCAGAGTACCCCTACACCTCAACATTGTTCAAATGTTGAATTTATCCCTTGAAAATAATTTCTTAGTTTCCTCAAATTATATGGCACCTATATTTTACATAGACGACCTTTGACATGAGTGACAATTTATTATGCGAAGTTCATATGTCAAATGAAAAATGTCAAGTAACTTACTCAACCAAATTACAAATCTTTTTAATTGACTCTTAATTATTTGTGTTACTTTATTTCTTTCCTTAATTTTAACGAAGTTTAGAATTGCACAAATTATATAATGCTCAGTAGGAAGCAATAGTGTATCCGTTTAATAAAAAGTTAGCAACTATGAAAAAATCAGAAGATAGACTAGGGTAGAAATCTAAGGGAAAAAGGATCTTCTATCCTTCAACTAATGTAATGGAACTTGCTTGATCCCAGGTTTTTAGTGATATCATATCTGCATCAGCAGCAAACCAGGCTTCCATTCTGCATATATACCATTGCAACACTTCATGTGCTAGTCCTTGTTGCCTGCTAAAAGAATTTTCAGTTATAAAGACAGATTTAAACTTCAAGCCTCAATGCTTATACATTATTATTACCTCCGTTCCTATTTATAAAAAATAACTACTAAAATTTTTCTGGTCCAAAATATAAGAAATAAAGATAATTTCTAAATTCATTAATTGTTATATTCTTTTTATACCTTTATTTATCGTAAGATTTGTGTTAACAAGATACTCACTTTTTATCTATATAATTAATATATAAGACATCAATTAATACTTTGGATATTTCTAGAATTTACCTATGACAGCCTATGAGTGTGACTACTTTTATTGATTTCGATAATTTAGGTATTTGTTTCTCATAAATAGGATTGCAGGTAATATATTCTCTGATCATTCTCTTACCGTAGTTCAGGATGCCGATTTAACACAATTGAAATTGCTTGGAGAATTGGCATGTCATCAGGATGCTCATCCCTCACTTTCCCTGTCTAGAAATGTCAACAGAAAGCCATCAGATTCCAGTTAAGTTATTCACAATTGCATTCAAGATTGAAAAGAATCACAAGCCATAAGCAACAAATATCTTCCTTACCTCTGCCAGAATCCTCTTAAAAGTGTCTCCAACTTCCATCACCATGTGTTGAGGCACTTGATGACCATCAATGTTAAAAAGTATACAGCTAGAAAGATGAAATGCTCTTACTAGAAAGCAGTAATAATGGTAGAAATACAAAAGTTTCATATGTTTGACACCTATTAGAAAATCATGCATGCTTCATTTTCATGAGGTTGAGACTCATAAAGAGTTATAAATTTGTATAATCATTTAAATTTCAGTTAAAATACAATTGTTCCTGGTTCTAATCACTACATCATGTACTTTCAAATACATCAGTCTTAAATGAATTGTAGAAGCATGAAGAATAAGTCTGAATCCTTACCTTTCCAAATCATGGTCATATAAGACAGAATTATCACCACTGGTACGATATAATGAAAGTCCTAAACCACATATCAGGGGAGCCAAGGGATTCTCATTGCAAACACCATGTAGCCTAGAAAATATCAATAAATATATAATAAAATAACAGCTAAGTTATCAAGTTCAGACTCATTTCATTGTCAATTCTTCATATTCAAAGAATAAAGCATATTTCACCTGTTACTAGGGTTATTTTTCACAAGTTGAACTTACCATGAGGCTCCCATATCTACTGGACAACCAAAGGAGTAATCAGTGTAAATTCGACCACCAAGCCTATCCCTTGACTCTAACACAGTCACCTAACTCAATGGTGAGAATAAGCAAAAGCATAAAGCACGAGAAAATCTTTCCTTTGACCAAATTAAAGAGTAAACAAAGATGAAATGTAATGAAAATGATATTTCACCTTAAACGATGCATCCTGCAGACAACGTGCAGCAGCAATCCCTGATATTCCAGCACCGATAACAATAACTGTAGGAAGAGAATTGCATTGCTTCTTGACATGCGAGGAAACTGTGCCTGGTGTGAAAATCAGAAGGGAAAAAGTCCTTACGCTTAAGAGAATGAACTAAATCAACCACATAAATAGGAAACCACCAGTACATAAATGGCATTCTATCCCATTATATATATCTACTTTAAAGATCTTGAAAAAGACACACAATAAAATTTCATGGGACAATTGCATTTCATTGTAAATTAGGACAGGAAATGGTTTTTAAAGAATGAAGATCCTTGCATTATGATGCTCTAAAACAAGAACAAAATCACCGAGAAAAACAATACATTTCCCACAATGTTACCTCATCCAAAGATTAAGCTACTTTGGGTTAAAAGAGGACAAGAGTAATTTGCTGTCAAACATGCATAAATGAATTAAGAAATGTCCAGCAAATAATTTGTTGTCTTAAATTTTAGAGAAGAAGCTGTGTAATTATTTTTGAACTCTTTTGTCAAACTATTAAGTTATAGGAAAATATCCTCTGACACTAATAACTTTCAATATAGTGTTTTATGTGGCTTGATCAGGTTGAAAGTTTATTGTCGTTGCATTGACAAGAATTAAGAATAACAGAACATCCTGTTGCCACTTAATTTAGTCTTCCCAGTTTTTTATCTCAAAACAAAATCAGAACAACAAAATAAACAGGTGGAAAATCAGAATAATTTTATATCCATATGGAGTGGAGACAAATCTACATTCAAAAGCACAAATCTGAATAACATTCAAACGTGGATAATTGGATAGTCTATTGAATTGATAAAATTATCAATTTGGTATATATAAAGATTCAAGTAGTTGTCAATACAACAAGTTTCCTGCTGGACAATGGGTATATTTTTTTACCAGAAAAAAATGTTGAAATACAGATACAGTTCTTAGGTTCTAATTTCCAACTAAAACTAAAACAACTTTTTTCCCGAAATATGTAAACCAACAAAGAAACTTCAAAATTAATTTGGCTCAACTCAATGTTCACAAATTTTCTGTTGTAATGAAGGCCCAATGGACACGAAAGAATTCTTCAAATATTATGGATCTTATTTTTCTTTAAAGATTGAAATTGACAGTGACAGAACAACTGAAACTAATGCAATCATATGAAACAAATAATGGGACCCATGAGCTGGTAGTTTATCGTCTAAAACTATATTAACTGAAATTTATTTATGTACTTAGGACGTTGTTCTCTCATCTAATTTATGTTTTCACTAAAATTAAAAGAAAGAAGGTAAGAAGAAACAGCATCTGGACATAACAGTGGACCACACAAGAACATAATATGCACAAGATTTATAGTTGTGATATAAATCAATTAATAATGCCTCACCACACCAATATGTCGCGTATATGTATAGTATAGAACTTCAGTAAATACATCATACTCTTGAACAAAAACTACACTAACCCTGCATAGAAACGTGACCAAGTATGGTTTATATATGCATATACTTTAATCAAAAGTATCCATGCCACAAATATGTCTCAGTTGCTCTGGTATTTTTCTCTCTACTCAATTGGCTATTTCTTTTAGATACATCCACAATTACACAACCTGGGATACTTAGTTGCTAACAACTTATTATGTAGCAACCATCAACCACGTAGCATGATTAATATCTAATTAAGTGCATGTTTGGAAGAGCTTTCTTCACGAGAAATAATTGCTTATTTTTCAGAAGTTCTTTCACAAAGCTATAAAAAAATGAGATTTTTCCCTCAGCTTAATCAAACATGCACCAAGATCTACAATTTATGAGACGGGTCTTATGGCCAATGCAATCACTAATAGGACAATCACGATTCAAAAATAATACTATTTATACACAATATATTACTGTTATATTAGCATCCTCAACAAGAAAAAAAAGGGTAAAATCTGGAAGTTTTTAACATAAAGGTGAACAGCCAAGAGCTGTAGCTCAAATGTCACCCCATTGGGACTGTTTGATCCCAAGATCAAATCCCACCCAAGTGGTTTTGGCTAACTAAACTTTAGCCTACCAACCTCCTACAAATTCTCAAACTATTAAACCTTTCCTGTCTAATGAAAACACATAAAATGTGAACAAAAGTAAACATGGAAATAGTGAGCTCAAGGAACCATAAAAACAATGTCTATGCATATATATGATTACGAGTGAAAAAATACCAACCATCCATCAAATTGGTGGAGAATAATTCTTTTGGGCCCATAATGAACGAAAAGAAATCACGGGACTTGCAACCGGTATGAAGGTAATCAAAAGGGTGTGTTGAGATGAAACAATGGAATCAAGGAAGGAAGAAAAGGACAGATTTTTAAGATTGAAGCTTAAAAGGGTGTACAGGAATCAAGAAATTGGAGACTAATTGGAAAGAATGATTAAAAATAAGGATGAGAATGCTGGCAATGGAGCGGTTTAGATTGGAAGAGAAACGATGCTTATGAAACCAGCTCATGACTCATATGGCTAATGTGAATTTATTATTGTAAAATGAAACAATGTTTTGCCAAAGATGGCCTCAGATTTTCAGCGTCGCTTTGCATAGATAGATCAATGGTGTTCTCTCTTCCACAATCACATCACCACACGCTTTCTCTTCCTCTGAACCTCTCTCTGTAAAACCAGAGAGATCCAACGACCAACGGCTCTTCTCCGTGTATCGTAAAATTATAATGTAACAATAACAAACGACCAATCCCAATACCCGCCAAACACACTTAATATAAAATAAATATATTCATCATCCTAGTTCACCCAATTATTCACTTTTTGGGATGAACATCATGTTAAATTAATATATGTTCAGCTGACTCCTCTGCATGTCCAATGTAAATATAAATTGTAAATATGTATAGAAAGTGAAAGCATAGTTCTTATTCTACTTAATAATTTTCTTTTTATAAAAGAACTGTTGGTTTAAAAGTTTTTAAAAGTATATTAACTTTATAAAATTTCAAAAAAAAATTTATTGTATTATTTTATTTTAAAATATATAAATAAATATTTAAATTGTATGAAATTTAATATACATGACTATAAAAATAATATGAAGTTATTAAAAAACGTGAATATTTAAATTTAGAACCTTAGTATCAATGTATTTTAACTCTTATAAAATGTCTTAACCTTATTTTATATGTTTGAACTTTTATTTAAAAAATATTATTTTGAAAGGTATCCTAAAGTTAAAAAAAAATAATAATTATTCATCTAATTTACATATTATCAATTTTTACATCCATTCATTTGTTTTTCATTATTCATTTCATTGTTATCAATTCGGTCACCTCTTCTCTTGTATGTTTATTTGTTCAAAATTTGTATTGCTCCTATTAGCTAAATTTTGATTTGTCTCTTTTTAAGGTGTTTTTTTGTTAGTTTCTTCGTAACTGGTTTTATCTTCAATAGCAGTACATTTTATGTTAGTATCTTTTATAATACATGACTGATTAGTTCAGATCTCACCAATCTTTCTGATTTTCTTATAATTAATCTTAGTTTCTAAAAATAGAAAAATATTAAAAAGAAAGGTTCGATATTAGTTTACATGCAATGGTCTCTGTTGTAAATCTAAACCATTGGATATATACAGTACATAAATTTTTTTATAGAGACATGAAAAAACAAAAATTGATGATCTGTAACAACTCACAAGGTTGACGAAGACAGGAACAGGAACCTAACAACATGATTTCAAGAAAGACATGGACAATATTCCTTTGTTTATACACTTTTACAAGTTTAACAATAAATAGTTAGAAAACTGTTATCGTCTTCATGTGGTGCTTTTTTTTTCACATAGGATTTAAAAATAATATAAACTGAAATATAAATTTTCAAAATATACATAGAAATATGAGAATTTAATCATTTTCATTATCAACTTTAAAAACATTAAAAATTCAAAAATTATTTTAAATAAAGTTATTTAATTTATTAAAATTTAAAAATTATCATTTTTAAGTCTCATGTTTTTGTAATTTTTAAAAATTTATATCTTAATGTATAATATTTTTAAATTTTATATTTAAATTAATTTATTCTTCATGTTCACGCTTATATTATTATATGCTTATAATTATTTTAATATTATGTAGTTATAATTTAAGTATTAAATTATATTTGCATATGTTCTTAAATATGTGTTGAACGGAAAGTTAGTTTAACTTAAATTGTGATTTTAAATTTGGGTTTCAGTGAATATAAGAGAATGATAGACGTGGTTTATTAAATTCTTATTTAATTATTCAATTTTCAAGCCTTAGATACGGTTGATCACTTGGGCCTTGGCCCGGTTATATTTTGAATAAAAGTATTAATTGGGCTGTTTTCAAACAGGATATACTTGCATATGTAACAAAGTATTGCATGTACGACCCAAAAAACAAAAGGTAGCATTGCATATTTGAAAAAAAACAAAATATTGCATGCTAGTCTCTAAGGATTATATTCATATTGCATAATGTTTCACCCTTTTAGCAAATGTTTATGATAAAGTGATAAATTATTCAATGAGAAAAGAGTAATATTATATACCCTTTTGTTTTAAATGTTTATTTTAATTATACAAATCATTTAAGTTAAAAATTAATATTTATATATTTTTTAAAATGATGCAATTTGAAACAAAATAATGTTTTAAAAGCAATATACATTTTAAAATAAAGAAATTTTCTGGAAACATAAGTAGTATTTGTTTATTTTTTCAGTAATTAGAAATGTCATGAAAAATATAAAAAATTATATTAATTCCAACAACCACTGACAAAGAACACATTAAGGTGGAATCAATCCCATTACTGTGAATGTCCATTCAAAGTAGTTCATTGCTTATTTTAGTGGTCAAATGAGTTGATCCTTTATCTATAAAGGAGATTTATAGAATATTGCAATTGAAAGTCGATTTTGTGTGTGTGTGTGTGTGTGGCTACCCCTTTTTACTATGTGTACAAAAGTTTTTGTAAGACTAATCCACCAGTATATCTAGTAATTTGTCATTAATCAGGAGAATTTTCTAATATATTCTTATTTTAAGATTAAAATTCCTATTTAGGAGTTTTTTGGATTTAACCCTTTTTTTTCATCCTAAATGATATCTAAACATTTTGTATTAAATTTGTTTTATGCCCTGAAAAAAAAATTAGAAACTCCACTAATATCTCACATCTTAATTAAGGTATCGAGTTTGGGGCAGTTAATAATACTTCGGTTATTTAGGTATAATTGAAAATAATATAGTTTTTTCAAATTACTTTAATCTTCTACATTAATACTTATCAATTCATAGTTTATGTACCCGTTGACTTAAACAAATCTCACTTCAAACTTTATTTATCATTTTCTTTCACATTTACCTCTCCCTTTAGCATTTTCTTCATGGACATTACTAATCTTGTAGTTTTATTGCCCTTTTTGGTCAAACATTGGAAAAGTTTGGAAAGTTATTTTGTAGAGTTTAATTTTGACAACATAAAGAATTTTATATCATCAACTAATTAAAATACATTCTAAATAAAATTTTTATATTGAATATTATAAAAATTAATAAATTTTAATTTACACACTCACTTTTTTCTAATTTAAAAATAAATTTAGACCTAAAAATATAACTTAACTAAAATTTAAGATTGAACAACGGACAAATATAATTTATGTTAACTCGTCTCGCAAACACCCTCAAAAGTACAGCTTACTTATCACAACATCGAATACTTAATAGTGATAAATAATATATAATGTTTTGTTTAATTTAATCTAATAATTTTGTTAATTTTAAATTTGAAACTATTTCTTCTGTGAACCTGTTGAGTTAATATAAAATTTAAAACGTACGTTTAAATTGATAAAATATGATGAAATTTCAAACACAATGGATTTATTTGGTATAAGATGTAAACTAAAACGCATGATCTATATATCATTTGAACAAATTCAATATTTCAAAAGCTAATACAATCATGTGTCAAACTAATCGACAATTGTATTCAATTTTAATTTTTTAATTGCATGATTTATGTAAATAATTTTAATAAAATTTTATAACATATTTAACATTGTTTGATCTAAAAGTCAATTCTAAGAAAGGACTCACTATTCAGTATTCTCTGTAGTTACCCATAATTTGCCATGAATGTTACTATTCCACCTACCTGAATTACTTTCTCGGTATAAGAATCAAGAAAAATGAACCATTAAACAGTGTAATCTTATAAATACATCATAAACACGAATACATAACAAAATATTATACGCTGCGCATCATCATGTAATCACATTAACCCTTAAATAACATATCATTATATTTTATAGCTGAAAAAGGAATTTTTTTAAAAACAAATATCTTGTGTGTAAAAATCTATGATAACCTTTCTAACTTAAAGATTAGAGTTTTTTTTTATGTATATAATTACACTCACCAAAATATTTGTAAGATGCTGGAAAAGACTTAACATTATTTATTATTAAAAATATACTAATACAGTCGATAATAAAAATATAAAAAGTTTAATTTAAACTTTATCTCTGATTTATGAATTCTAAAAGTTGATGAATTATCGGGCATACCCCCTCATAGAGTTGGGACAGAAGTAGAAAGCACTTGGATCAAATTGCATATATATATTTAGAAAGATAAAAAAAAGCTGAGAGATTGGATGTATTCCTCGTTCTCTAATCTCGTTTTTCTTTTCTTTTTTCCATCTAAATTTTCCCACGAAAATGAAACTAATGAAATCAACATTATATACGTCTATACATAGGTTATACAAGACTCAGACTGAAATTTTCTAATGCCAAATCAAATAACAACTCTCAACTTTAATTTACCTAGAAAACAAAACCTTGATCTCTACTTTTTTATCCCTTTCAAACAAACAAAGCAGTTTGATTAGGAATGGTGGTGGAACTGGTAGATCTATGAGGTGGAATTGGGGGCCTACTACTCATGAAGTTATTATCATTGTCCCCTTTAGCATTAAGGGAAGAACATGAATCCCTTGAACCAGATGAATGCAATCCCTTATGAGATTGAGAACCATGCCTAGAGATAACACCCATTCCCCCTCCATAGCTTCTACAAAACTTCAACTTCTTGTTGTACGGATTCTCTGGCTTTACAAGATCCTCCAAGCTTCTCACTTTTGCTAAGGATGTGAAAGATTGTGCCTTCCCCTGGTAATACTTGGAAAGCCCCCTCCTAAACACCATCAAAGACAAAAACTTTAGAAGCAAAAACAAAAACCCACAAATGCAAATCTTATGTCTAGTAAAATTTATCTCAAGTAGAATAAAAGTTGACTCTAGTTTAAGAGAATTATGTTTTGTAATTGCATAGTAAACAAAGACCAAAACATAAAAAAAAAAAAAAAAAAAAAACTGAAGAGGGGAAGAAAAGAAGCATACTTAATGGGAAGTTGTTGAAACAAACAAGACATGTCATTCAACGATTCAGTTGCAAGCTGATCAGCTGCTGATGATGATGATGATGAAGAAGAAGCAGGGGATGTTACTTCTTCAAATGAATCAGAATCCAATGATGAACCACTTGAAATTCCAGAGTCAGAAGAAGAAGAACCAACAAGATCAAACTCATCAACTAGTCCTTTATTATCAACTTGGACAATCGTGTACTTGACCTGTTCCATCTCCAATAAATCTTGTTTCCCAAATACCCTTTCTATGTTTTCTTCTCTTTTATCTGTTGCCAACAAATAAACCACACGCAACGATTTATATGGGGCTAGCACTCAAAGGGTGTGAACATATACTTGCTTTTCGCTGTGCTTTAAATAGCATCACAAGTTCTTGTGTTGCTGAAGAGAAAGACTTGGACGGTTTATAAGCAAGGCTTTTAAGATGTTGGATAAGATTAGTGTTATTATTATTTTTTAATTTATTTATTTATTCTCATTCTGTGTTTTATCGCAATCTTTTTTGACATAAATAGTAAGATTCGGAGTTATCCGAATTCGATATTTCTTGTTCCCTCAACCGCAACTCCCACTATACCACCCTTCGTGTTCCCCCTAGCTAGACCCATCTTTGATAGGCGGTGAATAATATTAAACATCCTTTAATGTAAATTATATTTCTTTTTAAAAGTATTATCAAAGTGAGCTTGGGATTAAACTAAAAATGTTATTTTTTATTATAAAAAAATTTCTAATTTTCCTATAACTTGTTTCTATATTTCCTTTTGCTTAATACTAAATAAAAAAGTATTAAATTTGAATAATTTATATTATTAAAATAATACTTATTTGTAACTTTTTATTATAGTTACAGGCACGTAATAAACAATTTACTATTATTATTTTGGAGAGTGAAAACGAGGGGAAGAATGTGAAATTGAGTAGGAATTTGGATAAGGGTGAAGTCTTTGCATCCCAAGTGGATATCTCCAAACACTGGAAAATCGCTTTCTGCGGAAAGCCCGTTGCCCAATGTAAGTGAGTGAATGAATCGTGCGTGAATGCATGAATTAATTCCGAATTTTGCGCTCATCCACTTCGCTATTTTTTCAATCCGAACAAGTTTATTTTTAATAATTTCTTAACATCTTTTCTAAAATTAATAAAAAATATTTTATCTTAATCTATAATTTCCAATTTGAGTTGATGCCATCTTTTCATATAAAATACATTTTATATCTCACATTTAAGTCTGTGGTCACCGGGAAAATAATTGATTGTACTTACAAGAAAATTGTATTCTGGTCAAACTTTGGTTATGATGTTAAATGTTGAAATCATGTAAATGTAAGTTGTCCTTAAAAATAGATTTTATCTAATCATGATTGTGGGAGAAGGGGATTGTAAGTACTTTATTCATTTAATCTACAAATTAAAAAATAATGGCTTTTAGCAGAAAACTAACAATTATGAGATGGAATATAATTAGCGGTTAAACAGAAAGGAGATATCCTAATCAAACTTTATCTAGTTGTCACTCTGGATAGAATTTTGAGCGAGGTTACCTGTTCCTCTTTTTATATGTCTCTCTGCTTTATCCATTAAATTTAAATATATCGCGTCAATAAAAAAGTTAATAATTAAAAGATAAATTATCAAGTTTTATATTACAATTATCAATTAAATTAAAAGAAATAGCTTAATTCTAATTTCTTGCCCTATTTTGTTACATATATTTTGGTATTAGTGGCGTTGATTGGATCTCTGTTTACGTTTTTTTTATTTTTATTTTCAGTTTATTTTGACTATATTTATGTAGTTTCCATGTAAATAATGCATTTTAAATAAAAAAGATTGAAAGTAAATTTAAGAAATACATTTATTAAACAAACTTGATATTAATGGGATTTCTGGGATCCACTGCATTAGACTCTTTCCATTTATTTTATTTTATTTTTAGTTTATTTTGACTATATTTATGCAGTTTCCACGTAAATAACATAAAAAAATTAAAAAATACATTAAAATTTTTCTTTCAAATATTTAACATAATTATATTAATAAAACATACAATATTATAATTTAAGATCACTGGTGAAATAATTTCTATTACTTAATATTTTTATTACTTAATTAGATGTTACTAATCTGTCAAATTAGATTTTAAAAAAGGACTATACAATCTATTTATTCTAGGTATAGAACTGTATTATGATGGATGTAATGTAATATATTTTGAAGTTGTTTTGAGATGTTTTCGAGAAAACAATAAAACAACTAAAATGGAAAGAAACTGAGTCATCAATAATAAAAATTGGACCATGACTGAGTTAATTGATATGTTATTAACGTATATTTAAGAATATATGATTAAAAATTAATAAACTAATTTTTTTATTGAGAATTATAATATTTAATATTGTTAATATATTAAATTTAGTTATGTCATATAACTTTTAATAAAAATTGTTATATTTAAAGTCTTATATATATTCTTATATACACTTCAGAAAAAAGCGATTAATCTAATCCTGAAAGGGTGAATCGGATCAATGCTGTGGAAGTTGTGAGCGTTGAACAAGAGTGATTCACTAATTGAGCATTCCATTATGTGTCGGAATTTGGTCCACAAACGTTGGCCAATACTTACTCATCCACGCAATAGATTGGGGTTGGGTCTGCCTCAGCAAAACAAGCACATTCAATGTTAAGGGGTGAGGTGGGGCCTGTGCGAGCTTCATGGCCACACTTCATTGCAGAAACAATGCCATGGTGTTGTGTTGGTACATTCTACATCTTACGTGAGATTGCTCAACACATCACTTTTCCTACAATCACATCACCTCAAAGTAACAATTAAGTGCATGTTTTAAAATTATAATTTATAGTATTACCATAAATTTACTTATAATGTAAAACATTTATTCTTCTTCCCCTTTATGAAACATTTTATTTTTCCTATGATGATTACAAAGTGAAAACAGGTAGAGAGTTTAGTATTGTTCTTGTAGATTGGACTAAGCCCTTGTTCTTACAATGTTGCTGTTTCCATTTCCAACAGCAAATTCATAGCTGGAAGACAATTTTTTTGGTCTGAGAAGACACTTTAATTCTACAAAAACCTACTGCTAAAGCAAAACAGGCCCAGAGCAAATGCCTTGTTCACACCACCTTGCTCTTTTTATACTCTGTATCAATACATCAATGTGGACTACTTTAACTATACCATTAAATACCCCTTTTAAAATCTAAACTTAAATATAGTACTATATTGTAAAAATAGGTGCAGGCTAGCCTGACATAAGGTGCAGAAGGACTCATATGGTAACTAAAGTAAATACTATTTAAGGGTAATGAATTGTCCACTGAATTGGTTCGGCCGAAAACTTTTATCCTTCTTCAGCATACCCAATGATTTAAGCTACCAGTCATCATCACGTGGATTGGTGCACATCCTCTGCACTGACATTTTCATTAGATGAGATCAAAGTTATTACAAGCATTTATTTTATTTCAAAAAATGAATATAAATTACATCTAAAATATTGAATAATACTGCAGGAGATTTAGTTTTGTGAAGAAGGGTGTAGATCTTCTCTAGGGACATTTTTATTGGATGATATTAAGGATATTAAAAACATTTATTTAACAAAAATAATATAAATTAATATTAAAAGATACAATGGGTAAGATGCATTTGAAGAACTATCTCAAATTAATCTTTTTGTTCTTTTTTTAAAATTATTTTTTGAAGTATAATATTTTGAGCAGATGAATTGAATATTTGGGGTGGAAATTCTGGATGGATTGGGCCCGAAGAAGAGAAAAGAGAAAGACTGTCTTGATCCACTCCAGCCCAAGCAAACTAAAGCTTCTTCTAAAACACGATCAAAACACAAAAAATACAGACTCAAAAAACATAAAATAAAATAAAATAGGATGGTTTGTTAGTTTTTGCCATGGAAAATCTATTTTCTGAGATATCAATTTCAATAGAAATAAATTGCTATATGTATTAATAATATGGGTAAAAAATAAATTATAGAAGTTGGATTTTAAATTTATTTTATCATCTTTAAAATTCCTACCAACTTTTCACATAAAGCAAAATGACCTCTTTTCCTTTCCAGCAGGCTAATCCATGAATCTAGCTTTGAAAGTTTTGTTATAAATGTCTGTGTTGTTAGAGACTTGGGTAGATTTTTCACTTATATTTGACACTTGGATTTGAGAATTGTATTATTCTCTAAATAATGAATTTCTTTTATTTAGTAAATTTTCTGTTTTGAAGGTTTAATATGTTAAATCCAACATCATATATATCATATGCATAACTATTAAAATCAAATTTAAATTGATTATATAATTGATATGGACAATAATGGTAAAGTAAAAAAAAAAATTATTAATAATCGACTAAAACTAGTGTAACAAGCCCAATTGATTTAATTTGTTAAAGAGAAAATTGCCTTTTCATTTTATTAATTTTTCAAAAATTGGAATAATTTAGAAGAAATAACTATATATAATATTTATACATGAAATATTATTATCGAATCATTTATAATAACTTTTTATCTTATAATATGGAATTTTTTCTGTTAATTTAAAATGTTATATAACTTACTTTTTATGTTATATTAGTTAATTGTTTAACATATCATATGCTATTAAAAATATATATTTTATTAATTTTTGATGTAATTAGATTGAAATAAAGAATTGTGAAATTCATAACAATTTCAATTTTAAAAACAATAGTTATTTATGTAAGTCAAACTAAATATGAAAAAGGGCAAATGCATACTTCATTCATTCATGCGAGTCATCCATTAAAAATAGATTAATTCTCATACCCAAAAAATAAAAATATAGAAAATGATGAATCATCCAAATTCCGCATAAGACCATGCATTAAGATCTGGCCCTATCATAGTAATAAATAAATTTTAAGAAATTATACCTTCAATCTGTAAATTAAAACTGTAAGACTTATATTTTTTGCTTTAACCCAAGTTCAACTCTTAATGGTTTCAATTAGCCTTTCATAATCCAACTTTTCATTCTTGAAAATAATATTGTTTCTATGGGTTCAAATGACCAAAATAGTAGCAAATCATATGAAGCAGAAGAACCAGTCCACGGTGATATAATCTCTATAATCTCAGATGTGACACTGATATAAAAGCTGTTAAAAATTTCTTGAGAAAAGTCTTGTCCATCTCTCAATATAGACCACTCTCGGATCATATTTCCAGAAATGTATATGTGTGATTATATTTACAAAAATTGAACTGATTAAATTTATAAATTCATTGTTCAGTTTTCTTTTTTCACACATCCTCATCTCTCACTGTATATATTATTCTGCTTTTTTTTATATATAAAAGTGTTTAAGTAAATGATTCATAAATTTAAACTTATTTAAATAAATCTTTTTATCAAATTTTAAACTTAAACTGTTATACAATAAATTTATTAAATAAATATTTAATTAAAGTATTTATTCAAACGTGCCTTTATTAAATCTTTTGCTGTGTTAGCCCTGCCACATCATACCAAAATAAGGTTTTCTTCTCAACTCTCATCACCTATGCTTCTTTTAATTTTTTTTTTCAAATAAGTTCTCTAACATTTGAACCCCTCTTTCTGACAAATTTTCCATCTATTTTTTCCATTTTGTTTCTTTCTCTTTTCCATGTAGACATAATTAATTAAAAAATAATTAAGTGCATCTTAAATTTCTGATTGTGTTTAAAGGCATACTAAAAAATTTGTTTGTTTTTTTTGAGCCAACGCTGCTAGGGATAACCAGCACAAATGTTATGTTGTTGATCGAACTTAATTAGCAAAAGCCTAGCAAAGAGTGATTGTGAAGTATTGCTGGCTTTGTTTACACCAAATTTTTTAATTTTTTTATAAGCAGATAAATATTATTAAAACGAGTACCAAAAATACTTAAAATTCTTATGCAAAGAAAGAACCAAATTTTCAATTGACGCATCAACCTTTTTTTTCATGCGAAAATTGATTCAATACAATTAAGTCAAACACGTCAAGCTCAAAATAATTGTTCTAGCCACTCAACTCAACAAAAATTTAGTCCAAGGCTTCATATGATATGAAATATAAATCAACTGGTTATTAATTTGATTTTAAAATTAGATTAAAAAATAATAACAAATTATTTTATTATTAGTCTTAAGGTCTTAGTGACTAATTTAAAATCCTGATAAAAAAATAAAATATTTTTTTTACTACAATTAATATTAAGATAAATTAAAAATTACATGAACGAGAACATTACTATGTTTTTAATATATAATTTTTAAAATTATAATTGTATTCACAACACTTAATAACAATTTCCAGTATATTTTAAATATTTAAAACTAAAGAAATGATATATTTTGAGTTACTCACAGTTTAAATGAATTGGACATTCTTTTATATAATCAACTTCACTCCAAATAAATACTCTAAAGCTTCATAATAAGAAAAAAGTATAGGAACACATTAAAAAATTATCCTTGAACATCGCAGATAAAGCCATCATTATAACAGCTACACTAAAATAAGAAAATTATCCATCCACGTTTAGTTTAAATTGGTAAAAAAATAAGAGCGAATCCACTTAAAATGAATCTTGTTCCTAACAATTATTGAGAGAGTATTGAAATTATCCCTAAAACAAAAATTAAAATACTCAACATTACTTCTAGACAAGCATTTTAGTTTGGACAAATGATTACTAAAAAAAAAAGAGAAATTTACTAAAATTATAGTTAGATAATTTTTGAACCAATCAATCTAAGAAATTAACACACAAAAAACCCATTAATTAAGTAAAAAAGAAGAAGAAAAACCAACTAAACATGTATAGCATAAAAATAATAATGTAAAACATGAATAATAGTTTTAGAGGCTTCATTCCACATACTTCTCTTATACATTTTATTATTGGTCAACTATGAGAATTTTTTTTTGAAAAATAAAACAATTTTTGGAGGTCATTCCCATTTTAGAACAAATTAAAAATATTCTAATTATATGAATAAATAACAGTTAAGTAGTAGAAAGTTCTAATGAAAAACATACTATTATTAGACATAGTCCAGACAAAATCATGTTTACCATAGTTACAAGGAAGGTTAATATGTGCAATAATACTATAAATTTAATCACAGACCATGTCAACCACCTTTAGAAGTAAGTAGGGTAATCCTTATTAAGAATAAGTTAAACAAAAAAATTATATAAGTTTTTAATATAAAAAAATTTAAATATTAATTTAAAATTTTATAGTTAAATCACCCCTTATAAATGACTGACTTTGAGGAAAAATAAACTAGACAAAAATTAAACATTTTTAAAGAAGAGAAACATTGCTGATATATCTCAACACCAGAGTTTTATCCTAAGATAAATTTATATTTTAGGAGATGTATTAACATTTACTTTAATCTTATACTAATATCTCACATAAATAAAAGCATCCTCACCTATTAATCTTTAGTTTTTATCCGAAGAAAACCACAAGACATACAGATAATCACAACAAATCTGATTATATGTAGCATGTAGAAGAATGAGATGAGCATATTTGAAAATCTTTATAATTAAATCCCCATTCCCCACTGTGATGTTGAATTGATAAAAGGATTGGGGAATGGGGTCTTTTAACTCTCAATCCTTAATGAATTTTGTTGAAGTTGGTGGGAGGATTGTTAAAGAACCAACTTGCACTCTGATTGAAGCTGTCAACACATGCAGGTTTATCTATGGTTAAGAAATGAAAATAATATAATGTATTGAGTATTATTTCACTAATCTTATTCTATAGTTTTTTTTTTTTCTTTAACTTTTGAAAGACACTTTATTTTCTTAAATTCAGAAGTTTTTTTTTTCTCCCTTCTTTATTTTACATAGTAATTAATACATAAAAATAAAAATATATTTTTTCATTTATAAATATTTCGTGCAAGTATGAATATAATAATTAGTGTTTTAGTAGTCGCTAAAATTATAATTTTAAAATAATTTTTCAATGACATTTACAAGTTCAATCACATGTCAAATTAAAATAAAACCACCTAAAATAATTATTAATATCTACTCTAATTCAAAGGTATCGAAATATTGAATATCAGCGTAATTATATAAGATTACACTGTGTACGAAAGTTACGTATAGCATTGACTGCTCACAATTTTATGAGTTTCACACCAATAAAAGTAGGATTATTAGCATAATCCTTAGAGTTTATTTATTTCAAGAATATCGTTATTAAGGAATTTGGATTCTCTTGAAGAACAAAGTATAGATATGTTAAAGTGAAATTATAAAGATTAATTATAATTAATGAATTATATTTGATAAAAAATATTTTTTCTATAATAATTATATTGTGTTACTGTAAAGGGCGTATCGACCTTAGTTTGAAAACTTTGACCATCTTGATAATGTGAACAGCTTATTGTTATGTGTCCTATATACTTACCATGGTCATCTATCGAGCTTTCTTGCTCGAATTACCTTTCTCGTATATGCAAAGCTAATTTTTTACATATAAATTTAATTTTTAATTAATATACAAACCATTTCTGTATAAATTTTTTTTTTTATTATCTTTTTTATTCATTCAAGTAAACAAAGAAAGGAAATTTTTACCCATTTTTTAATTCTGTTTTTTGTATTTGTATCCTTCTCATTTCTTCCTTTTATTTTTTTTTCTTATTTTCACTTTTCTTAATTATTTTTTGAGGTTGGTAAACTATAATAGTATAATTACAGGAGTTACTGAGGTATAAAAAAAATATAGCAAGGTAGGGTACAAAGAGTATTCTAGTTCTAGCGATAAATGTTGATAATTTCCCTTTTCAATTTATCCTCAAATATAACCTTATACAGTGAAACGAAATCTCTATTTGGGCCCATTAATCCAGATATCAAAAGCCTAACTCAACCATAATAGCTGCGAAGTCAAAATGGTCATTGATGTAGGGCTAGGAGTTACATCATCAACTAAGCTCCCACCTGTCTCTTGGTGCATCTTATGGCTGATATATGCCATTACTTTATATTGATTAGATCATTAATAGAAATAAAGAAACTCATTTTTATACGTTTACCTAATCAAATTTCGTATTTCAAAGCTTTTACTCAGTCCTTGATACCGATTTTAAATATAAAAAAACTAAAAAATCTTCACGTAATCACATGCATGTTGTACTTTTGAAACATTTTATTTACATAAGTTTGCTCCAAATTAATAAAATCCAGGCATCGCTTGAAGGGGATTGTTCTTTCCCTGATCAATTACACATTTACACTGTGTTTGAACATGCCAATAAACAAAACATAGAGAAGGATGCAGAAGTAGAGGTAATATGTTACATATATAATTTAATGATAAATATTAATAATATGCTATCAATTATTAACTGAAATTTGTTAAATGTTATTCTTTCTGATTTTTTTTATAAAAAATAAAATAAAATATTTTTTTAGTTTTTATTATAAGAAACAAATGATAGATTCAAGATGTATTAATTATTAATTTTTTTTATATTCTTTTTTTATTAGTATCATTAAATATAAAAATTATTAATTACACTATTTAATATCATAAGTATTTTTGTAATAAAATTTATATTTATAAAAAATATAACAGAATTAATTATTTTTTTTATTAAGATGATTTAATCTTTTATTTCTTATAAAAAGCAATATAAAATTTGTGAGTTATACACGTAGTTTTTAATATTTGTAATTAATAATAAAAAGTATATTAAAAAATTGTGTTAGAACAATCGTTAATAATCATCCTGTAATTTAATTAGTACTGATAAAGAGATAATTAAGTAGCGTCTCTCTCTCTCACCTTCCCGTAGTTTAAAAGATTAAAGATTAATTAATGCGATGTTATCTCCCTTTCAAAAATTAATTACTTACAACCGTTTTCTTTATCCTTTTCTTGCTTCCTTTTGGTGAACCACGCTAATGAACTTGAAATGGACGCATGGAAATGAAAAGTGATAGTTGACATGCATTGATGGGAGTATCTGATGGACTAGTTACCTTGGGAATGCGTGGATTTCCTTTAATAACATAATGGGCATTCAATGCTGCCTAACAATGCTCAATTGGGTATTATCATATCATATCATGATTGCAATTCACAGAGTGCCAATTAGTACGTACAACATTGTTTTGTGAACCACATAGAAAAACATTTTTAGTTATGGAGAAGGGAATTGGAGTACTGGAAACTACAAGATCTTGCAAGCAGCTTATAGGAGGAGCTGATGAGGAATTAGAAGGCAACGATAGTGTCTTACGCATTGTGGAGACCCTCTTGCGTTTGCTTCCAATTGGTCTTTGTGTAATAGCTCTTGTCATTATGCTTAAGAACTCTCAGGAAAATGAGTATGGATCTATTTCATACACTGACGTTGGTGCTTTCAGGTATATACCCATCAAGTGCATCACGTAGATACAATTTTTTTGAATTTTATGAAAATGGAAATTAGATATACAGATATATAACTCAGGTTTTGAGCTTAGGTGTGGTTTGAGAGGCATAGAATTTTGGTGTGTTAGAGGATTTTGTATTAATTATTCATGACATAAATATGTGGAAATATTTGATGAACCAAAACTCTTATTTTGGTCTCTGGATTTTGTGTCTTGCAGGTATTTGGTGCATGCAAATGGCATATGTGCTGGATACTCATTATTTTCAGCAGTCATTGTTGCTTTGCCCCGTCCTTCCACCATGCCTCGTGCTTGGACTTTGTTTTTCCTTGATCAGGTCATCTCACTTTTTTTTAAATTTAAACAAAAACATGTTTGATTTATTAAGACCCAGACAATTAATTGTAGGATATTTAATTAAATTAAAAAAAAAACTATACAATTAATTTTAGGATATTTAATTAAAGAATTTTGCTAACTCAAGGGTTTGAGTTTAAATATCAATACACAGAAGATTTTTAAGTTAAAAATATATATATTTATTACTGTTTTTGATAAAATTTTATTATTATTGATTATTTATTTTCAAGTTGAGTTTAATAAAACTTTTAATTACATTCAATGCACACCTTTTATTTAATAAAATTCTACACAACTGTAAGATTTTTATATATATTCTTTAACATAACCAGGTTATATTAGAAAATGTTAACTTTTATTAATTGAGTTTAAATAATTAATAATAGTTCGATTTTACTTTAAAAATATTATATTTTTATAACCTTAATATGATAAATATAATTTAATAAAAATTAAAAAATATTAACTAATGTCCTAAGACACTGTTTAAGAAATTAAAAAAAATATGATAAAAATATTTCTTTCATAATTTTTAATGTAATTTATTATTATATTCTTTAATAAGATTTTTTATCTTTTAATTTTTTAAACTGATATTCTAAGAAACTAATTAATAAGGTTTATAAAAATTTAATATTTTTGAATGCTTAAATATCATCTTAAAAATTGTGATTAACATAATTTTATTACTTAATATATTATTTAAAATTTTTCCTTCTTATTGGGGCATGGATGACACACTGACTTGTATAGTTTACGTAAAATATGAGCAATCCAATACTGGTTATTAACCATTAATGTGAAATACTTAAAAAGAAATAAAATATGAAGGTGATTGAGGAGTGGGTTAACCTCCCATGAGTTGTCGTTATCTTTAAGTTATTTGTGCATTGAAAATAAAACTAAGATATTTTGTCACCATTAAATGAGATAATAAAGTTTTTTTTTTATAGTTTAGAGGTATATTTTTAAGAAACTGTGTTTGTTAAAAAAATATAAAAAATATTACATGTATATTAATTTTCAATGATGAAATAATAAAATTTAAATGAAAATGACTACGTTTATAACCAATATCAGAGGCATTTTGAATAATTAAGATTTTTATGTTTTTTCACAACATTAAATGCTTTTAGCTGGGTTACTCTAAATTAGCACGTTCGGTAGTAGTAGTGTCACAACAAGTACACTGATGTTTTGCTTGAATGATGAAATATTTATTAATTTTATTGATTTATTTAATAAAAAATTTAAATTAATTAATTTCTTATTTTATAAAAATATTAAATAATAAAAATATTTAAGTTTGACGCATATCTCAACGAATTATATTTTATATATATCTTTGAATTTGGTTTAGAAGAAACCAGAAGAAATTGGATAAAATTGAAAAGGACATGTTTACCCCTTTTAATACTGTGCATCACCAAGGCTCAACTCGAAGATGCAAAGTTTTTTTGTTTTTTTCAAACATAATAGGGTCATTTTTGTCAAAACACATAACTACCATATCCAACTGTTCTCAAAATGGTAGCATTATTGTACTGAAAGTTTTACCATGGACTCCACTCCTCTGTTACAATTTACTTCCTTCCACTGAACAAGGACGCAAGCAAACAATGAAAAAACCAACCTTTACTCTCAAAATCATTGCACTCATTTTCTTTTCTTCAATTTTCAGCTCATCCAAACAGTGTTACTGACTCCATCCCGTGGGAGCGGATCAAGTTGTATTTAGTAGTGGGAATGAGACTTAGGATTAATATAGTAAATTGTACGGTAAATGAGAGAGAGAGAGATAAAAAAAATGGTACCATATTTAGTGTTAGTTAACCAAAAATGTTTTTGATAATGAAGAATGTTTTGTTAAAAAATAATATTGTAAACAATTTGAAGAGAGTCTTATAAAAAAGATGATGGCAAAAGGAAAGAGAGTACCTCAAATTTTGATGTCAAAAAGAAGAATGGCTAATAAAATTTTTCCCACTTATATAAAATATATAAAAAATGAATATGGTTTTGATTTGTGGTTGTAGGTGCTAACATACATAATTCTGGGTGCTGGAGTTGCGTCAGGGGAGTTATTGTACCTGGCAGAGAAGGGAGACGCCCCAATAACATGGAGCTCAGCTTGTGGTTCTTTTGGTCCATTTTGTCACAAGGTCATTGCATCAACATCAATAACATTTGTTGCAGTTCTTTGCTATGTCTTGCTTTCGCTCATTTCCTCCTACAAGCTATTCAGTAAGTATGATGCGCCAGCGAGCAATAAGGGTACTGATGGTGCTGCTTTCAACGGCTGATCCAAAACCTTGAATTGTCATATGTAATTTGTGTTTCTAGAGAGGATCATAACATTCTGCTATGTGTACCATTTTGATTTAGGCAGGACTCATAGGACATGCTCGTGGTTGACTTAAACTTTATTATATTATTGATGCTACAAAATAAAAAGGCACGCCCCTGCTTGCTCTTGAAGTGTCCCAATTGCAATTATCTATATTCTTTTTCCCCGAGAAAACAAAATTCTCCATCATGTGCATCATCATTGATAATTACTCAATATCAACAATTTTGGCCTTCTCATTGTGTCACATCTGAGATTATAGAGATTATACAATTTTCCCACTAGTTAATTCTTTAGGTATTGCTTTAATAAAATCGGAATAAGTAGTGTAGTGTTCCTACTAGCCATAATTGAACCATCACCCTCTCCCCCCCAGCAGGAACCAAATGTTTTATCATTGTCCATTTTGGTATGTGATAGGAATTCCGAACGAAAGTTTCATATACAGTGCAGTGGCAGATTAAAGACGATGATTGATTATTTATTGCATATCTTGTTGAACAAGCGTAAGAACACAAAAATATAGTGACAAATGGTCCACATTTCAACACAACTCACCTTTGCCAGGAAAAAGAACCCAACAAGATTCTAACACCCAAAATCTACCAACCACATAAAACCAGAAACACAGCAATAATAGATCCAGCCATCTAATTGATGAATAGTCAGAACAACAAATTACAATGATCCATATTCGAAATTTCGAACCCACTTGCTGAAACTCCAAAATTGACCTTATTATATTAACAAAGGCCATAGAGTAAATCAAACACAAAACACGCTTCAAAGTTGAAATGAAACTAAATTGTTCATAGTCATACTCATACCTAGTCCTTCGGATTATTTAACAATTTACCAAACCCCATATTAACAAAAGGGCGGGCCAAAAAAGAAAAGTTAAAGTATGACCAAATCAATGGCTAGCAGTCTGACTGAGAAGAGTCCATCCAAATGAAAGTGTGCACAGCATTAGACCCACTAGCGCCACCATAAAATATTTCCTGTGAGCATAATGATTAGTTTATTGCACATTAGTAGTTTTAGAAAAATCACCAAGTACGGTTAATTATAAACAGTTTTTGTAAGAAATATTAAATTCTGATATTTTTTATTTTCAATAAAAATTTATTGTATATATTATTGAATGCGTTTGGATATATGTTCGAAAAACAGAATCATAAATTTTATTCACTTGATCATTCAAATGATAATAAAAAATCCATATTTTTTTAAACTCGTTCTTCTCTCAGAAAGAGAAGGAGAGAGAGAGCAACCCGATCGTGAGACGGTTCTGGGGTTCGCCAGTGGCATAGCCTGTGAAGTAGAAATATCGAGCAACGGTGTAAAGTACTCCAAGAGCAGCACAAATGGAAGGGTGCTTCAGCCCTCCCAAAATCATCAACATGAAGAAGATAGCCATCGTTTCCAGCGAGTTTTGATGCCCTCTCTGCACTCACCAAAACACACACACACACGTCATTAATCACCCCATAAACCATAAGCAAAAAACTCCATCATTTAACCAACAGAAGGAAAAGAAAGAAGTTCATGATAAATCCACCCTTGCGTTTTTTTTTTTTAACAACAATTCTTACATTCAAAAGACAAATAAAAAAAATTAAATAGGCGATAAAATAGAGAAAAAACAAATCATTATAAAAGAATAATATTGTAAGTATATATACACGCATATATGTGAAATATTAGTAACACGTTTTGAAGAGACTCTTTTAATACACAGTTCAAATTTATTGAAAAGAGAGAGAAAGACCTGAACGCAGTTGAAGAGCTTGGCATCTTTGTTTTCGGATTCAGAAGCATAAAGGGTGGGATAATACACTTTATACCTGTGGAGAATTTCGACAAACACTTTGTAAACAAAACAATGAGTTCCATGTGTATATGCATAAATAAAAATGGAGTGAAGAAAAAAGCACTTACTTTTTGCGAGCCATACCCACTTGAGCGGCCATGTAGAAGTTGAGGAAACAGTAGAGAACGAGAACGATGGCTACCAAGCCATATTCTTTTGGTAACAATTCAATCACCGTGGCCATTTTTCGCTGATGGGGTTGTTTTTTGGAACGAACCAGATGAACGATGCAGAAACTGGAACAGTAACGAATGCAAGTTTTTAAGATATACGGGGCATAACGTGATAGGACATAGAATGCAGAGTCACCCACCGTTTGGAAGATATATTTGTTGCACATGGGATCTTATTAATTCTTTAACTTGTTGAAAAAGAAAGGACGTAATATATTTTTTTTTATATTTAAATAATTTTTTAGTATAATATATTAAAATAATTAAAAATATTTTAATAAGTTTTATGATCAAATTTAATTATAATATAAATTTTATGTAAAAAGAATTTATTGAATTAATATGTTATTTATTATTTTTTAACCCATGTCCTTAAGACACTGATTAAGAATATTTTTTTAAGTTATATTAGTTATTAATGACTTTTATTAACTTTAGTATTTATAACTGACTTTAAATATTTAAAAATAATAATTTTTATTAAAAAATAAGACATTTAGTATATTAAAGATAATAAATGTAATAAAAAAATTTACTATTATTAGTTAGTTAAACTCAAATTCAGATCAATGTTAATATTTTTTATTTATTAATATAATTCTACCATAATTTTTAAGATGTTACTATTCAATACCTTTAAATTATTGGTTAAATATTTTAAGTTATTTTATTTTATTTTTATTAAAATCACGTTGAACATTAAAGCTCTTTGCCTAATTTTTAATATATGTTTTAATAAATATATTTTATTTGATGAATGGGGGCTATTAAAATTTTCCTTAATGAATTTCAAAAGCTTTGAGAGACCCCACAAGCCGAAATATGACTTACAGGGAGAGTTGGGGTCACAAAAAAACCTGCGGGCATGATATGTTAATTGCTCCACCCTTTCATTTCCAAGGCGCCGTTAGTAATGAACATAGCGTGTATGGAAGCCCAAAAATGTTTCACCCAAATTAATATGTAAATAACATTTTCCAAGAAAAAAAAAAGCAAAAAGAACTCTTATACACCATTTTCCTTTCCTTTATAAGTTGCTTCTCTCCACTTCACTTACAACCAATATTATCCAACATTCTCATATTCTGCGATATGGAATGGCTAGAAGAAGACTAGGCATCAATCTCAGATTTTTGTTATCATTATTATTATTATTTACCTTCTGATTGTTATTATTATTATTATTATGATATTCAACTATGAGAACCTTCTTTATATTGTATTATTGGACTTTCAACACGGGTAGTTGAAGTGTTGAACAATATATGGAGTTAAACTGTTTAGTTGATTAAGTAGATTCATTCACTATATACATCTATCTTTTTATTTCATATTTTATGCTATATATAAAATTATCGGAAATTGATAACTTTTGTTTTTACAATTGATTGCTTTAGATTTGAGAAAGAGACAATGGGGATGGAGCATAAGATGGAGAAGCTTTGCAAAGGGAAAGAGGATTATGAGAAATTCAGCTTTTTACAGATTGTATTTTCTTGGACTATCAAGGATATTCTGAACGAAAATCTTTACAAACATAAGGTTCTTTTACTATTTTTTAACACTCAAATCAAAAGCGCATGTATCCCGAAAATATGTGCCAAAATCTTATTAATATTATACATTATATTCTTTCATACTACGTCTCCTAATTAGTGAAATATATAATTTTCTCATTGCATGAAATTTTATAAAATTATATTAACACTTAGTCTCCCTTTATTGATAAAAAGGTTTTGTTCTCTCTCTATGTTACCTATTACTACATGAATCTAAAAAGATTAGAAATTTAAGTAGTGACATGAAACAATTATTTTTTCAAATCTCTCAGATACAAAAGATACCAGATACGTTTAAGTCACCGTCAGATTACTTCAGCTCTTTCATTCCTCCGTTACTCGAAGAAACACACTGTGATCTCTCATCAAGCTTGATGGGCGTGTCGAGAGCTCCTTTTTGGGAAATCTCGACTGTTAAATCGTCCAAACACTTTCGTCTGCCTAAGGACTTGTTCTATCTGATTAAGTTGAGGAACACAATTGTTGAAAACGAAGATAATGAAAAGTATGAGCTTGAGAAAGGTGATGTCATAGCCTTCACAGATATTAGACCAAAAAGTGTTGATGACTTGAACACGCATAAAAGATACTTTCATATTGCTTATGTTTGCGGGCCAAAAGATAAAGATACTGATGAAATCCCACTGTTGTCATCAAAGTGCATGGAGGTGGATATTGAATATAAATATATGAGCAGCAGAGGACAAAAACTATATGGAATCTATCTTTTGAACTTGACAACAAATATTCGTATTTGGAAAGCCTTGAACTCAGAGTTGCAGGGTGGAACTGAAAACATGAGCATTATTAAAAAAGTGCTCAGACCATGTTTAAACGTAAGAATCACTGGATACCCATTATTCACACTATTGACCTTTATTTTTTCTGCATGGGAAGTTATTTTGAATATGTGTAGTGTAAAACAAGCAACTCCTGTATTTAAACACGTATTTTCTCTTATATATATATATTTTTTTATTTTTTTTCTTCCTTTCTTTCTATATTCTCCTTTTTTTCTCGTAACATCATCAATTACATCTCATACTTCTCTCTTCATCTTTTTCCTTATCACTGATCCTTTTCAACCAAATTGTCTACAACCCCCTCTGCAGCAGAATTTTAGCCTTAAGATTATTAAGAGAGAAAGTGAATGAGTATTAAAAATATACTATAAATACTTTATACATGACTGGACCATCCTGCTGCAGGAGAGGATATCTGAATCCAACTCTCTCCCTTCCCTTCATCTCCTTTACGCCCTTAAAAGGGGCATCAACCAATAAATTTCCTAAATTACAGTATATATGTTTATTTTCTAATATTGAGAGAAGTGACCATCTTTCATTGGTTATATATATGGTGAATATTTCTTTATTTGATTCTCTTTCTACAGATAAATATCAAAGTAACAAGTTTAGGTTTTGCTTTTATGTTTTTCAGAATGGGGAAGATTGTAAAAATTGAGAGTCTGGAGTAAGAGACAGGCTTAGCTTTGGCATTAGACCATACATACTTCACTCTCAGAATCTGAATGAATCTCAGGAAGATGCTATTTCATGCTGTGTTAATATGATAAAATGTGATCATAATGAGACTAAGCTTATATGGGGTCCACCCGGGACAGGAAAAACAAAGACTGTTTCTTGTTTATTATTTTCTCTACTCAAGTTAAAATCTAGAATATTGGCATGTGCTCCAACAAACACTGCAGTGTTGCAGGTGGCATCTCGGTTGCATAGTTTAGTTAATGGTTCTTTTGGGTATGATACATATGGGTTAGGTGACATAGTTCTATTTGGCAATAGGAAGAGAATGAAAGTGGATTCTTATCCGGGCCTTGGAGATGTCTTTCTTGATTATCGTGTAGAGACTCTTATGAAGTGCTTTGTTCCATTAACCGGTTGGAAGCATAGCTTGGAATCAATGATCCAGTTACTTAAGGACCCCAAGGGACAATATTTATTGTATGAGAAAGAGAATGGTCTTATGACATTAGAAGATTTTGTTATGGAAAAGAATATTATTTTGAGACATGCATATCGTGCATACGTGCGATCGTATGATCCTATGTCGTTTATGGAGTATGTGAAGATGAAACATGAAGACATTATGGAACAATTCCTTTCATATCAACATGATGAAAAGGAAAGGATAATGACAATTGAGCAATTTGTAAAAAACAGATTTGGGGACTTAACAGAAAAACTTAACTTCTTGATGCAATCTTTGTGGACTCACTTACCAAAATCTTTCATTACCGAGGAAAATGTGAGGAACATGTTTGGAGCTCTAGATTTGCTAAGATCCCTTGAAGCAGGATTGAAGAAAGCTTTACCTGATTGTGATGATGAAGAAGAAAGCATTACTGGTTTCTTTGGATGTTCAAACTTCGACAGATTTGAGTGCCTTAAAATACTATGTTCACTTTCCGAGTCAATTTCACTTCCTGAAATTTTAGGGAAAGGCAAAATGGAAAAATTTTGCTTGTTAAATGCGGGTATAATTTTATGTACGGCATCAAGTTCTATTAAATTGTACACAGAAGGAATGACACCAATAAAAGTTACAGTAATTGATGAAGCAGCTATGCTCAAAGAATGTGAATCGGCAATTCCCTTGCAGCTGCCAGGACTCTCTCATTGCATCCTAATAGGCGATGAGAAACAGCTTCCTGCATTGGTCAAAAGCAAGGTACTTGAAATTTACTGTTTTTTTTTTTTAATTTGAGGTGTGGGAATTTTAGTAATTATTAAATATTGCTCTCTAATATGTTAAATAATGATTTTTTAGATTGCTGAAAAGGCTGAATTTGGAAGAAGCATGTTCGAGAGGCTTGTACTTTTAGGATACAAGAAGCATATGCTTAATGTTCAGTATAGAATGCATCCATCCATCAGCTTGTTTCCATGCAAAGAGTTCTATGATGAGAAACTTTCTGATGCCCCAATTGTCCAGGACAAAAGTTATAACAAGCGCTTCCTTGAAGGAGAAATGTACGGTTCATATTCTTTTATCAATCTAGCTAAGGGCAAAGAGCACTTTGGTCGTGGAGGGCATAGTTTGAAGAACATAGTTGAAGCTGCTGTTATTTCTGATATTATTGGAAGTCTTAAAAAAGGTTCTTATCGCCTTGTTCTATTTGTTGTGCTAATTTTGTATTGCATGGACAGTTATTCTGTAATAAATCTTCATCTTTAGTTTACATTATTGTTTGTAACACATTTTCATTTTACCAGAGTTTATGAGGACAAGGAACAAAGTTAGCATAGGAATCATATCTCCATACAATGCTCAAGTTTATGAAATCCAGGAGAAAGTTAAGCAATATACTTCGGTTACTGATCCTGATTTCTAGGTTAGTGTTCGTTCTGTTGATGGGTTTCAAGGGGGTGAAGAAGATGTTATAATATTCTCCACTGTGAGATCAAATGGGAGTGGAAAAGTGGGTTTTCTTTCTAATAGACAAAGAGCTAATGTGGCTTTGACTAGGGCTAGGTATGTTATTTATATATTATGGTCATTTTGTCACGCAGCTACATATCATAATAATATGCACCGGTTGGTTGAAAATTATTATTTTTTAATGCAGATATTGCCTTTGGATATTAGGAAATGCAGCAACTTTAGTCAATAGTGACTCTGTGTGGAGAAAACTTGTTCTTGATGCTAAGAAAAGAGACTGTTTCCATGATGCTAATGAAGACAAGAAATTGGGTCAAGTTATTGAGGATGCCTTGTTTGAGCTTAAACTACTTGAAGAATCTGAGTCACCGTTTAAGAAACTAAGTCTTGGTGAAAAGTCAGAAAAAACTACTTCTTTCTCCAAGTAAGTGGACCCTTAACTTCATAATAACTTCTAAAGAGAGAAGTATACATTAACTTTAACTTATTAGAAGAGTTTTATCATATTTTATATTATTTTCACATGACGTATAATAGTAACTTGTGTTTAGACCAGCATGCAAAAACATTTATCTTCATTGAATATTGCTCTATTATCCGTATATGTACTGCATATATGTTGATTGATGGCAGTGTTAAGAGTATTCCTGAGACTCCTCTTCGTATAATTTCCAGAATTTCATTCCGTGGCAGGACCAGGAAACTAAGGAGGTAATGGTGATGAATGAAGTTGGTGATTCGATCCTTCTAAAGAGTGATGATGTTTAATTTGAAGCACCGTTGTGTGTGACATTATCATGGAAATACAATCCTCAAGGGGTTTCATTACATTTTGAATTTGTGCACAAGTAGCAGACATTCTGATCGGTGTGTTATCATTTATGTTTGCAGTAGAAACCACTGTTACGAACAAATTTCCTCTTTACAATGTTTTTTTTATCTCTCCGCGTATGTCTTATAAACTATAACAGATACACTTTATCAACTTGTTTTATATATCTACCTAATTTTATCACAACACATGGCAGAACTTGGGAATTTTATATATCTACTTAATTTTATCAACTTTATCCATTTGCAGATCTTAATAAACTTCTCGCCAATCTAATTTTGTTGTCTAGAAGAGTTTTATTAATTTAAATTCAGGTTATGTGACTGTACAATTTTATTTTATTGAATAGAGTATTCCCAAACAAATTGGTAAAATGAAGAAAATACTAATTGTTATATATTTGAGTTTTACTTATATTGATGGCCTGAGAAATTTGATACCCCACAATTTCAGATATTTTCAGAAGAAAAAAAAATAAAAGTATAAGAGTATGTTTGATTTCTCTTTTAAAAAGAGTTTTTTATTTTTTTAAAATATAATATAAATTTAATACTATATTAAAAAAACAGAAAATTCTTTTTAAAAAAGAAATCAAACATAAAATGTATGTTACTTGGATCTCCACAGAAAAATGTTATCTTGCCAAATTAAACTTGCCAAAAAAAGGCTTCAATGTTTTTTCAGTATGCCTAATTAGTAACAAGTAAAAATCTTTAATGTTTTAAACTCAAATGAACTTCTTAATTTTCATGTGCTGACTCTTTCGGTTATGGTCCATCAAGGTTATAAACATTGTGACGATGTTACTGATGCGTATAAAGAATCAATTTGTGGTATTTCATTTTGAAAAAAAAAAAACAAAAGCCTGATAATTTAAACACGATAAAACATAAATAAAAAATACTGATATATTCCTATGATATAGAACCAAAATAATATAAGATTAAAATGTCAGACATTTTTTATTACTCCTTCTTTCTGTTTCTGGTAACATATATATATAATGTCATTTTTTTTGCATTGTGATGCATAGAATAATAGTTTTTTAACACATGATGACGTAAACCTTGCTAAGGTGTTCAGTTGTTCGAAATGGCATATCCCGAAAGAAAAACAAAAGTGACTTTCAGAAGAGGCACATTGCATCTGAAGCACTGTTTTCCATATTTCAGTGGAAAGATAAATTGCCAACAATTCTGCAAATCACGAAATTTCGAGTGATATGAAACATTGCATGTGTTAAGTATAAAATGTCATTTTGTTTTTCCATTGAAACTACTAAGATAAAAGTTACTAAATACTATAACTCTCATATAGTTCCAGTTTTTCTAAGCCTTATGTAAAGGGCTTACTTTCACCCTAAATCTTAATATATAAATAAAATGTGAGTTAGGGTTGGAAGTGAATTAACCCATACTTTTTATAAAATAATTAATGAATATTATATTTTTTTTAATAAAATCATTTATGTTTAAAATTGATAAAAATATATATTTTAAAATAAAAAATTACATCAATTTAAGATTAGTTAAAATTTAAATTTATAAATATTTATTAATTTTTCTAAGTTTACAAGTTATTTTTTTGCATCAATAAATTTTATAATATTAAATATTATATATTTATAATTTTTATGATGACAATGTTGTATTTATTTTTTAAAATATTAATTTTTAGTATTTTAATAATATATAACTTAACAAATTTAGCTAACGTTATTTTTTATGGTCAGTTTTATATCTCTATTATGACTTTAAAATTATTTATCAAACATGTAATCTTAGAATAATTTTATAAAAAAAATAAATGAATATATTTTTATATAAAAAATTAATAAATATTATTTATTTTTTAATAAAAAATATGTGTTTATTTATTATTTTTATTAAATTATTTTATTTAAAATTATATTTTAAATATAAAAATATTTTTAAAAATATTTTTTTATCAATTCAGTATAATCAAATTATTTTACTTTAAAAATAAATTTTATCAAATTAAAATAAATTAAATTTCAAATAATATTTATTAATTTTTACTAAGTTTATACATTTTTTATTTATTAATTTTGTAATATTAAATATCACTTATCTGTAATTTTTAAGATGATGATATTATATTTATTTTTAACATATTAAATTTTATTTAAATAAATTATTTAAAATTTTTTAACTATTTGATAACAAGATTTAATAAATTTAACTAATTTTATTTTTTATTGTTAATTTTGTGTTATTGTTATAACTTTATAAATATTTATTAAATATGTTATATTTTTAAAATAATTTTATAAAAATAAATAAAATATAATAATATAGAAATATTAAAATATAAATTTTTTTATGATTAATACTCAAATAAAATTATAAAATAACACATTAAAAATTATTTATAAAATTATCTGAATGAAAAATGTTACTATATATTTAATAATTATCAATAATATAAATAAAAATTAAATAAAAATGTAGATTAATTTAATAATAAATTATTATATTTTATTTAATATTATATAAATTAATTACTTTTTATCTATTTTTAAATAATTTTATTATTTATAAATTTATATAAAAAATATGTTATATAAAATAAATATTTTTTATATTATAATAATTTTTTAAAGATAGCTGCCCATGAATTAGTTCAAACCCACGGGCTTTTTGACCCAATGAATTTTTATATGGTGAAATTTTTTATCCTATAGGCCTTTTAGCTCTAACCTACGTAGATTAAGACTAAATTAGTCAGAATTGGCACATTTAACACCTCTATCAAACATTTAACTTTTAAATTGTCATTTTAAGTATAATATGCAGTGTCTTGATAATAGTTAGATGCTATAACCTGTATCAAACGGGTTTCATTTTGGGAAAAAAAAAAAAACATTTTAAGACTTGTATATATTAAAATAAAAAAGTAAAGGAGAACTTCCCAGTGATTATAAATAAGGTTCAGTGTTATACACAATTATTTTAAAATAAAAATTGTTTTTGCAATACACAATCGGTGGTATGCAATAATAAAATTTTTATATTCTTCAATAATGTGAATACTTTAATTCTCAATTTAAAATAAAGTAAATAGGGATATAACTTTTATGTGCTTATCTATAAAGAATTATAATTATAATTATATTTAAAATTAATTTAAAAAGTATTAAAATTATAATAAAATACATTAAAACTATATATATAGTAACGTTTTTTAATAAAATAATAATAATTTTCACTTTTAACTCGTCACCATTGTTCGATTCCAATTCCATGGATTCATTACTACTTGATGTTTTTGTTCACGCTTACCGATGTTCCTTTCACCTTATTTACGTTGATGTCTTCTATTCATTACACGTTACTGGCTGTGTACAAACCGACCCGATGCAGGCTGTGGATCCTCTCAACTCTCCAGATATAATTCATGCATTTATTACTACAATTCATGCATGCATCTACACATGACTATTTGTATTTCTTAAATTTACACCCTTCCTATTCCTTTACTTATGTAGTAATAAATACAAGTGTAGAACTCAAGAATTTTAAAAATCGATTCTTTTAATTCACAGAATAATAAGTTATGTATAATATTTTTTTATTAAAAATTATAGCTTTTAATAATAAGTTATATATAGTATTTTTAATATTGGATTTTTTTTTAATTTCTTGTAAAAATATCACTTCAATAATTTACCTCAACCTTTAACATTGACGTTTCAGTTCCATAGATTTGTCCAGGGTTATATCAAGCTCTGAAAACAGCAGAGAAAGTACTTGAGTAAAGATGAGTCCTTCAGAGAGTAAGTTATACATGCATGCATTTTGGTTATCTCACAATTGGAATGATCTCACTTATTGTTGATTATCTTGACCAATAATTTTCAATCGTTGTTTAGACGTTAAGTTCATTACAATTTCAAAATCATCAATAGTATTAGCAAATTCCTTAGTAGCGTATATGAAGCTTCAATCCTTCAGCTGAATTTACATGCACCTAATCCTCCACTTCATAGCTTCCTTTCTTTTACTTCTTCCACCGACAACAAAACCAACACTATACAAAGTCAACAAAATTAGCTTTACATGTTCACATTGGAGTCAACCTTGCTTTTATCTTTGTTTCAAAGGGTGTGAGGAATATTGTAGATAACCATTTCACTCTTGGTATCATTTGTATCTTTAGTTGTGATGTTTTATTAAGGTAAAGTGGCTTTTTATTTCAATAATTAACGGTTCATTACTCATGATAATATTTTTTCTTCTTTTCAGTTTTATCATGGAAATAATGTAAGTAAATGCGGCTTAGCTGTTGAAAAAGTTTTGTATGTGAACTGTTCAGTTGCTTAACTGGTAAGCGACTCTCTTTATATGTCCTTGTGTTTTGTTTGTCTTGTGTGTAAAAACAAGGAGAAGCTGGGAAAACACGTTGTGTCACTGATAATTGATCAACAAGGAGCAAGGATGAACACGACTTGTAATACAACGGGGGGAAATCTTGAGCATGCAAGCTTGTTAAATATTGTATTCTCTTGGACTCTCAATGATGTTCTCAACAAAAATCTTATCAAACACCAGGTTGTTTTCCATATTTCGATACTTTTAAGATTTCAATTGTCTGCACGTGTTTAATCACCGATATATTCATCATTTTTTTTTTCCTATGCCTCAACTTTTTAATTTCTTTAGTTGGAAAATTATTTTACCTACAAAGCAAAATATTTTGTGTTGCTCATAATCTTCACATCATTTGTTTCTGCTTTAGTGAGGAAAATATATTATGAAATTGTCAACGTGAGGTCTGTAACAATATTTTTTAGTTGGAAAATCTAAGTACTTGGATATATATTTTCCCATTTTTCTTATGCATAAATGCCCTCTTCATTTTTCTGTTTTGACATGTGAAATGTGCTTTTAGATTTAAAATCTGTTTACATAAAATCAGAAAGTGCCTACCGTTCATATTTCTAGGAAAATATTCCATTGTGTCCTTGTAAATGCAAATTGAAACATTGATTTCTTACAGGTACGTAAGATTCCACAAACATTCCTGTCAACAAAAGATTACATGAATTCATTCATTCCTGCATTAATTGAGGAAACTCATTGTGATCTGGCTTCAAGCTTGATAAGTGTGTCTCAAGCTCCTTGTTGTGAAATCAGAACAATTGATTGGTCCAAGGACTTCAAACCTCCCAATAACTTGTTCTATCAGATTACATTGAAGAGCACTATTGATGATTTGAAAAATGTAGGAAAATATGAACCTGAGGTAGGCGATATTTTTGCATTCACAAATGTGAGACCAAGAAGCATAGAGGACTTGAACAAGCCCTTAAGATGCTACCATATTGCTTTTGTTCGAGGGCCAAAAGATTTATATACTGATGAGATACCTATACTGTCATCCATGAGCATGGAGAATGATATGAAATCTGACTTGAGGAGTAACAAAGCACAAAAGCTTTATGCTGTCTACCTTTTGAACATGATAACCAATCTTCGTATTTGTAAAGCCTTGAACTCTCAATTGGAGGGTGCAAGCATGAACATTGTTAAGAAAGTGCTAAAAGTTGAGCATTCAACGGTGAGAATTGCCAAACCATTCTCTTTTATTCTTGATAGCTTTCTATGTTATTCAATACTCCCTCTATATATATCTTATGTTATATTTGGCGTTCCATGTTTTAGTTTATCTCAAAAATTTTGTCATTATACAAAATTAGAATAGTATTTGTTTTTCTTTTTTTTTATAATACCCTTAATTATTTATTAGTATTAATTTTACGTAAATATTTAAATGAATTCTCAGTTGTGTACATTATAACTCTTCTAACAAGGATATTTTTGTTAAATTCTTTTTTACAAATTAATTATGTATAAATAATTTTCTTTAAAAAGTATTGTACGTTACAAGACAAATATAATATGAATCAAAGGAAGTAACATACTGAGATATTGGTGCTTAAGTATTACTTTAACACCATGGGAAACATGTTCTGCATGGGAATTGAATTAGAAATGTCCATGCACTCTTAGAAATGCTTATTTTAATCACTGTAAACCAACACGTTCCTTCAGGGCTTCTAATAAAATTACTTAATGTTTTGATATTTTTCCTTTCTCTATCGTTATGAAGAAGAAACATGTTTCCTGTTTCCTTTGTATTTCACAGAGTGGAGAAAACTGCCACATTTGCTTGACTGGAGAAAATCACAATCGAGCCTATTCTATTGCTCAAAACATAATAAACACTCAGAATCTGAATGAATCTCAAAAAGATGCGATTCTAAGTTGTGTCACAATGAAGAAGTGTCCTCATCATAATGACACTATTAAACTTATATGGGGCCCACCAGGAACAGGCAAAACAAAGACAGTTGCTTCTATGTTATTTTCACTACACAAGCAAAAAACCAGAACATTAACATGTGCTCCAACTAATACTGCAGTGTTGGCAGTGGCATCTCGGTTGCATAGTTTGGTTAAGGATTCATTAAAGCATGATACATATGGGCTTGGTGATATAGTGCTATTTGGCAATAGTTCTAGAATGAAAATAGACACTTACAAGGGTCTCGGTGAAGTATTTTTGGATAATCGTGTGAAAGATTTGTTGCATTGTTTTTCTCCAGTGACTGGATTGAAACATTACTTGCAATTGATGATCAACTTTCTGAAGGATCCCGAAGTGGAATATGGTTTATACAAGGTTGGTGTGAGTGTTGATTTAATGTCACTAGAAGAATTTGCTAAGCAAAATGGGTGTAATGTGGGACCTTCATATCGTTCATACAAGAGACGTGTTGAGAAGAGTCATGCTCCTATGATATTAGAGCAATTTGTGGAGAAAAGATACCCTCATATTTCAGAGCAATACCTTTTGTACAAGGATGAAAGAATGTTAAGTGCTGGTATGACAATAGAGCAATTTGTAAAGCATAAATTCAGTTTCATTGGAGAGAAGCTCAAGTTATTCATGAAAATTTTGTATACACATTCACCAACTTCTTTTATTCCATTAAAGGTGGTGAAGAGCATGTTGAGAGCTTTGAAATTGCTAAAATCACTTGAAATTTCCATGCATCAAAACAAGTCCAAACAAACTCTCCCTGACTGTGAAGATGGAGAAAGCATTCTTAGGCGCTTTGGATGGTTAGGCTTCAAAAGAGAAAAATGCCTTCGCATCCTAAGTTCAATTTCTCAGTCAATTTCATTTCCTAATCTTAGAACCAAAAAAGGCATATCAACTTTTTGCTTGATGAATGCGTGCCTAGTTTTTTGTACAGCTTCAAGTTCTTCAAAGTTGCACACTGAAGGGATGAGAAAATTCAAATTTTTAGTAATCGATGAAGCTGCCCAATTAAAAGAATGTGAATCAGCCATTCCATTACAGCTTCCAGGCGTCCATCGTTGTATACTCATTGGTGATGAGAGACAACTTCCAGCAATGGTCAAAAGCAAGGTACTCAAGAGTAGTTATTATCATTATTATTATTATTATTATTATTATTATTATTATTATTATATTTTGTGATTTTGATTGTGGCTATTGAAGTTTTGTTTTAATATGATTAAAAATAACTTGATCAAACTTATATTACTATATTATTATCATTATTTTTTTATTTCAATTGTGGATGTTAAAGATTTTTGTCTAATGTTTAAATTAATGAATCTTCAGATTGCTGACAAGGCTGAATTTGGAAGAAGTTTGTTTGAGAGGCTAGCGTTGTTGGGGTACAAGAGGCATATGCTTAATTTTCAATACAGAATGCATCCATCCATTAGCATGTTTCCAAGTAAAGAGTTCTACGAAGAGCAACTTTCTGATGCCCATAATGTCAAAGAAAAAAGCTATAATAAGCGGTTCCTTGAAGGAAAAATGTATACTTCCTACTCTTTTATAAACATATCTAAGGGTAAAGAGCAGTTTAATCATGAATACAGTTTGAAGAACAAAGTTGAGGCTGCTGCTATCTCTGAGATTATTGGAAGCCTTAAGAAAGGTTACTTATTATTACTCCTTCTCATGTGTCATGGAGTGTGTGTTAATCATGTGCTGCATTGACTGTTTCTTAAATAAAGAAATCTTAAGCTGTAGATATAATATTTATATACCATATACATTACATGATCCCATTTTGGTTTTTTTTTTTTTTTTTGTTGCCAGAGTTTGTGAGGACAAGAAAGAAAGTTAGCATAGGAATCATCTCTCCATATAAGGCTCAAGTCTTTGAAATCCAGGAGAGAATTAAGCATTACATTTCAGTTTCTGATTCATATTTCTCTGTTAGTGTTCGTTCTGTGGATGGTTTTCAAGGTGGTGAAGAAGATATTATAATACTTTCCACTGTGAGATGTAATGGGAGTGGAAAAGTGGGTTTTCTTTCCAATAGACAAAGAGCAAATGTGGCTCTTACAAGAGCTAAGTATGTTACTTAAATATTATATTACTTACATATTATGGTCATTCTGTATGCTACTTCCTGTAATAGTGATATATGATATGCAACAGTTGAGTTGAAATTGGGTTTATTTTATGTAGATATTGCCTTTGGATATTAGGCAATGCAGCAACTTTAATCAACAGTGACTCTGTATGGAGAAAGCTCGTTCTTGATGCTAAGCAAAGAGACTGTTTTCATAATGCTGCTGAGGACAAGAAATTGGGTCAGGCTATTGAGGATGCCTTATTTGAGATTGAACTACTTGAAGAACCTGAGTCACCGTTTAAGAAACTGAGTCTAAGGGACAAGTACAAGAAAGCTACTACTTCCTCCCGGTAAGGGTAGGAATAATCTTTTACAATTTATGGCACAAAATGATTTTCATATTCATATTAAAAAATGTATAATACCCAATAACAATTCCATCTGAAGTAAATTCAGACCAGCATGCAAAAAATAATGTCTTTATTAAATGGTACACTATGTTTATGCAAGTATTTTTCTCACTCATGTAGATTGGTATCAGTGTTAGTTTCAGAACTTAATATCAGTACTAATTTTAATCTCTTGAATTTTTCTATGACAGGCCACGGAACCGAGGTGGTGATTGAGGAGGCAGTTGAATTAATTAAGGGGTATCAAAGTGAAGACACTGAAGCGCATGGATATTTACTTTTTGAATTTCTGCAAAAGTAGCGTACACTTGCGTTCTCATTTAAGTTTGCAATTTTTAATTAAGAACATAATTTATCCAGAGTTTCTGTGCTACGTATTTTTGTTATATATATATATAAACTATGACAAGTATTAATGAACAAACAGAGATCAAAATATATGGACGATAAGTATTAATGAACAAACAGAGATCAAAATATATGGACGAAAAAATAAAACCGTGAACGGCAGGATTCGAACCTGCGCGGGCAGAGCCCACATGATTTCTAGTCATGCCCGATAACCACTCCGGCACGTCCACCACATGCTTAGGGGTTTCGAAAATTATTAATTTCTATTATGTAATATAGATCTAAAGATTTTGAGAACGCTGTTTTTAATTTTATACTTTTGAAATACTTTTAGTTTCTTGTATAATATGGATGAGATAAAATAAGAGAGATAAAAATAGAAAAAAATCAATTGTTAAATTGAGTTAAAAAAAGGGGATAAAGACATACTCATTCTTCATCGTCTTTGCATTTTGTTTTGTTTTGTGAGTAATATTACAATTTTTAGTTACTTAAATTACTAAATTAAAAATAAAATAAAAGAACCTACATTTTTTATTATAGTTTTGCTTAATTTTTAATTCTTATTGTTGAAATCGAGTTACATATATGATATATTTATACTACTTTTCGTGTTATATCTTTATATAAAACTATTTTTTAATCATATCAATAAATTTAAATAATACGTGATCTGTCATGCCTATTTAAAACTTTCACTCCCATCTTTCGATTGAATATATTTATTTTGAAACACCTATCTATAAGTATAATCTAAATTAAAAATTACAAATCATATGCAAAGAAATAAATTAAAATAAAACAAATTCATATAAAAATGAATAAATAACCAAAAGAACTAATTTTATAATGCACAACATATTCCCCCAGCCTGCAAAGAAGAAAACTCCAGCTGATTAGGAGTTGACTCACAACTTGAATCAGAACAACGTGATTAGAGTTCATATTTCAACGCAAAGATCCACCATTCTCCCATAAGCAGAAGAACCAATGGCTCAGAAAAGGGTTCTGCTACTCTGCGGTGACTACATGGAAGACTCCGAAGTATAATCAATGCATGCTTATTCAATATTCTCCTTTCTTTGTCATTTACACTCTTTCCATTTCATTTTTTTTTCTGTGTACGTTGTAGGCCATGGTTCCATTCCAAGCTTTGCAAGCCTACGGCGTCGCCGTCGATGCCGTTTGCCCCGGCAAAAATTCCGGCGATCTCTGCCGCACCGCCGTTCATCAGTTGTCCGGTCACCAGGTACATGTCACAGAGCAAAAGCTCAATTTTTTTAATGTTTTGGATTCTGGGTCAGTGTTATTTAGTATTTCTTTTACTCAAAATACACGTTTGTTTCGAAAGATAATGCTCGTTTATGAATTAATCTCAATATCTATGCACGAATATTTTGTTATCTTTGTAAAACTGTTAAAAAATATAAATTAATAAATAATAATTTTATTAACAGTGTTATAATATCATAAATTAAAGCATAACGAAATGTTGTGTTCAGATTAAATAAAAGCTTTTTTAGGTGTATGAATTAACAGGTAAATAAAGGTCAACTACATTACTAAACAGTTGTATTAACTTATCTTAGTGTTGCTCAGACATATTGCGAGAGACGTGGTCACAACTTTAAGCTCAATCTAACGTTTGATGATGTTGAAGCCAAAAACTATGATGGGTTGGTGATACCGGGTGGGAGGGCACCAGAGTATCTTGCTCACATTCCAAGTGTTGTGAAGTTGGTGAGTGAGTTTTGCAGTTCTAAGAAGCCAGTTGCTGCTATTTGTCACGGTCCTTTGATTCTGGCAGCTGCAGGAACAGTCAAAGGTTGTAAGTGCACTGCTTATCCTGCTGTTGGACCGGTGCTTGTTGCAGCTGGGGCTCATTGGATGGAACCTGAAAACCTTGCATCAACGGTTGTTGATGGTAACATCATAACTTGTGTTAGTTATCGGGGGCATCCCGAATTTATTCACCAATTTGTGAAGGCATTGGGAGGAAGCATAAGTGGCTTCAACAAAAGAATCCTATTTCTTTGTGGGGTAGGTTAAATAAATGCAATTGGACATTTTTTTTTAATATGGCTATAGGTTTGTCTAAGTTATGTCATTGGAGTAAATACAGATATCCTAGGTAGATTATTGAAATTAAGACATTGTATTAGGAAATTGTGTCAACTTTTTATTTAACTTTAAGACAAAATCTCATTAGTACACCTAAGATGAAATTATTTTCTGTAGGAGTAGATTGAATATTGTTTTCTGCGAACGTTTTCCTTAACACTATTTTTCCACATTCTCATGTTGTTATTAGTAAGATGTGTTTAGCTTGTCAATACTTTAACCCCACACCATTAAAAAAGGGATAACTGCATAAAGTTTTTTAGATGAGGTGGTGTTGTTCTTTAAAGAAAATTATATTATACAATTTTTTCGCCTCATTATGTTTTTTATACTTCTCATAATTAAGGTGAAAATATATGCATGTTTAATTTTTTTTCTAACGTAAAGTTGATGTAAAGGTGAATCCATGGCCATTCAAATGTGAATTCAAACATACAGCAAGCCTTTAGCATTGATGTAAATTGATAAAGGCATGATTCAATGTTTTCAAATTGCAGGATTACATGGAAGATTATGAGGTGACCGTTCCTTTTCAGTCTCTTCAAGCTTTAGGATGCCATGTTGATGCAATTTGCCCCAAAAAGAAGGCTGGTGACACCTGCCCAACTGCAGTTCATGATTTTGAAGGTGATCAAACATATAGTGAGAAGCCAGGGTATGATTTTACGATAAATGCTAACTATGATGGTGTGAATCCCTCAAGCTATGATGCTCTTGTCATCCCTGGTGGTCGTTCCCCTGCATATTTGGCATTGAATCAATCAGTTATAGCTTTGGTGAAGCATTTCATGGAAAACAATAAGGCAGTTGCATCTATCTGTCATGGGCAACAGATCTTAGCTGCTGCCAATGTTCTTAAGGTATAAATAGTGTTGATTTACTTATAATTAATAAACATCTCTTCTGTTATGTGAACCACGTTAGAAAGGAGTAGTTAATCATGTGCTTTGGAAAGGAAAATTAATTGTTAGTTTGTTTAGCACATAGTGGAAGTTAGGACATTTTTTCAGTATAATGAGAAGAATTGAAAATTACATTAGTTTAGGCAAATTGAAATTGTCTTTAATGGATTAGTGAAGAGAAGAAAATCAGCTTTTTTGTACTCTATATTTACAATGTCTTGATTTGTTCAAGGGAAAGTATCTGTCTAGCTAAGTGAGGGATAGGAATTTAATGTGAAATTGAATGGTCATTGTATAGATAAAAACAGGTCTGAGGATTTATGAGTGGTGTACGTGACTATACCCTCCAATCATACAATGTTACAAACGCACGGGAATCAAATTCAAAACTACTTATGGTTTGAATAGAATGATCGAAGGTGTGTATAAGACAACTACCAAATTTTTAAGTACCCAAAAAAATGATATAAATTTATGGATAGAAATGGATAATTATATAATACACTCCATAATCCATTTACACTTTTTAGAAACAAGCATTAATTATTTTTTTATTTGCTAAATCACTGGTTAGAATATTGTTACAAGTGCGTTACAATAATTAAAAAATATAAAAGAAATTATTTATTTATGACTTTTTTTAACGTATGTCTCAGACACAGTAAGAAATCAACAAATAATATTTAGTATTATTAATGCATTAAATCATGGTGCATTGACAGGGAAGGAAATGTACTGCTTACCCGGCAGTGAAGTTGAATGTGGTTCTATCTGGAGCAACCTGGTTGGAACCTGAGCCCATAGACCTGTGCTTCACTGATGGAAATTTGGTAACAGGTGCTGCGTGGCCAGGGCACCCTGAGTTCATTTCTCAGTTAATGGCACTACTTGGGATTCGTGTATCTTTCTAGTTGTCCTTTGTGATTTAATGTACTTGCTTTTCATGTAGCATTTATGTGCATTACTGTGTGAACTTGAGGGGCTTAAAATAAATGTATGGCTGAGAGAATAAAGGATGTTACACATCAAATTTTCTTCCATCTTAGTATTAGCAGCGCATCTAGCTTCAAGTGTTGAGATTTTTTTGAGTTTGGTTAGCCATATTCATATATTCCAATGTGTATCTTAACACATAAGTAACTTTACTTAAGCAAAATAAGGGGCAAAACTCAAAAAGAAAGTAGCTGTGTCAATTTTAAGAAAGTTCAAGCGGAGAGAATAAAAAACGCTTTATCTCTCAGTTGTTCACCAAGAATATTATACATCAAATCATATTATTCTCTTTTGAAGTCCTAAATAAGAGAAATAACCTAGAGTTTTATTATTTTCTATTATTGTTCTTTGAAATGATTTTAGAAAAAAGCCATAACTTTCAAATATATATTCTCAACTCTAGTTTTATTTCTCCTAACATAGACATTTCAGTCTTCCCACTATAATTGTAAATGTGAAAGTAAAAAATAATGACTTCTTATTCGAGACTTTCATATCTTCATGTTTCAACCCTTTTTTTTTTATTCTGATTTATAAATACCTTACTAGGGTTATTATTTATTAACATCCTTTATATCTCATTTCCTACCATATTACAACAAAATGTTCTTTGAATTATTTTTTGCAGAACACCCACAGGATTAGTGTATGGTGTCCCTTTTTTGTAGAGTATGATGTAAAGAGAAAAAATATATAAAAAATAATAAAGTATAAATGTAGAATGTAGGTGTTCAAAATAGTGGCACAAATGGCATAACTCTTGCATTTATCATTTTTCTCTTTTCTTTTCTTATTTCTTTGGATATCTATATCTAAAGAGGTGTCTCCGAAGCATTACTCTTACTTTTTTCCAGCTCAACTTCCAATTGTTCCATAAAGTTTAGAAATCAAATGTTTTCATAATATTTTTTAAGACTCCCAGCTACACACTTCCACTAAGCTCCATCCAAGCCCTCTTCCCACACTAACACGCAAATTGACAGGGACAATTGACAAGCCTACAAATATAAATCCAAACTTTCCACTGTTCATCACAATATTCACTAGATAATTATGAAACAATACACTATACACATGCTCACCTCATTCATTATCGTGGAATTTATTTTCATATTTGCAACTAACACAATTCAAAAAAGATAAAGCATGATATCATGACAGTGAAATGAACTCAAAAAAGGTGTTCCCTATGAATAGCAACATTTAATAGTAAAGAAGGTAGCTTTCAAGGGTCCAAGAGCGTTCAAAAGGATCACCTGATAAATTCTTAATGACAAAGTTGTCTATTAAAGTTTTAAGGCCAAGTTAGCACCGCAATTTCATGATCCTTGCGTCAGATAGATTCAAAGTAAGCCTCTACAAAATAGATACTGTACCCATACTTAGAATTCTCTTGGAATCACAAAAAACATAATTAGATAAAAGAACATGCACCTATCTTTTCGGTCAACATTGTGATCAAAAAAGTCTAAAGCTTACATGTCTAATTGCATGTGAACCAGCTTTGATATTTTGAATAACTAAAATTTAACTTCGCATGTGTGTATATATATATATATATGTATATATATACACACACACGTAAAAAAAAATACATTTTAAAAGTAGATGAGACAATTGAAGTTATCCCCTAAAACTTAAAAAAAAAAAAAACAAAAATATTCTCATTTATGCACAAATGCGAACATCCATTCAGCAAAAGTGAAACTATTTCCCTTTCATCAAACTAGGCTGAGATCTGTGCAGCAACGGGATTCAACCTTTCATTTACTTCTTGAAAGCGAGTTCAACCAACCATTAGCAAGCCACACCTTTTATATATTTTAAGAAAATCACCATTATAATTTGTTAAAATATTTTTTATAATAAATAAATAAGTGTATATTAGTAAATTTCATGTACATATGTGCTATGTGTTGTGTTGTGACAGTTCGAATACAAGTTTGCAAGAGTGAGTGTGAATTCATTCATTTTATTAAGGTGTTAGGTAATTCATTTAGATATATTTGAGAACACAATTTAATTAAATATTTGTTTAATAATTTTTTATATGAAATTTTATCTTATAAATTTGACCATAATTTTTTTTTAAAAAAATTAAAAAGTACTTTTTTAATAAGTTGACTGAATTTTTTATTAAATGAGAATTTATATTATATATATATATATATAAGCTATTTTTATTAGTTATCTGTAAAATCTTCCAAATACTCCCTTTATGATTTGTCTCAAACAGAATTTTAGCTAAAAAATCAATTTTAGGATAAAAAAAAAATTGACTAGTTTTATGATAGGTTAAATTTTACATTAAATATAAATTACTACAAATTTAGTTTACATTTGACTAAAAGAAATACATTAAATCTTACTGCAAAATCATTTTTAAAATTAATTTTTTAAATTTAAATAAATTTAGTTTAATTAAACCCATTTTTTGTCAAAATTAAGTTTATACAATTTAAATCATTCAGAATAAATTTTGAAAATACTTTATCAATCACTGTGTTGTGGCAGTTCTTCATGGTAGGTTATGACTGTAAAACATGTTGACGACTCATGATTTTTCTTATGTTAATATGGAGCAACCCAACCTATTCATAAACTTTAATGTTAATAAAAACATAGAAAAAAGAGAAAATTTTAGAGGGTGTGTAAATAAAAATGCTTGCATGAGTTATGGGAAAGAGTTGTAGCAGTTCGGTAATGGGTACGAGGGCTTTCATCTCATCAAACTGTTCGGTGCATGTTGCATGTTGGGGGAGACCAGAACCATAACAATTAAATTTTTATTCTGAGTGAGAGTGGCTTAATAATTATTGGTAACATTCGATTGAATGATTCAATGGTAGAAATGAATGAAATTAAATTAAACAATTCTATAAAATTGTAGAATCATTCCTATCATCAATAGGATAAGTTAAATCTTCAAATGAAAGAAAATGTTTTATTAATGTTCTCTTTTTCCTTTAACTCTGTCGTTTTCTTTAATGTAAATGATAAGACAGAGGACATTATAAAGTACAATGCCTCAATTAGTCTGGTTAATCCGTTAATGTCATGAGAACAATGGAACAATGACGAAACAAACAATAAATTAAAAAAGAACACATTAATTTGTTGACCAACAAAACAAGATCAACTTAATCATGTCTCACACAGGAACGACAACTTTTATTGTTACCATGCTTGGTCTTGTAATTTCCACCTTTTAATCAGCATGGGTTACTTGTAACAAAAATTACCATCAAATTTTACTCTGTTTATGTGCACACTTGAAAAGAGATTGAAATAATCCACATTTTCTGTTCTTTTTTATATTTTATTTTTACTAACAAACATTTAACAATGGGATTGCTCAACCTAAACGACATAATTGAAGGCGAGACAAACTTGCATATGTGGGGTCTTGTATTTCTACTTTTTACAGCTTATAGCCTCCTTTATTTGTAGGTTTTGTTTTGTAGTAAAAAAAATTGTGACTAAAGATAATGTTAATTGGATAAATTTTAGTGGGGTAGATAAACATGATGGGATTGGGGTAGGCTCCCCCAACCTAGGATATAAATTTTCAATGTTTGGAGTGTCATAATTTTATTTTGGCTTGCTTTTTAGAGAGGCTCCCATATGGAGACAACTTGCATCCCTCAATTACATTCACACTTGGGGCAAACCTATTTGGTTTATCTATAAATTAGACATTAATTAATTTTGGGATAATTAAAATTGACCATTAACCAACGAACAAGAAGGGAAAAGGGTTCATTGTTATTTAATCAAATTGTTGATTATATCCGTTTATTGTTTATAATTTATTATGATTTATTTAAAAAAATTGTTTGATTCAATAACAGTTAATACCCACAGTTATTTTGAGATTATAGCAGTGAAATCTTTTGTCAGATTGGACCGACAGAATAATTAACCTTTTTTATAATATGTAATTAAGTGCATAAATAAAATTGACCCTACCAAACCGCTCCTTTGATAGAGCTAGTACCGTACAACGTTAAATATATTTGTGGAGCAGAAATTGTATTTGTTATAACTTTTTTATGAAAAAAAAAAGAATCATTCTAAACAATATTATATTAATAATGACTCTTTTCCTCACAAATTATAAACTTTTATTCAATTGTAATTCTCATTTTGCGTGAATGAGATTAAATTATACTTTTGTTTGATTTTGTTGTGCTAAACTTTGATAGAGAGATCCAATACAACTAATCAAGATTACTAAAGTTTTAGTAGTTCAATAAATATATGGTATGATACTGTAAAGGTATTATTCAAGTTAATATTTATTTCAGCCTAATACTAATATTTAAAATAGATAACATACTTGGTTCGTTATCGTTGACTTGTATATAGCCCTTAGTCATTGCTAAGTCCCAGCTTGGTCAAGTGGGTATGCTTCTCAATGAGATGTGGAAATGTTAACATAAAGAGTATTTTGAAATCCATGGCACATAGTTTGTGAATATGTCTCTTAGAATTTCTATGATTGATTAGTAGGTTCACCCAATTAATCTTTCTATCTAGTTTAATTTGGATTTGACAATAAAATTTTTAATTTAATATTAGAGTTTATCTTAAGTTTAATGTTGAGTTATCTATAAATATGTAATTTTATAAAGACATGTGCTAGCAATTATCTATAAATTGCACATATATAAATTAAGATAGTTATGTAATATTTATAAAAATAAATGAAAGGTTAATACATTAAATTACGTTAATTTATTTTTTATTTTAACAATACAAAACTGGATAATTTTCATTAGAGATAAAAAAAAATTGGGTTCCCCTTTATTACACTTTAGATTTCAATGCTCAAATATATCTTAAATACTTGTTCGGCTTTGCAATCAATACATTATGTAAGTAGAGCTTGAGATGGGTTGGGATTTATAAGACTTAAAATTAATTTGTTTAAAAAATTTAAGGCATGAAATTCTTTTTAATTAATATAGTCCCTTTTAAAGACTTGATTCATTTTTATTTTTCAATTTGACTAAACAATTAAAAGTTTTTTTAAAAGCTTGCTGATAACAAGATTTTCTAAAAAAAATTAAATTTACTAAGAAGTTAATAAATTTAAGTTTACATGCAAATCAGTAAGCTTATATCTTTAAGTGAATTAATAAATATAAAATAAAATTTTAGCATATCATTTTTATTATTATAATAAGCAGTCAAATCTAGTAGATCTAGAAAAAAATTGAACTAATATAAAGTTGATCTCTTTTTTAATTAATAAATTTTACCTAATTCATTTAACTAATAATCCTAACTTGATTTAAGTTTAATGTGGTTAAAGATAATTTGCAAAATTATTATTCGTTATTATTGTGGTTGCTTTTATAATTGCTGGTGTCATCATTGAGTTTGCTGTAATAGGAACTTAAATGCTCATTTTAAGGTTACAAAACAGGATGATACAAATATAATATATTATATTCTTGCTCGCACTATTATTCATCATGTTAGAATCTTTTACTTACAATGATTTAATTTGTTTCTTTTACAACAATGGACCTGTCTTTATTGAACTGGAATATAACTGTGCTATCCAGAAAAGTGCATTTTCAAAATTCCAAACATTTATATGTGTTTTAAAATTGCATTAATTAATATGAAGTAATGCTGACTAAAAGCTTCAACAAAATATAATACTAATAATTAAGAGACCAATTTAGAGAAACTTATTCCATATACATTATTCTCCAAAACACTAAAATTAGTGATTAAAAATAATTAAATATTTTTAAAATGTCACTGCCGATACTCTTAAAATATTAATTAATGCTATCCTTACTTTAAATAAGCAAATACTAAGTTTGTATATCTGATAACATAAATATTTTTGTAATTAAATATTTTTTTCAATTATTGTTCTATAAATGCTTGCTATGATTTGTCAATTAAGTGAGAGCAGGTTCTTTAATATTTGTTAACTTGTCTCTTTTATTTTTAGTTACACTGTAGTATGTATAACTTCTTTTATTAGTTGCAATTTCAGTTTATTTACTATATATGTGATTCGAGTTTTCCAATAGTATTTTGAGAACTTTTTACTTCTTAGATTAATTGTTACAATTAACTTTTTTCATCACTTTTCTTTTATTTAAAATTCTAAAATTTATTATGTAAAATTTTTATAAATATTACGCGCAAAATAAAAGGATGTTGCAGCAAAAGAGCAACAGTGCAAGTGATGCTATTTTCTCATGTTATAAAATGAAAGAAAGGCTGTAACATGTAAATTTATTATTTTCTTGAAATAATTACCAAGAATTAAGATGCCATGCATGCTAATGAAGTTATTATTTTTTTATGACTTAAATAAGTTTTGTCCAGTGAATGTTATTAGATTTGGAATTTTTAAAGATATTTTATTTTTAATAAATTGAGCAAAAAATTAATTTTTAGAATTATTTTATATCAATTAACTGATGAATTAACTAATGGAGTTTTAACAACAAGTTTTTATTATAATTAGCATGCAATGTTTAAAAATATTTTAAATAAAGGCTTAAGTGAAAAGTTTATCCATGTAATAATGATTGCTTTTAGAATTAGTCTCTAATCCATAATAAAATTAAGTTATTAAAAAATTAGAATATATTGTTAACTTCTGCTGGTTAAATATTCAGTTGACTGTTAAAAATTTAACTCAACATTATTTTTAATGATTGTATATTGGTAAGAACAAAGGTATATTAAATACTTAACATATGATAATGACAAGATAAAACCCTATTAGTTAAGGCAATGACAACAAATATTTTTTTGACTTATTTAATTTGTTAAAGACTAGATTCTAAAAAACATTTAAAATTATTTTTAAATATTTTATGTTGACTAAAAATATATATCATGTATTTGAGATGTACAATGTTAAGTTAGAAATTTAGTTGATGAAAATTAACAGTAAATTAATACTTTTAATGAGAAAATAAATTGATAATAATATGTGAATTATACTTGTTTGTTGTGATTTTTTATTTATTTTATTTTAAATTTTTGAGATAAAAATATTATTTTCTTTCTTTATTATTTTATATAAGCTTTCAAATTATTTTGTAAATACTTATTATTATATTTATAAATTTTATTTATTATTTCGTATAAATTTTCAAGTTTTTTTTATAAATATCTATATTTACATTAATCAAATTTACATTGCTTAATTTATTGTTAGAAAGCTCTCAAACAAAGTTTTCAGCAATGACCTATCTTTAGTTTTGTGCAAAAAATCTTTCTCCACTAGAAATTATAAAGCCGACCATTCTTATTTTTTTTTAATTCATATTGTTCTCATATGCTGGTTAACTATAACAATTTTTTTTTAATATTGGTGTGTATTTTTTTATTACAATATCATGCATATATATATATATATATATATATATATAAATACATGTACTTTGTATTTTATTTGTTTTGTTATCATACAAAATTATTAATATGTATTTTTTTTACAGTTTATAAAGATGTTTCTGATTTACACATTTACTAAAATCATGCTCAAATAACAAAAATATACAATTAAGGCTGCATAACATTGACACTGTAGTATTTATTTTTTATATTGAGTTTTGCTTTTAATAATACATGTTTAAAACTAAAATGTATGGTAACATGTGACTAACAACATTATACATATTATTTGGTTCTAATATTATATGTATATAACAAGTGAGAATAATTTTATTAATTTTGATGTATAAATGTTATTAAAAAAAACAAAAATAACAAGGTCTCCCCAATATAAATATAGTTAGCATCTACCGATTTAATTACCTTGTTAGTTCGACTTTAAAAACATTGTTAAAAGATAACATAATTGTTTTTTAAATAAACAATGTATAATATATTTTTTACTTATTTATATAAATCAATAAAATATCACATTTTTATTAATTATTAATAGAAAATTTAATTTGAACATTTAATTATTTATAACAAATTTCACCTTATAAAAAATATAATATAATTATTTTATATTAATTTATAATTTTATCAAATTATTTCTTTATTTTTTTAATAAAACTTATTTGATATTACAAATATGTATTCAATTTTATTTTATCACTAATGCATGATTAACAGATAAAAATTATTTTGATTTAATCTGAAATATCAAGTTCGAGTTCCAATAATTTACCGGATTATACTAAACTCCAACGTAGTTGCTTATCGATTATAAATTATTAAAGTATAAAATTGATTCAATTAGCTTGTTAGATTGATTTTAAAAACATGGTTGAAGTATAATAATTTTGAGTCTTTTTCTATACGTTGATAACTTAAATTAATTTCTATATTTTAAATTTTATTGATAATTTTCAACGAAGTATTAGGTAGGGAGAGGGGAAGAAGAATATTGAATCTAATCGTAGAATGCGACGGTGAGACGTAAAGGCATTCACTGACAGACGACGTGAAAAAATCAAGAATTAATAATTGCGAGACGAATTGAGGTTCCTTTGACATCTTCGTCACTTCATTCGTTCACTGCATATGCATATGCATAGCATATGGTGTTGATAACTAGCAGTAGTATCTCACGACTTTAATCAAAAATTGAAGAAATAAAAAACAAGTGTTGTATAATTATTGTAAAAGGAATCGAAGATTTCATTGAATTATTGATTGTAATCGGATTTGGATGGAAATTGAAGGGAGAGAGAGAGAGAGAGAAGCATCAATGACAATCTCTCTGCTTTTAACTTTTTCTTGCTACTTATTACGCCTCACACACAGTTTCTCCTCTGCCCATCCACTTGGGTGGCACGCTTACTCTCTCACTCTATCTAACTCACACACTCACTTTCATTTAATAGATATTTTTATTTTAGAAAACAAATTATTTATATTTATGGTAATATATTTTTCTTCTAATACTCCGTACTCTGACAACGACCACTGAAGGATGGTGGCACATGCCTGCTGTCACATCAGGTTCCAACCGACGGTCCAGATTCACGTGTACGGATGATCCAACGGTCCTGATTCAATGTGCGGAAGACACTCTCTCTCCTCTCGCATTCTCTCTCCTCTGCACCCATGTCCAGCTTGGTCGGGACCCCCTTATATATGGCAAAGACCCTCCCTTTACGCTCTCTCTCTCTCTTCACTGTGCATTTCAAACCCAAAAATCCTCACTTGGGTCTCCATCTGAAAGTGATAGGCCACAAAAGAGGGCCTTTACTTCAACACTCACTTGTTTGTGGCTGCTTCATTCATGTTTTGATATTCCTGCTTTCCTCATCTTCTGTTCCTTTCATGGCGATCTCGAACAACGTGCCACTCTTGTTCTTGTTTTTGTTGCAGCTCCATCACCTTGGACTCAATTATGTTCCACTTTTGGTTCATGGGTTTGCTTGATGTTTTGAAGAACAACGTAAGGCTCTTAGCTTCTTCGTCTTCTTCTTCTCATTCTGCCAACCAAACCCTTTTGCTGCAGGACAGGGTTGCTCTTTCTTTTTTCTGGTTTGGTGGGGTTCTCAGCTTTGTTATCATGTGCTGCTTCACCGATCCTCTCCCTGTGGTTTTGGGTTTTGTTTGATTTTTCAAGTTGTGTTTTTAATTTGTGGGTATGGAGTGCATTGGCATGTGGGAAGGTGATGTGGGAGAATGTAATAATGGGTTTGAGAAAATTGAGGATGGTAGCTCTGAGCTAGGGTTCCATGTGGGTCTGTGATTGCTGAATACTGTGTCTTCAAAAGGAGGAAAAAGGGTAAAGCTTGATATGAAGCTTTCAACATCAGGGTTGGGTCAGCAGGGACATGAAGGTATCCGTCCACTCTATTTTCTCTCTTTTGCCTTTTTTTTCTTCCCAATAAATAAAATAATTTTTTTAGCACCCTATCCTGAGCTCTTGGTTAGGGCGGCCTTCAAGTCATACATGTAAGTAAATAGTATGTGTCCCTTTCAAAAACCTTTTTGTGTTTGTGTGTGTTCTTTCCTCCCTCTTTTTTTTTTTCATTTTTTGAGACAATTTGATGTGTGGAATAATGATGATAGGAGGGGAGAAGAAGTGTTTGAATTCTGAGCTGTGGCATGCATGTGCTGGGCCATTGGTGTCCCTACCAACAGCAGGGACTCGTGTGGTTTACTTCCCTCAGGGTCATAGTGAACAGGTGTTTTTTTCGCTCTAGACCCTACTCTACTCTTGCTTGTTTCATTGTTGTCTTCTTGGCATGCTGTGAAGGTTACATAACTTTTCTTACTAACTTGGGATTGAAAGCTATTAAATCCAATTGTGGTAGATTTTATTGAATGGAAATTGAACTGAGTAATGAATTTTAGGTTGCTGCCACAACCAACAGAGAAGTTGATGGGCACATACCCAACTACCCCAGCTTGCCACCCCAATTGATTTGCCAACTTCATAATGTCACAATGCATGTGGGTATTGTATTATATCTTCCATATTGCTGAGATCATTGAGGTACTTCAACTTCCTGCTTGAGTTAACTCAGTCAACTAGAGGGTGTGTTTACTTTTCAGGCAGATGTTGAAACAGATGAAGTGTATGCCCAAATGACGCTACAACCATTGACTCCGGTATCCTGTTGTTCTTTGGTGGCTTGTTATATTTGTGATAGGCCTGCTTCTTGTTTCCGTAGATTAAAATTGTGTGTAATTGTGTAGCAAGAGCAGAAGGATACCTTTCTTCCTATGGAATTGGGCATTCCAAGTAAGCAGCCCTCGAATTATTTTTGCAAGACATTAACGGCAAGTGACACTAGCACGCATGGAGGGTTTTCTGTTCCTCGTCGTGCAGCTGAGAAAGTTTTTCCTCCACTGGTAGTGTCCATATTTTTCCTTTGTTTCATTGTGGTTTGATAAAGATTTATTTCTCTTCTATTTGGGCTGTACAGGATTTTTCACAGCAACCACCTGCGCAAGAACTAATTGCTAGGGATCTTCATGATGTTGAGTGGAAGTTTCGGCATATTTTTCGGGGTAAGTTTCTAATTCTTACGAAGACTCTATTCTAATAATCTTGTTATTTTATAGGATGAGTTTCATTTAGTTGAAGATAATTATAATAAGATCATTTGTTCTCTGGAATCAACTAAATGCTTTTGGTGGAAATATAACTTTTTTCCTCTGTTTGGGCCTTAAATCTTGATCCCTATTAAAGGAAACATGGTTGCTTAGAAATTGATATAGTCATTCTTATACTGCCTAGAGAACTAATAATTGCTCCCATGTGGCATGATCTTTGGTAAGTTCATAGCATTGATATTGATTTTGTTCCTGTGGAAACATCCCAATGCCATTCATCCATCATAACTTTAGATGCATACACTTTCCTTAACACCTGTGAAGTCTTTGGTGTAATGGCTTATGGATATTATTTGCATTAGTTGTCTCAATCAAGAAGGTTTAAATTGCATGCTGGATTGTTGAACCGCATGATTCGTATTATTTTTGCTCACTGCTCTGATCCTGATCACACTCAGGAACTAGGTTTGAGAATTTGCATAGGATAGAGATGCTTGAATATGAAAAAAGTAGGAATTAGCAATACTGGCTGAGTTGCCCATTTCTCAAACTTCTTCACCCTAGAGCCCTCCCAAAATGTAAAGAACCAAGCCTTAGCATGATTTCTCCCATTCATTTGATCTCTTCCCTAAAACTTTGGTCCAGTTCTGGACTAAAGGTGCTTGAGGTTCAATTCAATCCAAAGGTGCTTCCAGTTGTGAGGCTTGCTGTTAGATTTGTGCCTTACTCAGACAGCATTGAGTTTCTCAAGTGGAAATGCTGACAGCTGTTAGGTAATCCCCATTAATTTCTGGTTCGTTAAAATAGATTAATTAGCTACCCATTAGTTAAGAGGGGAGGTTAAGAGAGTGATATCTTATCATTTGAGAATTGAGAGGATATTGGGGCCTTTTGCCTTGGTAGGTGCAGATCCTTGAAGTTCTGCAAGTTTGTAGATGTATTTGAGGGAATTCTTCCCTGCTCTTTTTAAATTAAAGATCAGTTTCCATCAACAGCTTTGCTGCTTGGCAGCAGTACAGGTGGTGATATCTTGATCCATCCGCGTTGTTGAGCACACATGTGTGTGTGGCTGTGTCTCGGATTGGGTTGCTGTTGGTCTTTTTAAGTGGTGTTCGATGGCTTTTTTCATGTTGGAAGATGCTATACCTGTGTGACAAAGAGGTGATTCAGCAGATGGGCTCTGCATTGTTCTCAAAAACATTTGTTTTAAATAATTGAGTTGTAACTTTAGTTATGACTTGTTAACTTCCTTACAGATTAAGATTTTCAATTCTAGAGTGGAGTGGCATCTAATTAAAGAACCTTAGTAGTTACCAATGGCTGGTATATCTTAACTGACTTGGAGATTTGGGAAACCTCCTTTTTGTACATGCATAAAAGGTATTAACTATAAACAATTTTGGAATCATGTGAATCCAAAATTTATCCAATAAGAAATTAAATTGTTTTCTAAGATAGTTTATCTTTGGTTTATAAATGAAGGCATCATCCTTATGGAGTTTTAAAGTGTGTCTACTTGTCAACATACCAACTTGCTAGGCCCCTTCTTGGCACACTGTCAAATAATCACTGAATGTGAGGCCTAAAGAGTTGATTTTCTTCTGTGATAGCTGTTTTTTTGGAGCTGGTGTGCAAAAGTCATATTTAATCATACTCCTTATATCATGTTTTGCCTTTTTTATTATTATTATTTCTAGGGAAGAGAAATGCAAGCAACACAGTCTGTAACACTCTCTTAGTTGTTGGTTAAAATTTATTGAAAACTACAAAAATCATGTAGGTCTTACTTTTTCTCACTTCTAATTTAATAATTCTTTCTCATACTTTTGTAATTCTCAATAAATTTTAGCCAATAACTAAGATTGTTTTAAAGAGCATATTAGAGAGTGTTCATAGCACTCCTCTGTTGGTGAGAAATATTTTTGTTTCCAAAAGCTCTTTTAGAAAGTTCTTTAGTTTATAGCTGTTTTCAGTACAAAATAAGCTGATTCATAGACCCTGATATTTGGCTTAAGATTGTTAGCCTACTTGTATCTTCTGCACAATGTGATATTTCTGTTTCTTGCTTATTGTTTCAGGACAGCCGAAACGGCACCTTCTTACAACAGGCTGGAGTGTATTTGTTAGTGCAAAAAGACTTGTGGCTGGAGATTCTGTGCTTTTCATATGGTATTTATTTTGTTTTCCCTTTTATGCTACCCCTTGGATTCTGCAAACTGCTTATTTATTGTTTTCATGTGTTTTCATTGTTAGGAATGAAAAGAATCAGCTTCTTTTGGGAATACGTCGGGCTAATCGGCCACAAACTGTTATGCCTTCATCAGTTCTATCCAGTGATAGTATGCACATTGGGCTTCTTGCGGCTGCTGCCCATGCTGCTGCAACTAATAGCTGCTTTACAGTGTTCTATAATCCAAGGTTGTGTTTGTTATTTACTTTTACACTTCTGATTCCTATTTATTAAAAATTTTAATGCCTGTTTTGACACATATGTCATGGGCAGGGCTAGTCCATCTGAGTTTGTCATCCCTCTTTCAAAATATATCAAAGCTGTGTACCATACACGTGTTTCTGTTGGTATGCGTTTCAGGATGCTTTTTGAGACTGAAGAATCTAGTGTCCGGAGGTACTTGTAGACCTATTTCCTTCAGCTCTATCAGATCATTGTAGTTTGAAAAGGGTAAACAAATTATAAATGAGTATGACCGAAATTGTACATTTTAAAACAGCTTACCTATCACAAGGTTGATATGGCATCAGTGTATTTTAACTTAAGCTTGTGTCATTTTTTCCCTAAAAACTTCTAAACCTATTTCCTTCAGCTCTATTAGATAATTGTACTTTGAAAGGGTAAACAAGTTATAAATGAGTATTACAGAAATTGTACATTTTAAAATAGCTTACCTATAACAAGGTTGATATGGCATCTGCATCTATACTGTGTTAGGAGGCAAGTCTTTTTTTAAAATAAAACACTGCTTCAAATGTTGGGATTTGAGAGAGAAAAAAAGTTAGCAGCTGCAATCTGAAGGTGGGGAAAAGCAACTGCTATGTTGTATTCTCTTGTAATCTGGTACCTTACTGTTACTTATGCTTACACATTCTGATTTTGGGCCTTGCCCGTCCTCCCCAAGGCCCTAGCTAAGAAAAAACCTTGTAAGATTCCAATCTAGCAGTGGAAATTAAAGGAAAAATATTTGTTTTATCATGTTGCCCCATACTTTTATAAACTCTTTTGCCTTTATGCACAAGCCACCTTTGTTTTTCCAGGTACATGGGTACAATAACTGGTATAAGTGACCTTGATCCCGTTCGGTGGCCGAATTCTCATTGGCGGTCCGTTAAGGTAAGAGCATCACGACATAATACATGAGATTGGGTAGCAGTTTATATACTTTATATGACAATGGCTTATAAACATGACTATAACCTTGGTATAATGGTAAGGTTAGTGCTTTGTGATCTTGGGGTCTATTTGTGAAATAGCCTCTCCTGCCTCTGTTCACAGTTAAACATGTGTACATCTAGCACTCCTAAAAGCCCTAACTGACAATGGTGGCAAGCTTGTGTATTTGGTCTTGGGCACTTTTTTTTTTTCCCTCACAATAATGTTCCTGTTCTGTGGACTGTGCAAGGAGGAAGATTTTCTCAAAGTTGGAACCTTGTTAGATAGATAATTTTTTTTTTATTCTTTTTCTCTTTTGAGCCACAAGGACTTTCCAATGTGTATGGATTACTACTTACATCTTTTCTGTGATCTTACTTTGCCTTCTTGATCAACTAGTTAATTTTTGTTGACATAACCCATGATGCAACATAGCTTATCGCATTCAAGCTTGGTCCTTGTGTTAATAAAGCTCACACTTTCAAATCTGATTGCCCTTGTTCTGCAGCTTTTTGGTTATGCTTCCACACATGATTACTAAATTATTGATCAGTTTGTTCATAAACAAAAAGATGGTAGTTGTAATGCTCTATGCTCCTAGTGCCTGTCCAGAAAGATAGTGACAAGGTTTTAATAGGTTCAGGGTTTCATAATTTGTATTCCATGCCTTTTAAAATGGTACTGGCAAATTTCATTCAAAGTTTAAAAGCAGCTCTTAACCTGACATCTTTATGATAATTTCTTTTTCTTAAGCTTGTTTTTTCATCTGTCGTAAATAGGTTGGTTGGGATGAATCAACAGCAGGGGAGAGACAGCCACGTGTATCATTATGGGAGATTGAGCCTTTAACAACATTTCCAATGTATCCATCGTTGTTTCCTCTAAGATTGAAACGTCCATGGCATCCTGGCACCTCTTCTTTTCATGGTACATTTTTTTCTCAATTTTTTTTATAATTTATTTACCTTAATTCTGATGTATGTTGTAGAATTAATGATATGATGACAATAATGCTATGATTGAATGAAAGGGAGAAAATGAACATCTTTGAGTGAAGACAAAATTTGAGAAGAATTTGTAATTAGATCTTCATATTTACTCTTCTTCCATTTACCTTCAACCAGTAAAAGACAATAAGACTTCTAAGTTTCAAATGACCTCCCACCACCCTCCGCCCTGCCTCCTCCCATTTTATTTCTCAATCCAATAATGTAAATATTTTTAGGCAATTGCTAAATAGTGTACTGGTTGAGGAAACAAAGGTAGTAGAATTTTTGTTGAAAAAGAAAGTATCTATTGTTTGAAAAACGTATAGCATTTAATAATTGTTTCTGAATTTCTTGAAAACATTTTTAAAAAGATGTATTTATTAAATAGCAAGTCCCTAATCTTTAATAAAATTATTAAAACTGAAATCAAGCACTTACATTATATTTGCTAGCATTGGACTATAAATGGACCTCAAATCGGCCACATAAGGTTTCAATGATTCATACTTCTGTTCTTCATGTCTAAAGGACGGGTTAGATTTCCTTGTGTTTGTCTGCATTTATTTGCCCTAGGGTCTCCTACACCCCTCATTATGAAAAGTGGCTGTGGTGGTTTTGAGGACGCTTCTTTTGTCTCCTTTCTTTACAAAGGATCTTGTTACAGATGGCAGAGATGAAGCAACTAATGGGCTGATGTGGCTGAGAGGTGGACCTGGAGACCAAGCTCTCAGTTCCCTGAATTTTCAAGGTGCTGGTTTGTTGCCCTGGATGCAGCAGAGACTGGATCCAACTTTGCTTGGAAATGATCATAATCAACAGTACCAAGCCATGTTGGCAGCTGGTATGCAAAACATTGGGAGTGTAGATCTAATGAGACAACAAATGATGAATTTTCAGCAGCCTTTCAATTATCTTCAACAATCAGGAAACACCAATCCTCCTTTGCAGCTTCAGCAGCAGCAAACAATTCAGCAATCCGTATCACCTAATATCCTGCAGCCACAGGCCCAAGTATTGGCAGAGAACCTGTCTCACCACATCCTTCAGAAATCACACAATAACCGAGAAGACCAAACACCACCGCCACAACAGCAGCACACTTATCAAGATACACTTTTAATTCAAAGTGATCAGCTCCATCAGAGGCAACAACACTCTAGTCTGCCCTCACCATCATATTCAAAACCAGACTTCTTAGATTCAAACATAAAGTTCTCTGCTTCAGTTTCACCAGGGCAAAACATGCTTAGTTCACTTTGTCCTGAAGGGAGTGGCAATCTCTTGAATTTGTCCAGAAGTGGTCAGTCCATGCTGACTGAACAGTTACCCCAACAATCATGGGCAGCCCCGAAGTTTACACCTTTGCAGGTCAATGCCTTTGGCAACTCAGTGCCACACGTGCAATATTCTGGAAAGGATACTGCAATGGTACCACCACATTGTAACTCAGACACCCAAAATCCTATTCTGTTTGGTGTCAACATTGATTCATCTGGCCTTCTGCTCCCTACTACCGTCCCTCGATATACTACCACATCAACTGACACTGATGCATCGACAATGGCACTAGGGGAGTCTGGTTTCCAGGCTCCTCTGTATCCTTGCATGCAAGATTCATCAGAGTTGTTGCAAAGTGCAGGGCAAGTTGACCCCCAAAACCAGACACGGACATTTGTCAAGGTTTGAGTTGCAAATTAGTCCTAGCTGCAGCTTTCTTATTGAGCTTGGTGTACTTAAATTTTTGTTGTTTAAATTTGTCTTTTTGCAGGTTTACAAATCAGGGTCAGTAGGGCGCTCACTTGACATCTCCCGGTTCAGCAGCTATCATGAGCTGCGGGAGGAGTTGGCTCAGATGTTTGGAATTGAGGGGAAATTAGAAGACCCTCTTAGATCAGGCTGGCAGCTTGTATTTGTCGACAGGGAGAACGATGTTCTTCTCCTTGGCGATGATCCGTGGGAGTAAGTACTACCTCAAATTACATAATAGAGTTTTACTAAATGAATTTGTATCCTGATCAAAGTATTGATATTCCACCAACAATCTTTTATGCAAGTAAAGCATGCTATATTATTTATTTCAATGGGTTAAATTTTGCTTGACATTTTGTCTTTTGGTGTGTGGATTTCTTGCACAACCACTTGCAGATCATTTGTCAATAATGTTTGGTATATCAAAATACTTTCACCTGAAGATATTCAGAAAATGGGAGAACAAGCCGTAGAATCCCTTGGTCCAAGTTCAGGACAAAGGCTGAATAGCACTGGTGCAGAATCTCATGAAATTGTTTCTGGATTACCATCAATAGGCTCACTTGAATACTGAGAATTTAAAAATGTATTCCCTTTTGGTCCCACGGTCAAGAAGACTATAACATGTTTATTACTTCTATTTGAATACTACCTACCTATCCACCTTGCATGCCTGCATACATCCTGTGTTGTCTGTTTCACTTTCAACATCGTTATCATTTGTAAGAGGATTGTTGAGATTTTCAGGACAGAAAAATTATGAGAAACTTAGGACATACTTTTGTGCCAATTTGTAACTTGTGTAGTGAAAGCTAGAAATATAGTGCTATTATAGAATTTTTTAATCCCTTGCATGAACTGAATATTTATGCTCATATTTTCCCTGCTGTGTGGTAGAAATTTCACCCCAACGACCCATTTTACTCATTATCTCAATTTTCAAATGCCACCAATATGGAGCATTTTTAATGTAACTTTTTCCAAAAGAAATTGTTAGTTACAGAGCATTTTTATGCTACCTATTTATACTAAAGGTAGCTTACCAATTTTTTTAATTAAATGCAGTTACAGAGTTTAGAAAACACGTATGCTATTTTGATAATTAAGTTAAGATACTGTATTAAAAATTATATTAATTTTTTGTAGATAAAACTTTAGAAATTAACGGAAGATCAATGAGATAATTAGATAAACACAATCAAAACTTTTAGCTCGTGTGCTGTGAAATGTGCGGAGCTGAGGTAAGCTTGCCCAAGGTCCAAAATAATGAATGATGCTGAGAATTCCACGTCGTTGCTTATAATTGAAGTGTTGAACGCCAATGGGATTTTGGGTTTGACGGAAGTCTTTCGATGCGTATCGAATCTTCAAAATATAATTTACTTTTGAATTATATGCGAATCTTCTAAGTTTATTTAAACCGGTGTTCTGTCGGTGATGTCATAAATTTCATTTTGATAAGTGCATACTATGATGTGGCCATTACAATGCTCAGTGCTTCCTTCATACTTCATACGCACTACGCATTAATAAAAACACCCACATTCACACTCACGTATGCTATTGGTTATGTCAATTTTGCCGTTGATAAAAAAATCCTCACCTTAAATCTATCAATTAAATCATAAATAGAAGACTGAAATTTGCGTCGTTAAATTTTGCAAAACATTTATTTTATTAATTTTTTAACGTGTACTTAATGAGATATAATAAAAAATTATACATAATTTTTTTAATTAAAAAAATGTTACAAAAGTTTAATGTTTAATAACATTAAATATTGTATTTTTTAATTAAAATTTATGATTTATTAATTTTCTTATTATATATTCTAGAGCATATGTTAAAAAAACCGGTTATTTTATGCATGTCAGGATACGCCATTCTTCTTCCTAAAAAAAAGTAAATATTATCAGTTATTCATGCATAATTTTTATTTGTTGCTAATTCATGCATAATCTTTATTTACATCGGTCCTCTTTGGATAAATTTTATAAAAAATAATTATTTTTAGAAATAATTTATTTCTTCTAACTTTAAAAATAACTTATCTAAAAGTAGAGAAACATTTTTTAACTGATAAATTAATTTTATTTTATTATACTACCATAAATAGGATCGAATACATAAAGTTTGAATCCAAATTTTGTGTAGTTCTGATGCAAATATGACTAAATCTATTTTTATTTAAGTGAATTAATTTTACTCAAGTGAAAAAAAATGATTTTTTAAGTAAAAAATTACTTAAATTAAAAATTGCATAAAAAGTCAAAATAAGTAAAAAAAAAAAGAGTAGTTTTAACTTCAACCAAAAATATTTGCTTAAGTTAAAATTATATGAAAAGTCTGAACATTTTTTTATCTAAATTTCGCATCTATAGAGGAATTTTTTATCATACTACTCATGATTAATTTTATGTTTTCAATATTTAACTCATGGAACAAAGTCATTTATAATTAATAAAAAATAAAACAATCCAAAATATTATTTTTAGAGTATTACTGACATATGAAATGAATTTAGATACAGAAAGAAAACAAAAAACATGAACCTTGTGTTTATGTACAACGTAAATGATTTTATGAAGAAAAAAAAAAGATACATTGAGTTTAAACCCTAAACCCTAGACTCAATCCCAAAATTCATAATTCTTTAGCAAACCAACAAATTCTGTCTTGGGTGTGTGTTAGGTAGTGATTACGAGAAATAAACATTTCTCAAGTTTTCTTACTTTAAAGAGGAAGAAAAGATGAGATAACAAAAGGTTCTAAAAAATAAACTGCAAAGTCATATTTAGGGTTTAGGGTTTCATGTTCATGACAAAACGGTAGAGAAATCGAGATTCTCGTGCCAAAACTGAGGGAATCCGGATTCCCTTACTGTTTGACTTTAACCATACGGCAAACATGAGCATATGTTACTGTAATTTTATTTGAGCGGGGAATGTCTTGTAAATTGCCATTTTAATGACAAAAATTTGATATGAGTGATCCAAAACAAAGTATGTGTAAAACCGTTGTGTCTGGCATTACTCGTAACGAAGTATGCAACGTTCAATTTCATAAACCTGTGAGAGTGTTGGAAACATTCCACCAGAATCAAGTACTATATTATTTGCAAGAAACGGAAACGAGCTTTTCTAGCACATGTAGTTCAGTTTTTTAAAAGCTCTTTCTAGAAACATTCTCTGAAGCTTCTTCTATTGGTATGCGGCAGTGTTATTTACCGATCGCCACCATGTACCTTTGCACAATGGTTGCGACCAAATCCAGGAGAAAAGAAAAACTAACTACTAAAAGCATATAAATAGAATAGGATCAGATATTCAACAATAACAATGTTAATAAAATGTCGCGAGCATGTACACGATACCGATGGAGAAGGCGCCGCAGGCGAGGGCTAAAAATATGGCGGCGAGGATGCTGAGAATGTCATTGATGCGGTCGCGGAAGGAGGTGAAGTCGTAGGCGGAGGGGGCGCCATCGGAGACGGTGTGTCTGGGGATGAAGGAGTCGGTGAAGCCACCGACGATGCTGAGAATGCCCTTGATGCGGTCGCGGACTGAGGTGAAGTTGGAGGCGGAGGGGGCGCCATCGGAGACGGTGTGTCTGGGGATGAAGGAGTGGTTCTCGGTGAAGCCGGCGACAGTGGAGGAATTGGAGGGGAAGGAGAATGAGATGATGAAAGTCCGGCCAGGCCTTGCGGAGGCGAAGACAGTTAGCGCAATGAGGGCGAAGAGGATGGCGATCTGCACTCGGAGGAGTTGGGCCATGAAAGAGAAAGAGGAATCGAAGAGTGTGCGTTGAGTGGGAACTGTTGAGTTTGCAAGGACTCAATTTAATCCGTCAAACGATTACAAATATTAGGTTAAATATTTCATTTATATATATATAGTTATAAAAATATTTTTTTTACAAAAAATTACCGAATTATGATGTTTTGGAAAAAAATTATTAAAAAAAAGATTTTTTGACCAATTTTTTTTTCAATAATCGTTAACAGTGATTTTTTATTTTAATTTTATTATATTTTAAAAATCATTAACGATAATTTTTAATTTTTAATAATTTTTAAGAAATAACCGGTAGCAATTTTTAAAATTTAATAATTTTTTATTGTTGTACCAGTCATAGTTTTTAAATTTTAAAATTTCATAATTTTTTAAAAATACTATATTCTTATATATATATATATATATATATATATATATTAAATCTCATATTTAAAAAATTCCAAATATTTAATTGTTTAAAATTAAAGCAAAATAAGTATACGTTATAAATTTATACTACATTTTAAAACATTAAATAATTAAATTAATGCATTATATATTAAAATATATATTCATTTTTATAAATAAAAAATTATGTATCTCATTACAAAATTATATAATAAATAAAATTATAAAAAATTAACATATTTAAAAATTGTCTATTATATTTAGAGTAAAAATATTATATTTTTATATAAATAAGATAAAAATAATAAAATTATAATATATTTATTATCATTAAAATAAGGTGGCATTTTGCCAATATTTCATTATATTTTTCTTTCCATAAATAAATTAAGAATTTCAAATTTATTTAGAAAATACAAAATTTGAGAAAAAGGGAGAAAGGAAATTATAAAACATCATGCAGTAAGTCACAAACATTAAAAAAAAATGGTACATGAATGGAAAATTAACAATTTAGAACTTGACATTACAATTTGCTAGTGACCAAAAAGCACAGAAATTCTATATCACAGTATTGTACCATCTATTCACTTATTTTTCTTAAATATGTTTTGTTATTAAAATTTCATTTTAGATTTCGTTTTTTTAATTCTCTATTTTTCTAAATTTAATATATTTGTTCCTAACACACAGAAAATTGATACATGACAATTTTTAGTAAAGCGAGTCATTAGTAAAGATTAAAAATATTAAATTTAAGTCCATTTTTTTATGCTGTTTTTCAAGTTAACTATGGAAGTTACAACTTAAAAAAAGAAGAAAAGTTTAGAAGTTACAGTAACGAATAATTAAAAGAAACGTAAAGACAGTGCCATTGCAATACAAATCACCGTCGGGGAATATAATCAGAACAATCTGAGATTCTCATCCTTGCGTTTAGGTTCAGAGAGAAAGAGAGAGAGGGAACGAAATGGGAGTGCTTTCCAATATGATCGATCGGGAACAACTGAAGCCCGGTGATCACATTTACTCTTGGAGGCAAGCATACATCTACGCGCATCACGGTCTCTTCTTCATTTGCTTTTTTTTTTTTTTTTCAAATTTTCATCTTTTTCCAATTTTAATTTATGGGTGTTCATCCATTGCTCTTGTATTCGCTTTAACACAACAGATTTGTTAGTTTTTTTATTTTATTTTGTTTTGTTTTCCCTTTGGGTTATTGTTTTAAAATCATTCGCGTTTAGGGTTCGATCATGTTTTCATTTACCTGTCGTCATCAACTTTGAGGCCCAATTCATTTTTTTCAAAGTTGGGTTATTTAGTGTTGATAAGAATTGTTTCGTTCTGTTTTGCTTTCGTGGTTCTGTTGTTGCATTGGAAAATCTCTATTAGATGGGGGTGGAGATGTCTTCATTTTAAAAAGTGAATTCAAGATACACGTGTTATTGTGTTGGGTTGGCAATATAATATAGTCTAACTGTTTGCTGCCAAACTTAAAATTCAGCATTCTGAAGTTGTAGTGATTATTATTATTGGATCAAATTTAGTTGCTTTTAACTATTCACAAAAAGATGTTCCTGAATCAAACCAAATTGACGATAAGTTAAGCCACGAGACAACAATAATGCTTATGTGTTTGAACCTGTAAATTTCCCCCAATTTTAGTGGGATAGAGTTGGCTCTTGGTTTCTGGAGGTTATTGGTGTGATGTCGTGAGGATGTACTGTAACTCTTGGCTGGTGTTCAGTATATAGGAGATTGAAATGATATGTATATGCTTATGTAAACAAGCTTAAATCTTGTGGTTTTGGTCCTTACTCAAGCCTAACTGCTAAAATTATTAACAATCTTTTGTATTAATTAATGAGTAGGATTTGGGAGCCTATGTGCCAAGTCCTACAGTGTTGAGATTCAAGTTTAAAATCACTTTTTTTATAAAACTTGTGATCGAGATTGATATGTTTGTATGACTAAGAAATGCTGTGTAGATTTGCTTTCGTGGAATAGCATGTCCTACAGTATTGGACATCAATTCGGCCACATAATGTGAAGGATAAACGTTTTGCAAGGCCAGTTAATTTTTTGTCTAATGACCGATAGGTGTTGTGAGTGGTGAGAAATCATGGGTTGTGCATGTGTGTATGATTCCGTTTTGATGGGGTAATAAAACACAACTGAGGTTCTGTGTTTGAAGAGAACTTCAGGACGAGAAAGATAGTTCAGAAGAATTTTAGGCTTAATAAGCATTATGACTTTTGGTCAGATAATTAAGATGCTATTGATCCCGTTGCATGCTTTAGTCTGCTTCTATATATGCGATTTGGGGACTTCGAACTGAATTGAACGGAGAACCAGTGATTTCTGTCTATTTTATGTATGGTACTGAAATCATTATATTGGTTTTGCTAACTGCTTTCTTGCAAAATACCAGGAATATATGTTGGTGATGGACTGGTAATCCATTTTACCAGAGGAGCAGGCCAAGAAATTGGAACAGGAACTATGTTGGACAATCTCCTTTTTAGTTCATCTCCCTCTCATTCTTCTGAAAGTCCATGCCCAAGATGTGGTGACCAAACTAGGACTGATGGTGTCATCTCTTCTTGTTTGGATTGTTTTCTTTCTGGTGGTAGTCTATACATCTTTGAGTATGGAGTCTCACCTGCATTTTTTTTAGCCAAAGCTCGAGGAGGTACCTGCACCCTTGCTCCTTCTGATCCAACTGAAGATGTCCTTCGCCGTGCTTCATTTCTTCTTGAAAATGGATTTGGGGGCTACAATGTTTTCAAAAATAATTGTGAAGACTTTGCGATTTACTGCAAAACAGGTCTGCTTGTATTCACGAGCATCAGTGTTGGCCGGAGTGGGCAAGCAGCATCTTGCTTAGCTGCTGCTAGTGCTGTAGTTTCTACCCCACTTCGTTTTATGACCACCAGTTTTAGTGGTTTGGCACTGGTTGGCTTTGGCATGTATTGTGTTAGCCGATTGGTTTCTGATATTGGGGTACGCCGTGATGTGTCTAAAGTTCCAGTGGAAAGGCTTATAGCTTCACCAGAGAGTACGAATGAGATGGCCAAGGAAGATTAGCGTTGGTTGAAAAACCCATCGTATGGAATGCTAGTTTGATTAATGTTGTCAATTGTTAAATGTAGACATGTGAAATTCCATTCATTTCTTCGATATATGCTGTTTTCATTTGTGCAGTTTCTACATATATTCACAAACAATTATGTTCTTTGGGTATTCCATCATCTGCAGCAATTATTTTGCTACCTTGTTAATTTATAAAACAATGGCTTGGGCTTGTAGCTTGTAGCTTGATTTCTGTTATCAAAATAACATGACGACCCTACCCATCGGTCTCATCCTATACTTTGCAACAGGTGCATTCTTGGCTTGGAAACATTGCTTGCACCTTAGATGGAGTGCAAAATGAAGGATTGAAAGGATTTGTTTCACAGATTTGTGTTTTTGTTTATGTGCATAGTTGTTATATTTGTGTATATGAATATATACTGAAAAATGTGATGAAACTCTTTTCAGGTTCATCAATAAATTTAATGACCTGTGTATGTGTAATGTGCATTGAAAGATGATCTTTCATGAGATATTTATATATATGTTGTCTACATATGTATCAGTATTGGTTGGTTTGTTGTGATACCTTCCCCAGTTTTTCCATGTAGACAGCTGCGTTTTAGGACAGAACTTAATCTATTCCGGTATTTCCTCCCAAGTTTCTTTTTTAGAGCTTAGTTCCCCTTGATAAGAGAGAAAATTAATGCCTTGAAAAACAGACATTTTCAGGTTGCTAAAATTATCAAATTCTTCTTTTAACCCAGAGTTGCTTCGTCAACTTGATGATAAGCAAACATTTATGAAGCTGACAACAAACTCCCTTATCAATTATCAGATGAGTCTAACGGGGTATTCTAATATTTTTCCATCTTTTATAAAAAGTAAAAATAATACTTTTCAATAAGTAAAGTAAATTAATATTGAACTATCGATATTTATAGATAGAAAATGAATTATTAAGATTGATTGGTAAAAAAGTTAATAATCAAGAGTATCAGGTGACTATTTTAGATAATAATATATTAATGCAGGGTACTTTTCATTCATATCTTTTTCCTCTATCTCTTTGCAGCTCCTTTATTTTTATCTCTTTCCTTTTTTCTCAACCTCTTTCATTCTTAGTTTTTTTTTATTAAAACTATGAAATTAGTTGATAAAACTAAGGTTTGATAGTAATATAGGTTTTTAAAAAAAAACTTTAAAATCAAACGAAATCTCACCTAAAACTATAGAAGAAATGTTACTTTGTATCACATCCTAATTTGTTATATTTTTCAATCTCTGCTCATCAACCATTTGAATCACTGTGAATTGAATGACTCTCTGTAAATTAGTTTTCACTTCTCACTATCAGAAAAGATGAAACATGGCTGAGAGAAGATAAAAAAATGGAGAAGACATAAAAAAGCAACCTTCTACATTAATTCTCTCAAAAAATTAATGTATAAAGTATATTTTAAAAAAAATGCAACTTCTACATAGGTTCTCTTAGATAACTGTTGTAGAAATAGCTACATAAACAAAACAGCTTTCTACGTCATTTTTTTGAAAGAATTGATATAAAAAGTATATTTATAAAAAATATATATACAACTTTTATGTGAATTTTCTTAGATAACTGATGTAGAAAATAGTAACGTAAATCAAACAATTTTCTACATCAATTTTTTTAGAGAATTGATGTAGAAAGTATATTAAAAAATAAATGCAACTTCTGCGTGGATTTTCTCATATAATTGATGTAGAAAAGAATGATGTAAACAAAACAACTTTCTACATCTAAAAAAATCTATGTAAAAGTTGTTTTGTATACATATATATATATATATATATACTTTGAAAAAACTGATATAAAAAGTAGTAAAAAATTTTGAATGTTATTTTTAACGTTCTAAACTTTGAAGGACATATTCGAAAGCGTAGAAAGAAATAATGCTATTATATACTTTATCATGTATTTTTATTTTAGGATTTTTTTTTTCCTTTAATTCCTTCCAACTATCCATTTGATAATAAAAAATAAATGATAGCATAGGAGATAGGACTAATTGAGTACTTTATAATCAATGACCTATGTTGGCGAACCTTCAAACTTGAAAGTGTAAAGGAAAGCATACAATCTTCATAACCTTTAATCTATTTTACGGATAACATAAAATAAAAGCTTGGTTGAACTTAGTATGACCAATTATCCATTTTGCCATAGCATGCATTATATATTAAAAATATATATTCATTTTTATAAATAAAAATTATGTATCTCCTTATAAAATTATATAATAAATAAAATTATAAAAAATTAACATGTTTAAAAATTGTCTTTTATATTTAGAATAAAAAATATTAATAGGTTTTTATATAAATAAGGTAAAAATAATAAAATTATAATATATTTATTATCATTAAAAGAAGGTGGCATTTTGGCAATATGTCATTATATTTGTCTCTGCATAATAAATTAAGAATTTCAAATTGATTTAGAAAATATAAAATTTGAGAAAAAGGGAGAAAGGAAATTATAAAACATCATGCAATAAGTCACAAACATAAAAAAAATGGTACATGAATGGAAAAATAACAATTTAGAATTTGACATTACTAGTGACCAAAAAGCCCAGAAATTCCATATCACAGTATTGTACCATCTATTCACTTATTTTTCTTAAATATGTTTTGTTATTAAAATTTCATTTTAGATTTCGTTTTTTTAATTCTCTATTTTTCTAAATTTAATATATTTGTTCCTAACACACAGAAAATTGATACATGACAATTTTTAGTAAAGCGAGTCATTAGTAAAGATTAAAAATATTAAATTTAAGTCCATTTTTTTATGCTGTTTGTCAAGTTAACAATGGAAGTTACAACTTAAAAAAGGAAGAAAAGTTTAGAAGTTACAGTAACGAATAATTAAAAGAAGGCAAAATCTCTTGTACCCCTTTATTATTCAGAGGGTACAGTACTCTCTTTAAATTTATTAAATTTAATTTTATATTTAAAGGATTTAAAAAAATTTATTTACTAATTAATCCTTTAAAATATTGAATTATTATTGCTAACTGATCCTTTTATTGAAAATTTAAAAATTAATAAAGAAAATTCCAGGAACCTCATCGTTAATTATTTTTTTTCATCCAATAAACACAGAAAACACCATATTATTCACTAATTTTTCACATCAAATTAATGAAGATTCTAAACTATATCTTTTCTCTCACCTGCAATTTTGAATCTTGTTATTTCCAAGTTCCTTGCATTTTTCTCATACAATGATTGAAAAAAAAAAAAAAACTTATTAAAAAATGTAAGCCTTGATGCAAATTTGTCATTCCAACCTCGTAACATTGGTGGAAATGCTGCCATGACAGAACAAAAATGGAGAGAGAGAAAGTTTAGACACATTATTATTATTTATTACTAATATTTAATAAAATAAAATAAATAAAAAAGCACTGTTATTTTCTGTAAAATTTGCATCTTCCTTCTTGTGAGCTTTGGACGACATCCCTTTCTCTCCCAGCTCCATTTCCGATCAACTACATTTCTCTTTCTCCATTTTCGTCATTGTTGCAAGAGATTCATGGTTTCATTTCAAAAAATAAAAACATGAAAGGTTATGGCTGCTCCATCAGCAAGGGCTCGTGCCCATTACCATTATCTTATAAAGCTTCTCTTGATCGGCGATGGTAAAAAATTTTTTTTTTCTAATTTATTATTCAGCAAAGATTATTAAAAAAAAAAAAAGCGATAAATTTTACTCAGTCTTCTTTTCATTCGAAATTGTCGAATCTGGAGTTTGTGACAAATGCACGTCTAGTTTTCTTCCTTTTATTTATTTTTTTTGGTTTTAAATTTGAGATTTGTTTAGATTGTGAAAAGTTTGATCTTTCCATGATCTGGTTTGAATCCTTTTTTATGTTTTTGTTATTTGTAATGCAAATTAAGGTGTCAAGAGATTGAACTGCAAAACAGTGCTGATCTTACTTTGACATTGTCTAGCAAATCTTTGTGGTTATCCTTTAAAATTAAGCTTTTGTGTGATCCGTTTATAAGTATTAATCATGTCTCTCACATATATTCCTCTACAGAATCATGTGCTCTGGTGTTTCTGAAATGAGTGTGATCACTTCATTGCATCAGTTACAAAGAGATCCAAAAGCCTCTTTTTTTTAACCTATAATTTCTGGGAAAGGAGCACTTCTCCATGAAAAACATACCATTGCATCTTCCCATGGCCAACATCTGAAGCAACAAAGCACTGGTTCAAACCCAAGAAAACACAAGTTTAAGCAAAACGGAAAAAAAAACTCAAAAGTTTACGCGAAGAAGATGGAACAAAACAAACTTTCTTTCTTCCCAATTACCTTTCTTAATTAAAAGAAAATATAAAGAACTTTTTTATAATAAAAAATAAATTTAAATAAAATAAACCAATCATATTTATCACATAAGAAGGTATCCGGTACCCCTTCAAATATGTGGGTATCAGATCAAGCACCTTAAAAGAAAAGTAAAGAGAGTGCCATGGCAATACAAATCACCGTCCGGGAATATAATCAGAACAATCTGAAATTCTCATACTTGCGTTTAGGTTCACAGAGAGAGAGAGAGGGAACGAAATGGGAGTGCTTTCCAATATGATCGATCGGGAACAACTGAAGCCCGGTGATCACATTTACTCTTGGAGGCAAGCATACATCTACGCGCATCACGGTCTCTTCTTCATTTGCTTTTTTTTTTTTTCAAATTTTCATCTTTTTCCAATTTTAATTTGTGGGTGTTCATCCATTGCTCTTGTATTCGCTTTAACACAACAGATTTGTTAGTTTTTTATTTTATTTTGTTTTGTTTTCCCTTTGGGTTATTCTTTTAAATCATTGGCGTTAAGGGTTCGATCATGTTTTCATTTACCTGTCGTCATCACTTTGAGGCCCAATTCATTTTTTTCAAAGTTGGGTTAGTTAGTGTTGATAAGAATTGTTTCGTTCTGTTTTGCTTTCGTGGTTCTGTTGTTGCATTGGAAAATCTCTATTAGATGGGGGTGGAGATGTCTTCATTTTAAAAAGTGAATTCAAGATACACGTGTTATTGTGTTGGGTTGGCAATATAATATAGTCTAACTGTTTGCTGCCAAACTTAAAATTCAGCATTCTGAAGTTGTAGTGATTATTATTATTGGATCAAATTTAGTTGCTTTTAACTATACACAAAAAGATGTTCCTGAATCAAACCAAATTGACGATAAGTTAAGCCACGAGACAACAATAATGCTTATGTGTTTGAACCTGTAAATTTCCCCCAATTTTAGTGGGATAGAGTTGGCTCATGCTTTCTGGAGGTTATTGGTGTGATGTCGTGAGGGTGTGCTGTTAACTCTTGGCTGGTTTTCAGTATATAGGAGATTGAAATGATATGTATATGCTTATGTAAACAAGCTTAAATCTTGTGGTTTTGGTCTTTACTCAAGCCTAACTGCTCAAATTATTAACAATCTTTTATATTAATTAATGAGTAGGATTTGGGAGCCTATGTGCCAAGTCCTACAGTGTTGAGATTCAAGGTTAAAATCACTCTTTTTATAAAACTTGTGATCGAGATTGATATGTTTGTATGACTAAGGAACGCTGTGTAGATTTGCTTTCGTGGAATAGCATGTCCTACAGTATTGGACATCAATTCGGCCACATAATGTGAAGGATAAACGTTTTGCAAGGCCAGTTAATTTTTTTTCTGAGGACCGATAGGTGTTGTGAGTGGGGAGAAATCATGGGTTGTGCATGTGTGTATGATTCTGTTTTGATGGGGTAATAAAACACAACTGAGGTTCTGTGTTTGAAGAGAACTTCAGGACGAGAAAGATAGTTCAGAAGAATTTTAGGCTTAATAAGCATTGTGATTTTTGGTCAGATAATCAAGATGCTATTGGGGACTTTGAACTGAATTGAACTAAGAACCAGTGATTTCTGTTTTTTTATGTATGGTACTGAAATCGTTATATTGGTTTTGCTAACTGCTTTCTTGCAAAATACCAGGAATATATGTTGGTGATGGACTGGTAATCCATTTTACCAGAGGAGCAGGCCAAGAAATTGGAACAGGAACTATGTTGGACAATCTCCTTTTTAGTTCATCTCCCTCTCATTCTTCTGAAGGTCCATGCCCAAGATGTGGTGACCAAACTAGGACTGATGGTGTAATCTCTTCTTGTTTGGATTGTTTTCTTTCTGGTGGTAGTCTATACATCTTTGAGTATGCAGTCTCAACTGCACTTTTTTTAGCCCAAGCTCGAGGAGGTACCTGCACCCTTGCTCCTTCTGATCCAGCTGAAGGTGTCCTTCGCCGTGCTTCATTTCTTCTTGAAAATGGATTTGGGGGCTACAATGTTTTCAAAAATAATTGTGAAGACTTTGCGATTTACTGCAAAACAGGTCTGCTTGTATTCAAGAGCATCAGTATTGGCCGGAGTGGGCAAGCAGCATCTTGCTTAGCTGCTGCTACTGCGGTAGTTTCTACACTGCTTGGTTGGATGACCACCGGTTTTAGTGGTTTGGCACTGGCTGGCTTTGGCAAGTATTGTTTTAGCCGATTGGCTTCTGATATTGGGGTACGCCGTGATGTGTCTAAAGTTCCAGTGGAAAGGCTTATAGCTTCACCAGAGAGTACGAATGAGATAGCCAAGGAAGATTAGCGTTGGTTGAAAAACCCATCGTATGGAATGCTAGTTTGATTAATGTTGTCAATTGTTAAATGTAGACATGTGAAATTCCATACATTTCTTCGATATATGCTGTTTTCATTTGTGCAGTTTCTACATGTACTCACAAACAATTATGTTGTTTGGATACTGCATCACCTGCAGCAATTATCTTGCTACCTTGTTAACTTATAAAACAATGACTTGGGCTTGTAGCTTGTAGCTTGATTTCTGTTATCAAAATAACATGACGACCCTACCCATCGGTCTCATTCTATACTTTGCAACAGCTGCATTCTTTGTTTGGAAACATTGCTTGCACCTTAGATGGAGTGCAAAATGAAGGATTGAAAGGATTTGTTTCACAGATTTGTGTTTTTGTTTATGTGCATAGTTGTTATATTTGTGTATATGAATATATACTGAAAAATGTGATGAAACTCTTTTCAGGTTCATCAATAAATTTAATGACGTGTGTATGTGCAATGTGCATTGAAAGATGATCTTTCATGAGATATTTATATATATGTTGTGCACATATGTATCAGTATTGGTTTGTTTGTTGTGATACCTTCCCCAGTTTTTCCATGTAGACAACTGCATTTTAGCACAGAACTTAATCTATTCCGGTATATCCTCCCAAGTTTCTTTTTTAGGGCTTACTTCCCCTTAATAAGAGAAAATTAATGACTTGAAAAACAGACATTTTCAGGTTGCTAAAATTATCAAATTCTACTTTTAACCAAGTGTTGCTTCCTCAAATTGATGATAAGCAAACATTTATGAAGCTGACAACAAACTCCCTTATCAATTATCAGATGAGTCTAACGTCCTTCTTATTTGCTTAAAAAGTAAAGTAAAGCTTTTTAATAAGTAAAATGAAGAATAAAATGTAATCGTTGATTGAAATCCCTCTTAATCAGAAGATTAATAATGGATAATAGAAAATCAGTAACCGATAATACAAGTTATTCCCTGCCCTTTTCATTTTTATTGCCTTCAGCAATGACTCTTCTTCTTTCTCACTCTTATTTTTTTTTTTCATTTTACCAATCCATTTACATTCTGCATTCGCTCACAACAATACTTCCTCTTTAACTTCCTTTCAGATCAACTTCAACTCAATCGTTGTTGTGCTTCTCATTTTCCATTATATTGAACTTGCCAAGCATGTCGCGAAAGCCTTTCTTCTTCAGAAACTCAAAGACACCGTTGGCAACCACAACTTCCCCATCTTCACTCCAAGAAACCGGTGGATTCTAATATACTCCCTTCTTTTGTAAAAAGTAATCATACAATATGGACCGTTGATTTTAATCGAATGGTTAAGAATGAATCATAGGATACCGGTTATTCAAGTTAGATTTTTGAAAGAATACATTGATAATTTCATGTTTTTATTCTTTCTTCGTGTTTTGTTCCTCTTCTTCTTCTTAGTGGCGGTCATCTTGTTCTCTTCATCTTCAACATTATGTTAAAAATTATATTTACAGAACAACAAGTGTGGAGCGTTTACAATGTTAAAAACATAAAATTTCAAATATTAAGTATGTATAAAGTTAAGATAAAAAGAACATCAGGTTGTGAAGATTCAATATAAAAAGTAGGGATATCTTGATGGGTTAATAACTATAAATATCGAGTATATTCAAAATCCATTGTAGAAATTAATGTTTCGGAAGAAAAATATTTCAACAACGGTGAGTTGCAATGTGTTTATTAATATTAATGTAGTGTATATTAAAAATATATATCTGGGTTGCATATTTAAAAAGGTTGTGTAATGTGCAGTTGTAATGAGTTGTGTTCTTAGTCTCCCTCAATAAGGGGGTGACTGTATTACTACAATGAAATTGGTTGTACAGGTTAGAGACGGTGAAAAAAACAATGAATATTGGATAATTTTTGCAAGGGTGCGAAAGTTAAAAGATATTAAATTGTGGACAAAGTTAAACTTAAACAATGGTATATGCGGCCTTTACATTTGCATTGGTTGTGTTATAAAACCAATATGATTAGGTGAGCACCTTTTATATTTGGGCATGATTCAATTTGCATCGGGTCTGTGGCAAGTCTGATGTCATTAGGCAACCACTTTATACATTTTCCTCATGGACTGTATTTACATCGATTGTGTTGGGTTTATGTCACTAATTTTTACACCGATTATCTGAGAAAACTCATATAGAACTTAAGTTTTAATTTTTTAAATATACTTTGTAAAAAATTATTATTTCGGTCATCTAATTCAACTGATGTAGAAGTGACTTTTCCCAACCATGTTTCATGTTCTTCCAGCCATGTCTCATTGGAATCCAGATTGATAGGCCCAGTGCATGTAATTCAAAGAAAATTATGACGGAAGTCACAAAGGAGAAATCTCATCTTAGTTAATTTTATCTAATAAATTTCAAAGTTTAGATGAAAAAAAAATCTGGGAATGAAGGAGGTTGAGAAGAAATAAGAGAGATAAAAATAGAAGAGTTGTCATAGAGATGAAGAGGAAAGAGATAAAAAAGAAGTAACAATTTACTTATTTACATCGGTTATCTGGTAAAACCCATGTAGAACTTACGTTTTAATTTTTTAAATATACTTTGTAAAGAATTATTGTTTCGGTCATCCAATTCAACTGATGTAGAAGTGACTTTTTCCAACTACGTTTTATGTTCTTCCAGTCATGTCTCATTGGAATCCAGATTAATAGGCCAATGCATGTAATTCAAAAGAAATTATGAAAGAAGTCACAGAAGAAAAATTTCATCTTAGATAATTTTATCTAATAAATTTTAAAGTTTAGATGAAAAAAAAAATAGAAATGAAAGAAGTTGAAAAGAAATAAGAGAGATAAAAATAGAAGAGTTGTAGTAAAGATAGAGAAAAAATAGATAAAGGAGAAGTAACAATTTACTTATTTACCCTTCATTAATATTTTATTACCTAATATAATCATCTGTCCATTTTAATTTTTAACTTTTTCATCAATTAATCTTAGCCATTTATTTTATATCTATAAATATCAACAGTTTAAAGTTAATTTTGTTTACTTATTTAAAAGTGTTGCATTTACTTTTTACAAAGGAAAGATATTAGAATCTCCCAAATAAACTAAGCTCTCGAACACGACTTTGACCTAAATTCAAGTGCTTCCTCCTCGAATTTTGCAATCTCAGATTACTCCAACATTCTTGATGTCTCACATTCTCCCCGTACAAATCACCTCTCACCACTCCACCGCTTTGAGTAGCATTCTATACGTTGCTACTTTGTACGTCGATTTTTTCGTAGAACTAACTTAGAATATTAAAAAAAAAAATTGTTACTTGGTTCTATAATATAATCAATACATAAAGTAATATTTTTACCTTTTCACTTTTTACAAAAATAATATAAAAAGTATTTAAAAAATTACTTTTGAATTAATATAAAAAATAATATTTTTTTATATTGTTACTTTTTATATCAATTCTTTGAAAGATTGATGTAGAAAATATCATTTTTTACATTAAATTAATATGAAAAGTATTTTTAAAAAATTATTACTTAATTTGCAGGTTGACTCACTCCGATTTGAGAAAAGTACTTGTTGATGCCTTAGTTGGTGCTAGAAAAAATCGATAAAGAGTAGTCTTTAAGTTAGAGTTCCATTTAAGTTGGGTAAAAATTAAATTTATTAATATTGTCGATGGTGTGTTGAAGTTTTGTTGTGAACGAGTTGACTTAAATTAACTTACAAGTGAGTTGAACATGAACGAAGGACAAATGTATAAAGTAGTACTTTCTTTATCAATTTGTTAAAGAATTAATGTAAAAAATAAAAAAAAAACTCTATAATTTGTTGCTTTTAAATTATAAACTTTAAAGAAATATAACTTTTAACATAGAACTATAATTTATATAAATTATATATTTATTTTATATAATTTTTTAAGATCTTTGAATAAACTTATTTTTTAAATTCTAATTTTTTTTATTTTCTTATATTTTTTAAGTATTCTGTTATTTGCAAATTCTCAATGGTGTGAATAACAGTATTTAGCTATACAATTGCCAGTAAAAAGTCGCGTAAAGAATAATAAAAAACACAAGGATAAGAGAAATAAAAAATAAAAAATATATCAAATTACTAATATATTATTTAATAAATTTAATTTTATCATTGATTTTCAGTCTTGCATTTTTAACTATGGAAACTTAATTAACATTCCACATTCTTTACAAGCTTTTGTAAAAGATATTTCTGCCTTACTTTTTCAAATTTAAAGGGGTCCAAGAATCACTCTTCATTCAATTCTGAAAGACAAATGAAAGAAGTGTTTCCTTTTGCTTTGGTTACATCTTATAACTTGATTATTTTTGTTAATGAAAAATTGTTTTGATGTATTTAGTATATTTCAAAGATTCCCAGGTACAAAAGGAAAAAAATAGCCTGGCTCCACGAATTCTTTTAGTACAATTATTCTTACCTTCAAGGATTCTTTTAGTACAGTTAACTTTTGAAGTTGCGTCACGTGTGTAGAGGATATAATACATATATGATATTGTGATATGATTGTTCTTAAAATATCACAGTTACAGTTCGCGATGGACATGTATTTAGATATGTATGAAGATTCATAAAACATGATGCATATATGTATTTGATACGAATGCCTTAAATTAAATACGTTAAAAGTAATTTTTACTTAAATTTTAAAATCTTGTTTAAACAAAGATTAAAAATTTTCATTAAAAGGTAGAAAGAGAGAAAAGAGAATAGATGGAAGAGAGGGCGGAAGGGAGAGTAAAGGTGGGTGGGGTGTTATAGTTGCATATTACTTGGCGCTAAAACCGCAGAAAATACATTTTCATATCATAAATCAGATAAATATGAGGGAATGTAAGGCAGGGAACTTGACAACACTGCAGTAGCTAGCAAAGCATTTTGACACCTTCAGAGCATCCCTAATTAAAAGATATACGGCGCACATTCCTTTAATTTGTACGCAGGTAGGTCCCTTCTGATGTAGGCTTCAGGCACCTTTATTTTCAACCTTTTTCGACAGCATCAAAATAATTCAAGTCCAGCTAATTTCCTAGTAGATTAAGGTCTAATTTAGATAAATTTTTTAATAAGTATTTATGAGAATATTTAAAACATAAAATGACTTTAATTTATCTCATAAGTTATTTTTTATACTTAACATTTTAAAAAATTATTTAACTTCTCCAAAGGCTAACTTACATAGCTTGCTCTAAACTTTCAAAAGGACATAACTGTAATAATCTATCTATAATAGTATTTTTCAATTTAAAATTTATTTTTATTTCAATAATTTATGCATTATTTTAAAAGGTTAATGTTAATTATTAAAAAAATGTAATTTTAATTGAAGAATAGAAATATAAAAATGAATTGTAGTTAAATTTTATCTCTTTCAATATTTTGTAACTGTAATATCGGGAGTTGTTATAAAAGCTCTCAAATAAAAAAATTTGAATGTCCTTCAGTTGTGATTCGTTTAAGTAAAAATACATAAAATAATAAAAAATATTTATACAAAATTAATTTAAGAAATTTTTTTTGGTTAAGTGAATTATTTTAATTTAAACAAAATTTATATACTTAAGGAGATGAAGACTGAGTGTGAGAGAAGAGAAGAAATATGAAAATAAAGAAAGTGAGTGATATGAAAATGGTGGTAGAGGAGTGAGAGAAGGGTGGAAAGTTAAGTATGAAAGAAAAAGATAGGAATTGAGTGGGATAAGAGTGAGAAGAGAAAGAGAAGAGTTGAATATAAAAAAAAAGAAGAAAGTTAAATATAAAAATTAAAAATAATTAAATATAAAAATTAAAAAAAAAGTGTTAAATACAAGGAGAAAAAAAATTAAAAAAATATATATAATTTTCTTAAATAAATATGTAAGTCAACAAAATTTGTTTAAGTTAATTTTATATAAATTTTTTTATCATTTTTTATATTTTTATTTAAACAAAAATAAAACTGAATGATGAGTCTTATCACAACCGAAAGAAATTCATATCCCAAACAAAAGGATAATATAGAGTTAGGTTAACTCTAATATGCACCATGCGTGAAATTACTCACTTATCCCTTTTTTTTTTTACCTATATTTTTTATTTTATCTTTTTCCAACATCCCGTTACCAGCAAGAAGCAAAGATTAAACTTATTGTTTTTGTATTCAACTGTAGAAGCGTGTGTATATATTGTTATCTCAAAGGAATAAGAGATACCTATGTATTATATGACTAGAAAATATAATTAACTAAAAAAAATATTACTAGAACAAAAAAAAAAGTATATATTATAATACACGTAAATTTAAAAGAATATTATATATTTTTTAATATTTTAAAAATTAAAAAATATTTATTTTTAAAATAAATTATTAATTTCATTATTAACAGTAATACTTATTTTACGTACAAGAAGACATAAACTTCTTAATTTATAAACGTATTGTAAAAATTATTATAAAAAATAATTAGTGTAAAATTTAAGTTTAACTAACTTGACGCTTATTTTTTATAAAAATAAAATATTAAAGTTAACACAAGTAAAAATATATATTGTTTTAATTTTAGTTAAAAATAATATTAAAAAAAAACGAAAAATTATAGCTAAAATTTGCTTTCATCTTGTAGCTCCCCCATCTTCTGTGCTCTCATGTATGGGGAACACAACCAGATCTAACCAGACTGTCCAAATCCAATGAGTGGGCCAAAGGCTGCAGAATGCAAACTCCTATGGGATTCTTAGCATTTAGCAATTAGCATGGCATTGCATGTTAGCAATTGAAATTAATGAATTTGTTAGAATCGATTAACCTAAAAATTAATTTAATAGTTTCATTAAGAAAGATGACGTTAAAAAATCCGCAGTTAAAGTGATAAATTTTGAACTTTACTAAATCAATGTTTCTTCTTTGTTAATAACAGCATTATAGATATCAAGTAAAAACTTACAAATTTAAAACATTAAGTTATTTAATATATTAAATGAAAAAGATTTTATTTGTATATCATTTAATATTTTTATTTTCTTAACAAGTTCATAGAATCGTAACGTATGCAGTGTAAAAAATTGAATGATTTAAGCCTTGTTTAGGGTATTGAATAAATATAAAATAAATTAATATGTTAGAAATTAAAATTCATTGTTTATCATTTAATATATTTTTTTCTAGTTATTCACGTATTAAAAAAATCCAAAAACATAATACATAAAAGTGATTTTTTTTCTCATTCTTCTTAAAGAGTACTAAATAATATTTTTATTCTCTAAAATGTTAAGAAAATCTAACAATTTACTACATAAAAAATGTCAATATTTTCTAATTGAATATGTGTCATTATTCAATACAAATATATGAGACTTTTTTTTATTTAAATAATACAATTTTAAAAATTGATTCTTAAAATAAAATTTATTTAAACTTAAATTTATGATAATTTTTTTACTATGTTAATACTAGTATCAATCATGCATGAATGATAATATTTTTTATTATTATTTAATAGATTATCAGCCATCTGAAACCGATACAAATTTATAGCTTGCCATATGTAATCATCACAATAATATTGAATAGAAGAAGAAGATAGATAGCAAGCTCAACGGGCAAAATGCATCATGACCATCGTGTAAAAGTGTACGATACTGTTGTTATAGTGACTCTTTTAACCGAAAGAAGAGGAAAGGTTGCAAAGGCAGAGTTAAGAGGAAGGGTGGTGGAGACGAAGGCAAGTAGGAATAAACAGATAAACCATAACTGAACCTCACCTCTGTCTCAAAAAATAAATGGACAAATAACAAGGAGGAACAGTGCTCCCCATAGAAGGACACGTCTTTGTCCAAGAAATCCAAAAACAGAACCTTATTAAAAAATATAAAGAAGAAAATAATTAATCAAAAAGTGAATTTATTGATAAAGAAAGAAAAATAAATGATACTCAATCGAGGAAAGAGTTTAGATTCTAAAATACATAGAAATACTATATATATCATACTAAATAATAATAAATTTGAGAAAAATATGTTGGATATAATAACAAAGTAATATAAACAAATTATAAATGTAATTTAGTTCAAATTTAACAATAAAAATAAAAATTAATCTGAATTACAATAAAATATATGATTTTTTTATTTATTCTAATAGTTTAAAAATAGATTAGTTAAATTTTGATGAGCTATCAAGGACTGATATACTTTGAAAAAATGAATTTTGATCTTTTTTTAATACAAGTAGCTTGCAGTAAAATTTGTTTAAGTAAATTTAGCAAAAAGTAAAATTTACTTAACTAAATTTGGTAAAAAAATATTTTTTTTTCTTTTTAGACTACAAAAACATTGAGAAACATTAGTAAAATATACTATGGTCACACTTTGTGATCATTTTATTGTCAGTCATACATGTACAAATTATTTCATTTTTTAAAAGTCTTTATAAAGTGATAAAAGCCACAATATTTAGTATATAACTTATAAATTTTTAAATTTTTCTTAGCTCTATTATATGGCCATAGCTAAAATATAATATCTTTTTTTTTTAAAGAAACTTGTTAGGTAAAGATTCTCATATTACAAAAGTTTAAGAGTTTCAGATACTTCTCAACCAATTTTTTTTTTTTTAAATAAAGTCATTATTCTTATAATTTTTAATAAATTAATTCAATTTTAAATATTTATATCTCACCAATATTTAGTACGGATGAGTCATTAGATAATATATATGTTGAGATGATATATATGAAAATATTTTATAATTATATAATTATTAATAAAAAATATATTTTTTCAATATGATCATACAGTAAAATTAAAATGAATGAGAATTGAAAACTTTCTAATTTATATAATAAATATTGTGAAATTTATTGATCTTTGTTTTTTTTAATTATTTAAAATGAAGTTATTTATACGTATATAACTAATAACAAAAATGACTATAAATTTGACTGTACAGAAAATTTTCAATGTTAGTGAAATTTAAAAAGAAAAGAGATAAAGTTGTAATATTTTTTTGTAATTTTAATTGAAATAAAAAACTATTTTACAATTCATTTAAATTCCAGTTAAGCAAAATTTGACCGGAGGCCGAGGGTTGGAGTTACGTGGAGCATCGGAATCTAAAAGTACTGTGGAATCTGATATTGAAACCCCCTTAAAATATCCTTTTATAACCCCCTCTGTCATTTAGCCAAAAGCCGAAACAAAGTTTGCTGAAACAGAGTTTGGATCCCACTCCCCAATACCGTATTTAATAGAAAATTAATGCTTTAATTATCCTCTTTCTATTTTCTATTTTATTTTTTAAGATTTTTGTTATGTATTTTTCTGTTATTTTTAAAAACTTAAGATAATATTAATTATTTTTTACTATTTATTCTTTAAATTAAAACCAATTAATTAATAATAAAGATAAAAGCTGCAATAGATCAAACATTTATTAAGATGAATATAATGAGAATATTAAATTTGTCGTTTAATTTTTATGTTAAATTTTTAAAGTGGCAGATTAAAAAAATATATTATATCTCCTTATATATTCTCGTGATGTTTTTTTAATTATTTTATAAAATAATTAAAAATTAAAAAAGTACATGTATTTATCGTTTTAAACTATTTAATATGTTTTCTTAAATAATTCAGAATATTTATAAGAAGAAAAAAAATTGTATTATTTACATAAAATACATGTAAATGGAAAATAGATTATAAAAATAAAATTCTGCATTAAAATTTATGTTTAACTATATTAAAAATGACAAGATAATGTATATTTTTATTATATTTTATAGTTTATTCACTAGTGCCGTTGTCATATTAATTCTAAAAATTGAGAATGTAAATTTTCTAAAAATATTACAACACACTGCTGAAAAATAAACGTTGAGAGTATTTTGTAAGACTAATCATACATACATTGACTTGGCGTAGGTGAAATGATAATCGATGGCAGTCATGGCCACGCATTCATGCTTTATATGGTACTTCTCCGACTCCGAGTCAGATACACACAAACTCAATGGAACACCTTAAGCCAAGCGCTGCAAACTCTTCCCCTCTCACCCCTCTCGGCTTCTTGGACCGAGCCGCCACCGTTTACCCCGACACTCCCTCAGTCATCTACAACGACACCGTTTTCACCTGGTCCCAAACCCACCGCCGATGCCTCCAACTCGCCTCCGCCCTCTCCTCCCTCGGAATCCGCCGCGGCCACGTCGTCTCCGTCGTCGCCCCCAACATTCCCGCCATGTACGAGCTCCATTTCGCTGTCCCCTTCGCCGGCGCTATCCTCAACAACATCAACATCCGCCTCGACGCCCGCACCATCTCCGTCATTCTCCGGCACGCTGAATCCACGCTCGTGTTCGTCGATTGCGCCTCACGCGACGTCGTCCTCCAAGCCTTATCGTTATTCCCTCCCCAACACACTCGACGCCCAGTCCTCGTCCTCATCACTGACCCCACGATTCAACTCGACGCCCAACCTTCCCCCACCGTCGATTTCATAGACACCTACGAGAGCCTCGTTAACAAAGGCGACCCAAGTTTCAACTGGGTCTGGCCCAACTCCGAGTGGGACCCAATGGTACTTAACTACACCTCAGGAACGACGTCGTCTCCCAAAGGCGTGGTTCACTGCCACAGGGGAACATTCATCATAACCGTCGACTCGCTCATCGACTGGGCCGTTCCAAAGAACCCCGTTTATCTCTGGACTCTCCCGATGTTCCACGCTAACGGGTGGAGCTTCCCGTGGGGGATCGCAGCCGTGGGAGGCACCAACATCTGCGTCCGCAAGTTCGACGCTGGAATCGTCTACTCTCTTATTAAACGCCATCACGTCACTCACATGTGCGGCGCACCCGTCGTTCTCAACATGTTAACTAACTCCCCCGACAATAAACCGCTCCAGAGCACGATTCAGATATTAACCGCCGGAGCGCCGCCTCCAGCTGCGGTGCTCCACCGGACTGAGTCCCTGGGGTTCGCCGTAAGCCACGGTTACGGATTGACGGAGACCGGAGGACTGGTGGTGTCGTGCGCCTGGAAGCAGAAGTGGAACCGGTTGCCGGCGACGGAAAGAGCGAGGCTGAAGGCGCGGCAGGGGGTGAGGACGGTGGCCATGACGGAGGTGGACGTGGTGGGAGCCACAGGGGAGAGCGTGAAGCGCGACGGGGTTACTATCGGTGAAGTCGTAATGAGAGGAGGGTGCCTAATGCTAGGATACCTCAAGGACCCTGAAGGAACCGCGAGTTGTTTTAAGAACGGGTGGTTCTACACGGGGGATGTTGCGGTTATGCATGAGGACGGGTATCTTGAGATTAAGGATAGGTCGAAGGACGTGATTATCAGCGGCGGCGAGAACTTGAGTAGTGTGGAGGTGGAATCGGTGCTTTACGGTCACCCGGCGGTGAACGAAGCGGCGGTGGTGGCGAGAGCCGATGAGTATTGGGGTGAGAGGCCGTGTGCGTTCGTGAGTTTGAAGGAAGGGGTGAGGGAGAAACCGACGGAGAAGGAGATAATTGAGTATTGTAGGAAGAACATGCCGCATTACATGGTTCCTAAAACGGTGGTTTTCAAGGATGAGCTTCCGAAGACTTCGACGGGGAAGATTCAGAAGTTCGTTCTGAGACGGATTGCCAAGGACATGGGACCCATCACGCAAAGTCGAATCTGAAACAAAAATCGGTGAATGCCTCCAAAATGGTTCTTGCCGATTCAACTTACACGTGTCTTGCCGTGATCGTTTCGTGACGGAGATGATATTGCCGTGGGGTCAATTTTTCATTCTTACGTTGCATCGCAAGGTTTTATCTTTATGTGTAATAAAATAATTTAAACGAATGATGCAGAAGTGAATTCATTTCAGAAGGATAAGGTGGATGACGGACAGCTTGTCTTGGGTGTTGAATGTGTCCTCTTCGCTTATCTCTTCCTTTTACAGTTTTCCTTTTGGATAGAATGGGAATAAGTGCTTTTTAATTAATGGATGACACTTGGAATAAATAATTTGAAAAGATTAAAAGAAAGGTAAATGATAGTTAGCGTTTCTCTTTTTTAAATGTATGATCAAATCATACTTTAGCATTTTTTGAAGCACCTTTTTTGTTCCCAAACTCGAGACCAATTTCCTTCCTTTATTTTGCTCATTGGACAATCACATTTTGATGGCAACCGATTTCACTTTGACCTACTTACAGTTATATTGTGCTAGCTAGCTTTAATCGATTTCAAGTCTTTTCCAGAAGAATGGGAAGTTATATTAATGACCGATTGAACTACAAGAACAATCATAGGCCTATTAGCTCAACACCATGTGTTCAAGCATTTACGAAAATCACAAAAGATGCAGCGGCTTCTCTACACCTACACCACGCGCAGCTGCATGATATGAACATAACAAAATAATTTCGCTGCATACAGTGGAGACTGTCTTTGACTTTGATCTTTGGATTCTTATGATTTTAAAGTTTCAATGGGAACGCAATTACGTGAAAAAGAAAGCTATCCATTGTAAATTTAGAATGTATTGACTTTTACCCTCCTACTTATCTTCTTGCCTTCATAATCCAACTTGATATCTATGAATTCTCAATAATATCTTATATCATCGCTTTCTCCAGTAAAACTTAACCTTCTTATTTGGATGCAAATTTTTAAATATTATCAAAATATAAAATTAACAATAAAAAATAATTAAAGTGAAAGTAAGAGGAGTTATAAATAATAATTATAAAAAGTTAGCATAATAAATAAATTTTTAAATCATCTCCACAGACAAGTTATTTATAGTTTTTTTATTTGATATAAGAATTATCTATTAAAATTTATATTATTTTAAAAATAATTTTTTCATTCTCTGTAAATATATATAATCCAATGATTTTAGTGTCTTAAATTTGTCAAAAATAAAAATTAATCCTTTGTAAATTTTTGATTAATTTTTATATTATAAATTAGAGTGTACTATTTATAAAGTGAAATATTAATAGAGTTATTCACTTTTATAATTTGTTGCAGCTGCATTTTAAGATTTAAATTGATTGAGAATAATATATTAATTAAACTTCAATGATTTTACTTTTTATCTATATATTTATCAATTTTTTAAAATTTAAAAATTAAAATTATTACTTTACTTTCTCTTATTACCCTGTATAAAATTTAAATATTTTTCAAATACCTATTTTTATATTTAATAAAAATTATCTTAATTCTTTCTATTTTCTTAAATTTAAAATTTACTTTTAAGAGTCTTATCTCTTATTATAGTTATTAATTAATTGATATCTAATTAATTTTTTTAACACTATATGATAAAAAATATTATTTTAAAATTATTCAATTTTATTAAATCTTTATTATTTTGATATATATTATTTATAATTATATAACTAAGTCAAAATAATATTTTAAAGAAATTATTATTTAAAATAATTATATATAATTATTTATACAAATTTTATTCTTTAAATATCAAATTATTTATATCTATTTTAAATAAAATACCTACACATTCTACAAAATATTAAATTAGTATTATATAAATTAAATTTATCGTCCTAGAGAATGAAATATTGAGAGATAAAATCACATAATGTTTATCTTAATAAATTTATTTACTTTTAATTTGTGATACATATGCGAAAAATTATTCTGAAATTCAAGATGCAGGCTCAATCACATACTCAAATTCTAAAATTTTAACTGATTTTTTCTTCTTCTCTTCTTAAGAGTGGCTTTCCAACCCTGACATAGTCAATTGAAATAAATTATGTATTTTTCAATAAGATATATTATTATTTTATTTATGCAACTTTTATTTAATTATTTTGTGAACTGTGAGAATGTATCACTTGATGAAACCAAAACTGTGAATAGCTTTTTAAAATCTGTGAAATTTGGTCAAACAACTACGGGCCGGGCTTATTTGTTTACCTCCAATAATGGCACCCCACTTGTGTAAGATGGTTTTTTATTTTTTTTCTGATAAACCCTAAATCGTGTAAAACATTAATAGTATGGAGGATAGCTGCTTGAGTATATTCTCCTTCGAAACTAAAGGCCAAACAGAGAAAAAATGAAAGTTTGGAGTGTCTAATTGAGCATCGTGTCAAATTGCCTTACTTCTTTAATTATTTATTTATTTTTGTTAATAAATTGGGCTTACAAGCCCAAACAACCGGGACTCTTAACTCGGGAGTCTAAAATAACAGCAATTACAAGAATTTCTGATTAACAGAGGAACCAAGAAAAGGGGAGGAGATTTAAACTGATAAAGGGGAGACATAAAATCAAAACCTATTTTAGCCATAGAATCAGCAGAGAAGTTTGTCTCTCTACAAATATGATTTAACCTAATAAACCTAATCTTTCTACGGTACTCTCTAATATTACATAAAAGATCAAACAAAGGGTGAGAAGGATACTGAATATTTAAGATAAGATTGATGGCCTCCTTAGAATCACTTTCAATCTAAATATACTGAATATTTTCTTGAACAACCAGTTGAAGACCCATACACAAGCCCCATAGTTCCGCAGACAGAGAGAAACAAAGATTGAGAATAGAGCAGAAAGCAGCTCTAAAATTTCCAAGGTTGTCTCGGATTAGCCCTCTGCAAGCAGAAGCTCTACTGGACTTAGACACAGCACCATCTACATTCAACTTTAATTGGCTAGCAAGAGAAGGGATCCAATTCACCTTTCCTTAATCCAAAATCATGTTAGATAGAGACTTGGAGTTTTTCCTGCAACACCCAGAAAAATAACTAGCATCAAATAAGGCCTTGTGGGCAAGGTTCATGAGTTGGGTAGAACACTGTTGGAAGATAAAATCATTTCTATTGTTCCAAATATGCCAAATTACCACACCAAATATCATAGACCAATTAGGAAAGTTACTCATACAGGAATTTGTTAAATTAGAATATAACCAAGCAGTTAAACCAGTGCTAAAAAATTGAACCCAATCAGCATAGTAATAATATCTTAAAATATGCATAATAGACTCACAGTCATCACTACACCTAGAACAACTTTGGGAATTAGTCATACCTCTCTTAATTCTTTCCTCATTAGTCAGAATCTTACCATAAGCAATTTTTCAGAGAAGAAAAACAAATTTAAGCAGACCATCCCAGGCCCAAATAACTTTAAACAAATCATGGGCCATATTAGAAAGAGGGGCAGGGGGAACAAGGAGCCAGTAAGCAGATTTAATGGAGAAATTCCCATTATTAGAGAAATTCCAAAACACAAGGTCAGGACCATTGTTCTTGTTAGGCAGATTAATCTGGGCAATGGAGTTACATATAGGGTTTGGCAAAAAGGGCCAAATTTTGCCCTAATCCCAGGCTCCATTGGCAGCAAATAGAGCCACTGGGATATTTAGATCAAGATCAGAAGAGGAACTTGATAGACTAGTCATCTTTAATTTGCTAGCCTAGACCTTGAGAGAATAGAAGCCAAACCAACATAAAGTTCTTCCAAAGGTGAGACTCTCTAGTGGGTCTCCTGGATCTAATAAAGTTACTAAGACTAAAATTGTATTTATGAATAAGAATCTGGGCCCAAAGATCAGATGGGTTAGAGATCAATTTCCAACATAGCTTCATCACATTAGCTTTATTAATCGTATGCAGATCCTTGAACCTTACCCCCCTTAAATTTAGGTTTACAAATATGGTTCCAGCCAATCAAATGACATTTATTATTTCCCAAAGACCCTCAGATAGACTTTTTACAAATACTATTAATTTTATTACAAATTGAAGAGGGAATTATCAAAAATTGCATTAAATAAGAAGAGATACTCATTATGCAAGACTGAGCTAAAGTGACTCGTCCAGCCAATGAGAGAGAATTCATTTTTCATAAGTACAATTTTTGTCTAACTTTATCTATAAGGAAAGAAAATTGAGACCTAGCAGATTTGTGGTGAGATATTGAAATACCCAGATATTTCTTAAACTGGGTTATTGGGTTAATATTTAAGCATTAATTGATAGATTGCCTAAGAAAAAAGTCAATATTATTAAAAAAAAAACAAAGAGGATTTAGCATAATTAATTTTAAGGCCAAATGCCATACATAAGTCATTTAATACCTCCTTTATTTTTTATGTTTGAGACAAACTAGCTTTTGCTACTAAAATTACATCATCTGCAAACACAAGGTAAGTACAGTATCATTTACATTTACAACACTAATCTTACTTGGATCCTGAAAAATATTCAATACAAAATTAAAAATGAAAGGAGCTAATTGCATATATTACTCTTTTTATTAACCCTTCATTTATAAATTACTTTTATAAATTACACACCAAATTTTATTAGGATTAAGTCATTTTAGCATAGACTAAAGGTGTTTTCTATTGAAAGGATAAAAATAATTGCATATTCACGCTGCTTTTATTCGGTAAACGTAAAAAAAAAAAAAGGAAAAATGAAGGAAAAATTAATGTAAATTTAAAAATAACAAGTTTTTTTTAATCTTTTAAATAAACGCAAAAAAACATATTATTAACATTTTTTCCTGCATGGAAAGGAAGCATGAGAATTATGGAGTGGACCATACATCCGACAACATAATTTATTGGTCACCAAATGCAAGATAGTAGTCCCCCTTTCAAACCATTCCCCTCACAACCTTTTCATTACGTTAATCTATTTGTTTAAATTATTTAGGAGACCAATAACTTCATTTTAGACAAATTAATGACATTTATTCATAAAAAAATACAAAAAATGATATGATTTTTAATATAATAATTTTATTTTATTTATTTACTTTAATTATATCCCATATAATAATTTAAACAAACCCTTTTTAAATAAACAATAGTTAGATATTTTATTTCCTTTAAAAATATAAGTATTAAATAATTTTATTAATTACCTTTAATTCATTCTCTCTCTCTCTCTCTATATATATATATATATATGTAAACTTAAAAAGAATTCATTAATATTTACTTTAATTAAAAAATATTTTTATATTTGAACTATAATTTAATTATATTTAAAAAAAAATCATGATAGTAAATAGTCAAATAAAAAATTTATATATTAAATAAATAGATATTACTTTTGTGGATAACGGGTGAATATCACATTAAAAAAAAATTCTCTAATACTCATATAATATTCATCTTCGCTCTTAACTCATGTAATATGAGATAGAATTGATACGTACAGTTTTTATTTCTTTCATATTTCAAATATTAATTTCAGAAGTCTTAAATTTTTAACCTAAAATTTTATTTAAAAAATATAAAGGATGTTGCATCAATAACATATTTCATTTATATTATATCTCAGACAATCATATAAATTAATTAAGATGATATGTAAATAAATAACGAAACAAGTAAATAAATTATTAATATAAGAATCAAATAAAAATAAAATTTAAAAGAAATAAAACTTTATTTAAGTCCAATGTGAAATATCATTCTTCTTATGTCCTATTTTTTTTTTATAAATTATTTAAGTAATTTAAAGTTGTGTTTGTATAAAGTAATTTAAATTTTTTACATTATATGTAACTTAGTAAAAAAAATATTTTTAGAATGATGCAAAATTTAAAATAAATAAATTTTCTATTAAATATAAATATTTTTAAAATGATTTATTTTAAAAAATATCTCAATTATGTTTAATTTTTTATATTAATTATTTATAAGTTCTTTTTAACTCTTATTTGTTTGTTTTTGTTTAGATGAAAATATTTAAAACTTTTAAATATATAAAATAAATAGTGAGAAAATGTTTAAAGTAAGTGAAATATGAGAGAACTTAAATAAATAATATGTTAAAAAATTAATTAATTAATTAATTAAAAAATTTTAAAATTTAATTCATATAATTATTTTTTTCTAAATAAATAAATAGGAAAAAATTAATATTAATATTTGTAATTAAAAAATACTCAATAATAATAAACTGTTAAAATTGAAGTACTCATTATGTGTTTAATAAAGTAATAAAAATAATACTCTTAAATGTTTAAATAAAGAAGTTAACAAAAACTTAAATAAAAAGAGAGAAAAGATAATAGTAAAAAGAACCTGCGGTAATTATGAATAACAGCTGTGCAATAAAGTTGACCGTGGACCACAAACACATATCTGACTACATATTAACTACCCAACCAAAAAGCGAAACATCATCTGCAGCTTGCAATTCCAAGTACGTCAAAATAATTCCAAACTTCAAACTCTACCACTGTCAATGCTTCTTCACCATTACATCACTCCTCTCACTGCTATTTAAGAACCACAAAACTTCAAATTCTCCACCACTTTCACACTCCCAATACGCTAACATTAACACCTCCATGGACCACCTAAAACCAAATCCTCCAAACTCAACACCCCTCACTCCACTCACCTTGCTCGAAAGAGCAGCAATCGTCTACGCTCACTCCCACTCAATCCTCTGCGACAGCACTTCCTTCACTTGGTCCCAAACCCACCGTCGATGCCTCCGACTCGCTTCTTCGCTCTCCTCTCTCGGCTTCGGACGCGGCCACGTCGTCTCCATTCTCTCCCCCAACACTCCCGCAATGTACGAACTCCACTTCGCTGTTCCCATGTGCGGTGCCATTCTCAACAACCTCAATCTCCGTCTCGACGCACACACTCTCTCCGTGCTCCTCCGCCACAGCGAATCCAAACTCGTCTTTGTCCATTCTCACTCTCTCTCTCTCATCCTCCGCGCCCTCTCTTCCTTCCCGCCAAACACCACGCGTCCGCGTATCGTCCTTATCACTGACGACGCCGTCGCGCTGCAAGCTCCTATTATTGACACCTACGAGGGCCTCGTGACAAAAGGAGACCCCGGATTTCAGTGGGTCCGGCCCAAATCCGAGTGGGACCCAATAACTCTAAACTACACTTCCGGTACGACGTCGTCTCCCAAAGGCGTCGTTCACTGCCACCGTGGAACCTTCATCATGACCATCAGTTCCCTCGTGGATTGGTTCGTGCCAAATCAACCGGTTTACCTCTGGACCCTACCCATGTTCCACTCTAACGGCTGGACCTTCCCCTGGGGAATTGCTGCGGTTGGCGGAACTAACATTTGCACGCGTAAAATCAACGCGCCCACCATCTACCGTTTGATTGAGTCTCATAACGTGACGCACATGTGCGCTGCGCCGGTGGTGCTCAACATGTTGATAGCTTCCAACAGAACCGAACCGCTGAAGAACCCGGTTCATGTTCTGACCGGCGGTTCTTCTCCTCCGGCGAGGGTTCTTATGCGGGCGGAGGAATTAGGGTTTGTAGTGAGCCACGGGTACGGAATGACGGAGACGAGCGGGGTGATGGTGTCGTGCGCGTGGAAGAGGAAGTGGAACGAGTTTCCAGTGACGGAGCGGGCGAGGCTGAAGGCGAGGCAGGGAGTGAGGACGGTGGCGATGACGGAGGTTGACGTGGTGGATTCGAAAACGGGCGTGAGCGTGAGGCGCGATGGGTTTACGGTGGGGGAGATAGTGGTGCGAGGAGCGTGTGTTATGTTAGGGTATTTGAAAGATGAAGAAGCGACGAGAAAGTGTGTGAGGAAGAATGGGTGGTTTTACACGGGGGATATGGGGGTGATGCATGAGGATGGGTATTTGGAGATAAAGGATAGGTCGAAGGATGTGATAATAAGTGGGGGTGAGAATTTGAGTAGCGTGGAGGTGGAGGCGGTGTTGTACATGCACCCTGCGGTGAATGAGGTGGCGGTGGTGGCGCGTCCAGATAACTTCTGGGGAGAGACGCCGTGTGCGTTTGTGAACTTGAAGGGTGGGTTGGTGAAGAGGCCGTCGGAGGAGGAGGTGGTGGAGTTTTGTAGGGAGAGGTTGCCGCATTTCATGGTGCCCAAAACGGTGGTGTTTAAGGAAGAGCTGCCTAAGACTTCGACGGGGAAGATTCAGAAACACGTGCTGAGAATGGATGCTCGAGCTATGGGGTCATTGGCTGCGCCGCTTCAAACTCCAGCTAGTCGCATGTAGTGTAACGATCACAAAAGTTGTCGTTTTGAGTGTATAAAAAGAGTTGTACTTGCATTGTTAGTGTTTGATTATTTGGTTTCGTTAATCACTGTTTGATTAACATTGAAACTTGAATTTCTTCATCGTGTAGCAGATTTTGTTTTGTTTTTCATGTTTTTTTTTTGTTAATAAATTTAAGTTCTTATGAAATCGCGATACAAAACAAAAGAGTGTATTTATTTTCATACGTTTAACAATTTTTTTATTTAAAACAATTTTATAATGAGTATAATTATAAAAAAAAATTAAAATAGTAATTATTTAAATAATAAATAATAAATGCACTCAAATAGTGATATGTCCACCAGTGATGGGACAACGAACAACATTAAAATAAGTTAAGGTTATAATTTAAAATAAGAAAGAAAAAAGTTAACTATAATGGGATTGGTTAAAAATATAAGTATTTATTAAATTTATCATTAATATAACTTTATCATGACTTTACTGTATTTTTAATATATTTTATGCTAAAATTATTTTTAAATTTTTTAATTAATAGCTAATTCTTATTATTTCACAAACATTAGTTTTAAAATGACATTTAAATAATTTACATTAAGTTATTGATATTAATAATTTTAAGAATTAATTTGTATATTACATACATACAAAATTAGAAATGTACATCTAGAGTTTCTATCCAACATAAGTTTCGCTTGTCATGAGTACGATTTTTTTATTTTTATTTTAGTTGAGTATGGATGAACTTTGTACATATGGATCCCATGACGGTGGAACAAATTTTGGTTCATTATAAAAACAAATTTTCAAATTTTTCTTATTTAGAATTTTTAATAGTTTGTACGGTGAAACTTAATTTTGTGCTATTGTTCAGTCAATCCATCAGTAAACGAACACTGGCTCATTAAATTTGTGCAAGTACATTTCTAGCTATGGCAGCACTTTTTCATTTAGTTAAGAAAAACAGTGACATAATTAATATGAGGATAGTTTACCTCATCTAATGCATAAACATTTTTAATAAAATTAACATTATGCTCTAAACCAAGAATATGATCCCGGCAACATATATATTTCCCCTTATAATTTAAGTGTGTGAATCATAATACAATTAGTTTGATAACGTCAACAATTTATTAATTTAAATTACTAAAATTAACACTATATATAATACTTTAAATATAACAATTTTGTTAATCTCAACTCTTAGAATTAAATTTAAATATTTTTTTATAAAAAATTACATAATTATTATATTAAAATTATAAAAATATAATAAATATTTTTTAATTTTATTATTATTAATTACTTATTTTTAATCTTAAAAGTTAAAATTAATAAAAAAATTAAATATAAAATAAACAATTAAAATTTCTATCTCAAATAGTACATAATCATTTAATTTCTAAAAATAGGCAATAGAATTTGACATCATTTACACATACTTTAGGTTTTGATCTATCCTTATCCTGACACTTGATCCGACAAATATTAAAGTCTATCTTCTCATATTCTTGCCTTTTATTTGTCTCGACATTTAATTTCATTTTCTTTCGTCATAGATCTACCAAACCACACACTCGTCTATAGTCCACTGAAACCCACCAGTTCCCACCTCTCTCCACAAATGTTAATTCTTGTCATTAATTCTCATTCACATTATAACTTTATTTTCTTTTTACAATTTTTAATTAGTTTTAATATAAACTTAAAAATAATGCATGAATTACATATTATGTAATGATATATTAAATAAAATTTGAAAAGTGAAGGTTTTTGGGCACTTACGTGTGTTCTTTCCCAATTGGCTAAAATAGGAAAGTAAAAAAAATAAAGATGGGAGAGTTGGCCTGAAAGTAGTTGACGTTACTTCAGATTTCATGGGCATGTGCCTTGCGCTCATGGCAGTAGAAAGTAGGGTAGGGTGTCCTACATTTGCAGTAGAATCAGAGGTGGGTAAGAGAGAAATATAAAATAAAAGAAAGAAAAAGTTGTAAAATATAACAAATAATGTAATAAAAGAATCATAAAATAAAAAATAAATGTAGTTAATATATAATATAAGAATAAATGAGTATAGAATAATAATACTATTAGAAGTTTAGGACAATAACCTCGAGGTCTTATACGGTGACAAGAAAAATTAGTGTTACTATTATAAGAATAAAAATACGATTTTATTAACTTCAGAATTTAAAGATAAATTTAAACATATAAAAATAATATTTTTTTATTGAAAAACATAATATCTATTGCATGCTTATATTTTTAAGGTTATTAATATTTTTAACAATAAAAATATTATTTTTAATTATTTATCTTCAATTATAAAAATTATGGTTAATATTTTTCATAAAAAAATATTCTTATTCTTTTATTTATTAATTTAAACTTTCTAAGGACCTTAACTTCTATATCTTCAATCAGTAAAATGTTGAAGAAAAGAGATTATAAGAATACGTTTGTTTTCAATTTTTAAAAGAATTTTCTTTTTTAAAAACATAAAATATACTCTAAATCTCTTTATCATAAAAATTTGTCATTACCGGTAAATATAGCCAATTTTGAATGAGTCAATTTTAACATTTAAGGTCAATTATTAATCAAAGAAAATTATAATTATTTTATATCAAAAATATTTATGCTTTGGTTATGCCAGTAAACGTATAGATTATAAATTTAAGTTAAATTCTAATTTTATTTTCACAATCTTAATCCTCGATAGTTATGGATGGAAATACGCTAATATAAATTTAAAATGTCGATATAATTATTAAATTAAAAATATTATTTCAATAAATGAAAATTTAAGATTGTTATAATTTTAATAATTTTATTTTTTTTTAAATTTGACACACTACATCAATAAAGATAATAAGTTTGACTTTGATAATTTATTGTCATATTTAAAATTTTTATCTATTATTTATTATTTTATAATATAATAAGATATCTAATATTTTATTTACTTTATTTTTGCTCATGACTTTTATTTAATTTTTTTAAAAATTATACGTTTCGCAGAAAACATGCAAGAATGTCGTTTTTCGGGGTCGAACAAACGGCATGTCGTTTCATGGCAACGTTAAATTCTTCGTGTTCCCTCTTTTCAATGAAGTTCTGGTTTAACAAGTAACGAGAATCATGGTTTGGGGACTCTTCCCTATCGATCCTCTTTCAGGTACCCATTTATTCATTGAACGAATGGAGCTTTTAGAACATGCTGTGCGTTTATTACCTCTCAATTCTTATATGTAAGATTATGTAGGTCTAGTGTTGTACTGACAAATTTTATTTATTTATTTTAAAAATTTTGTATGACAGGGGAAGATAAATACTATATTTTCAGAACTGGAGTTTACAGAGTTGGTCGAAAAGGTATGGTAGTTTATGATTCCTGCTATTTATTTTTCAGAACTGAATGTTATGAACAAATTTGTGCAAGTTATTTGATGATTAAACAGTTATGTAGACACTGCTGCTAGTGTTTGATTGAGCTTCATTACTAATGCTAAAACAAGCATTTATATGGCACTCTTTTATTGGTATTGCGGCATTGTTATACCTTTGATAGACTGAAATGTAGAAATTGGGTCAAACTCCTGACAAGAAGATCAGAGAGGCTTTTATACGGAGTAAAAGATCAATTAACTCAAGATTAAGAGTGTATTTCGGTTAACCTTTGAACACCTGTAAACGTTTATTCAACGCATAAGTTACAACTAGTAACATTGAAGTACTCATGGATCCATAAGTATTTAAATGCGAATCCTAACATGCTATAAATGCTATGTGGACTGCAGAGGCCTAGGGATCAAATTTGTGTCCTCTCCAGCTCTTTATAGTTTGTACCCTAAATTACAGCTATGCCTATCATTGTCCTGACTCAAAAACAATAAGATTCTGGAACAATAACTGAATCATTAGTAAAGGATTGAGGCAATTGAAGCCAAATTATCCGAAATTGAAGCAAAATGAGAAATAATAATAATAAATTTTAAATCTAAAACTGTATTGTTCTAATCTTGTGGGTAAAATTAATGAGCATAGCTATCTGTTGTATATTTAGTGCTGATTTCACCTCATAATCTGGTGTTTTCCCTATTCAAGTTTCTACATGTGCAAACATGGATGTAGTTTGTCCCTATAGAGTGGAATGCTGGTGGGCTTTTTGGAATGGATGATTATGACAGTTCACTACTTTTGTTTCTTGCTCACATTTTTGAAGTTTTTTTCCAATGATAAATGTTACTTAGTACTGGTTTCTGGTATTTTGGTATTCTGGATATTATGATGATGCTTTTGATGAAATTGTTATTATCTTCTTACAGGTTGTGATGTTATCATCACAAAAGATAAAGGGGTTTCTCGGGTTCATGCAGAAATAGTTGTTAATACAATGAACCTGTTTAATCCTCTACCAAATGAACGTTCTCATTTGTCGCCCAGTGTACAGATTAGAGATTGCTCCAAGTATGGAACATTTATTAGCAAGAATGTTGGGCCCAAGAAAAAGGTTCATGAGCTACCAAACAAAGAAACTACATTAGAGGATGGTGACCTTGTTTCTTTTGGCACTGGTAGTGCTACCTACAAGTATGTTAAATATCTCTTCAATGTGGTTCTACTCCTTTCGTGTCATTTACTTTTAATTTTCAAATTATATACCCTTGCAGTAATTTTCTAGATATGGGTTTGTATAGGTATATGTTCTCTCATTACATTTGTCTGTCTTCTATTTATGCCTGAATGCTTTTAAATTTAATATGACAGGTTTTGCCATGTTCCCCTCGTTTTTTTCATATTTTCCTCAAATAAAGTGGATCAATATCTTGAAGGGAAAATTTCATCAATTGGTCAGTGGGGAATAAACTTGTGAAGGTTCTTCAGTCCTTATAATTCATAAGTACATGCCGTTTAATTGCTTTAATATATGTAGTTTCTTGCACATGATATTGCATGCACTTAAAATTAGTAAAGGGAAAAAAAGCATAACTAATAGAAATTTGCACTAGAAGAAGTATTTACAATATGATAAGAGATCATTGATTTTGACAGGCCATTGTGCACTCATTTTTATCGCATATTGCTAGTTGTGCAGTTTTGTTATCATCAAATGTTTAAATTTTGGCAGTTTCTTCAGCAAACATTGATAATCACAGCAAGAAACTAATAAATATGTTGGTAAGGAAGTAGAGTTTGCATATCTTTGATAATGACTTAGTATTTAATTTTGTAAATGGAAATTGTTGCACGTCTAGAAAAGACTTTGGCAATTCATCTTGTTGCATTTGCTATATTAGACTCAATTTATTCAGAAAAATCCTAGGGCACTCAAATTGTGAGATGCTAGTTATAACTTTATTGTGCTTTTCCCTTTAATCAGGAAACTTACTTTTGCTTGAAGCATTAGACTCTTGTCTTCATGTGAATACTGAATAGTGACCAACTTATACTTTCAACATAGGTGCAAATATTACCCATAACTTAGGCGAAGAGTGTACACATGTGCTGGTAGATCAATCCATGCCATTGAACAAGGATCTTGTTGATGCTGTTGTGGCACAAAAAAATTGTGTTCTCAAAACTTGGCTTGAGGTATTGAAGCATTTAGTTTTCTGTATTGGTCCTTTTCAGTGTTTTGAACTTTTCACTATACTATTAATTTGTTACAATACAGTGATTGATTATACACAAATTTTGTGCTTGATTTTATTTTCATTATACTGTTAATTTGTTACAGTATAGTAATTGGTTGTACACAAATTTTGTGCTTGATTTTATTTTTCATTATACTATTAATTTGTTACAGTATAATGATTGGTTATACACAGTATAGTGCTTTTCTACAATAGAATGGGTAATGTCAAAGAAAAGATGATGTAATGGATATACTGCTGAAAACTCCTTTTATAGTTTATGTGCAGCAATAATATATTTGGATCTCTCTACCTTCCCAAACTGTAGGAATGATTAGCAGAATCAATTCAGAATTAAGTTACAACTATAATCATAATTTTTAGATTGTGGACCATGTTCTAGACATAAGAGTCTCATGTCTCATCTGCTTTAAAGTCATGGACTATGAGTCTATGACACTTTACATGTTTCTAGTTATTTTGTATTTGCTAGCAGCATAGACCCTGAATTGTATGCCAAAATTTGTACTCTAAGTCCTGATCAAAGATAATGATAGTTATTGCTTAAACATATTATAAGTGTGCCAAAATTCATTTATCATAACAAATCATCAAACATAAATATATTATCTAATTTATAGTCTAGAAGTGTGAGGGTTAATTTAAGGATTTAGGCTGCAAACAAGTAAAAAACTTTTCCTCTCAAGTCCAAAATTTAACTTGTGAATGTTTGTTCCCTTCCCTTTATAGTTTTTTGCAGAAAAGAACATTGGCACCAACATTCCTAGCATTCATTCGTAAGTATTGCTTTAAATTTGGAATTTGGTTGTGCTAGCTTTATATTCCATGACCCTGACATCGGTTAGCTTACTAAGGAGCTTTCTTTGTCTTATTTTTTTTCTCCTACCCCATTGTTCTTCTCAAGCAGATATATACCATCAGTGTCAGTAGAAGAAGCATCTATTAAAGTTGTTGACCCCAAAACTCGGGCAAAATGCTTGAAAGAATACACTTTTTTGTTGGAATCTGAGCATTCGGTACTTGTTTTCTAAATCTTTTTTGTACTTCATTCTTGAAAGTTTTGTTTGAATTTTTACATGTAATGTCTTCGCATGTTAATTTGTTGGAACAGATATGCAGGGATTTTTGAAATTATAAGATGAAAACAATTTGATTCTCTTGGAGCATAGCTCATCTTGACGATATATTTATCTTAATTTTTTCCCTTCTTGCAGTATAAATTTGGGGATCAGCTAAAATCTTTATTGGAAGTGGCTGGTGCAAAAGTTATTTCCTTTGAAGAATTTTGCTCAAATAGCCAAGTATGTATCTTTTTCCTTTATTTTTGTTTATAAATTCTGTTGATTACAATGTAAGCACTGGGCTTTGAAAGTGACATAAGTTGGTTGACTATATGATGTGTTACAAACTTGCATTTGAAATATAATATTTGACATAGTCTTGTCTTATCTTTAGTAATTTTTAAGATTGATGGTCAAATACCATTTTTTGATCTTCAATCCTCTTTCCTTTTCTAGCACTATACCGAGTTGGAAAGATATTCATCATTGAATTGCAAAAGACTTCATGTTCTTAGTTGACAACTCTGATTTCTGAATTTTTTAGATGTTAGACATATTCTCAGACAGATTGTTAGCTTTACCTTATGTATTTCAGTATAGCGATTCTCCTTTATTTCTTGTAGGGTTCAGATTATGGAGATGATCACCGTGTAGTTTGTGTCATCCCAGGAGGATCAGCATGCAAGTCTAATCTGTTCAATAAATTAAGTTCCTTGCTTAGAGTGAATGAGATGGATATAATATGTGCTGCTTTCAGTGGACAGCTAGATTTGTCTATTTTGAAATCACCATGCAGTAAGTATTCTTTATATCTCGAGTAATACATTTGCACTGTCTCCAAACCTTATTGTTTTTTCTCCCTATGAACGAGGAATCTAACTCCTTACTATTTTTGTTTATCAATGTCTGGTTGATTGCTTAGAAATATGGCTTTGTAAATTGGGAGGAAGTGGCCTTCAACCTTTGTTCATTCATGTAAAAATATCTCCGCTTCCCATTCCCCCCCCCAACCCCCAAAAAAAAAAAGAGTCCATGCCATTTGACAGGTTTCCCTTGTATTTAACTATCTGTCCATGTAGGTAACAGGAGGTTTTTGCATCAGGCAAGTAAAATTTCATTAATTGATCAACTAACGATACTTCAAAAATTATTACTGTTTTTCTTCACATTCTTATACCTTTGTCTGCTGCTGAATGTAAAATGATGTTTGAGACTATAATTGTGCAAAACAAGGATGGAGTTGAGGTAAAGGGGGAAATTGTTACCCAATCAAAGGTTTACAGAGTATTTCTGGTTACTTGGTACTAAGTTTTAAGTTCTGTTTTTTTTTTAATGCATACAAAGGTTCAATGTTTGAAAAAAGGCTACTACCGTTCTTTTATTGTAATGTTGTCAAATTTGCAATATCTATGTTATCTGACTAATGCTGAACTAATATAATTTTGTTCAGCTCCAAGCTTGTTCATAGGAATGAGATGGGCACTTTTAAACTAAGAACAGACTATATTTCTGAATTGCTAGATCACCTCAACACTGAATCCGCATGTATATACATATAATTACATTTCATTAAAGAAGCAACATGACAGAAATAATAAAATAATTGTCTAATACAGGGAATAGTTCAACTAACTAAATACAGATTCTATAATACCATCCCAAATTTGTAGGGATGTAAATCAGCATATTATCTCAAATAAATCTTGACAGTGGCCACGTATTCCTTTTGTTATGGAGTGGACAGAGTGCTGATAGAAAGGGCTATCTTAAAGATTGGCACAGTTTATGTTATACATTGCTTCAATTAATGAAACAGTTGGTTATGATTCCAATGTTGTAAGGGGTAACAAGTATTTTTCTATAATGTTTCCTCAAACATATTTTTCACTTCTAAATCATAAATTTGAACTCCATGCTTAGTGTAAACATCTTCACTTCAGTGAGTTACAGTAACAAGCTGTATGCACTGTTGCAGTACTGGTGTCATCATCATGCTCTACAGATGAGACAATTGTAGCAGATTCAGATACTGAAGTTGAAACAGCCACATCAGCCCACTCACCTGAGCCAATCTGCCAAGACAATAATGTAAAATATGAACAAATCAAAGAATTAAATGATAAATCTGGCACTTTGGGTGCTAAACAACATGAAAAAATTGAGGCATGCTCAGGTAATGTTTCAACCAGATTGCATGATTTTAAATGTGCAAAAACAGAAACATCCTTGGATGGTGCTTCTGTCAGATTGGATACACAGGCTACCAACATCAACAGTGACAATGGTGGGATCAAAGTAAGGAAAGACAAGGTTGATGATTATGAAAGTGGAAATTCAGATATTGTTTACAGCCAATACTTAGTTGTTCGAGATACAAACATCCATATTACATCTAGCATAAGTACTGTACCAAACAAAAGTGTTCCAAATTTTAAACGCTTTAGAAAGGTGCGTGGCTTTGGTACCATATCTCTTGCTTATAAAGAGCTTATCATGTGTTGTTGATAATTGAAACCAAACATGTGGTTTTGTTGTTGAATTTTGTCTGACTTATAAATTCCAACTAGCCTTATTGCTTAATGAATTGTCAATTATTAGATTTTAACATGTGTACTAATGTCACAGTTCATGAAACACATGCCTAACTTCTCCAGTTTTATTTGAAATGGAATTGCAGGCGCAAACTCAATCTGGTAATAGCTTCGACAATCTTGTTCCGTTTGCAAAGTATCCATACAAGTAAGAATAATATTAAATCTGATTTCTGTATGTATTTCAAGCAAAATCTAGCTATTTTCACTTCATTCCTTTTCTCCTAGTGAAAGGTTATGTTATATTTCAATTGATTTCTGCCCCCAGGGATTCCGAATATGGGAATGATGAGATGGCTGAATTTGTAAAAGAGGAGAAAAGGCGAAAGAAAATGGAAGCTGTGGCAGATGACCTATTTAATAGTGAGAAGGTGAGTCTTATACTCTTCCCATACCGCCTAAAAAGAGATAGCAAGAGAGAGATCAGGTCCATATTTACGCCTGATTGAGTATCTACCTTATCTTTCTATTACCACTGCAGGCAAGAAGACGAGGTACTGCTGGTTCCCTTCGTGGCATTCTTACTTCCTGAAGGTAAACCTCCTTCTCAGTATTTTCATACAACTTCAAAATAAAGATGAAACTTTAAATTAGCGCAAATCTTTTTGTGCTTCCAAGTAACCAGAATAATGTTTTAATCAGTAATATGACAATGGCCTGATATGACAAATGCTGGAAAGTATATAACCACTTGTCATTATGCAGAGGAAAGAAGAGTGATATTTTACATTACTGAGTTAGAACATAAAATAAAGCTTGGTTGAACTTAGTATGGCCAATTATCCATTTTGGCATAGCATGCTCTGTGTTGCTTCTGCGCCTTATGCAAGAAATTGAATGTGAATATATATGTAAAATAGAGAATGGTTGGATTGAACACATGGAAATAATTTCAATTTGTCCTGTTTTGCTAATTTATTTGGTCCTTTGACTTTTCCAAATGTGTGATGTACTGGTTAAATAATAATATTTTATGCTATACTTTTTCCCTCTGTAGGTGGACATGGTGGTATGCTATAGCAGAGAGCTTTCTCCAAAGATCTGGACTTTGAAGATACTGCACATTTGATGCGGGTTACAGTTGCAGGTTAAGTTGTTCACTTGTCTGTGTTTTGATCGAGAATGAAGAGAGGTTTTTGGCCTTATAAGCTGACACTCTCCCTGTTATTTTTATGAGGGCGCTTGAAGGTTCTATCTAGTTTCCCTAGTTAGCATATGAAGTAAACAAAGCTCATATACAAGTGAGATGAACGTGGATAGTGAACACCATAAAATGCGGAGTGTTTGGCATGTAAAGGTTTCTGGCACTATTCTTTACATGTAAAGCTCACATTTTTACCAATTAAACTTGTCTGGTAACCCAAAAATATGTAAATCATATTTATTCTCTTGCTATGTCGCAGACAGAGCCTGTTACTGCATATTTCCTATTCTTTTGGTGCGTGTCCAAGAGAGACGAGAAGGACTACACCCTAATAGAACCAAGAAAAGTCAGACTAATAATGCTATCGTTTTAAAAAAATTTGTTAAAACAAACCTTTTTATCCAATTCTATTGAGTGGTTTAAAAATGAATGTTAAGTCAACTGTAATTTGTAGTCTAACCTTGATAATTAATTAATGCATGTATGGTTTCAAACAATTTTCAAGTTAATGATCCATTATCCAACTAATGAAGAATTGCAAACGGATTTCTCTTTGTGGCAGCTGGTCTTTTTCTTTAAAGATTCTACAATGAGCATCCTTAATTAATTCAATATTAAACGAGAGTAGGTTCCATTAGAACAATCTTAAGGATATAATATTTAAGTTGCGGACTCAAGATTTGAAGCCGATTAATTAATTAAGATAGGTAACACGCCTTCTTAAGCTTGATAAAAAATAATTTATTAAATATTAATACAATCTTACTCTGATAAAATAAAATAGATATAGAATTATAAAATCACCGTAACAGTTTTTTTTTTGGTACATGTTAATTAAACGGAGCGATTTGGGTAGTGAGATAACAAATAAAACTATAAAATCACCTTTATATATAATTAAAAAAAACATAACCCTAACATTAATAATCTTAATATTGTGTTTTAATTACTATTTTAATATTATGTAAATGATTTAATTTTTTTTAGTGTTATGTAAATGGATAATGATTTATTTATTTTTGGTAATTTTATATTTTTAAATAAAGAGTTATAAAAATGCGTGAGTACCCATTCTAGCAAAGTTTTTTTTTCTCACAGGACAGGTGTGGGTATTAAATATTCGTGCCCGTCTCGTTCCATTAACATCCTTATATAGAAATGTCTTTTAAATAATTTAAATTTTTATTTGATTTTTGAAATGGAAAGAATCGTTTTAGTTTTAGACTTATTAAAATATTTACTCTAATTTTATTTTATTTTATTTTATATTTTACTGTCATTTCCTATCAAAATATGAATAAATTACATAACGTTTTATAAAGTCAAATTATAAAACAATTTGTACTTATAATAATCTTAAGGAGTAAAATGAGTTACTGACACTTGGATTACCCATTTTGGTTGCTACTGCAGACAGGATTTAGGCAAGTATGCAACCCATCATGTAGTATGATCTCTCTTCTCAACAAAATTTAGGCTTTATTACTAATTATAAAGATCACAGAGGTTCATTAAGTCACAAAAGCATATCGAGTTACCGCTTCCAATCCTTGAATCAGAATGCAATAACTAAAAGCATTTTAGAGAGTTAAATACCTCGATTTTTGAAGTTAAGAATTAAGCATAAGTGAAGTGGTGTAAGCATGAATTAAGAACCTCCCTTAAAATCAGCCATAACAACAATTGTATTATTGTTTTGATGAATTCAATTTTGTTTAAACATTCCTGATATACTAAAATCACCTTTTTCTTCAACCTTTAAGATTGAGTACATAGTTTGTGTGTACATGCGCGTTATTCACAATTGTCATTTCACTCCACCGTGCAATAGGATAGAATTCTTCCTCTATGAACATGTAAGATTTTATCTTTTAATGATCAATTTTTGAACATGAAGAGGTTGTACTCTAACATATATTATTAGGACACATTCTAATCTAAGCTGAGAGAACGAGTATTAGTTTTAGGAATAGACCACAAGTATTTTTTTTTATAGGAGACAATCTTATTATAAACGAAAAATATTCACAACATAGTAGAGTTAGCTCTCCTAACGAGAGAACAATTAAGTGTTACCCCCAAATGTGATTTTGTAGACCCCTATGCATCTCTCTCACAAGTCATTGATTGCCTTTTAAGGTTAGCCATAAGCCATTCGTATGTGGTCGCAAGAGTTTTATACTAGATGAAGTTTGGTGTGAAGGGGAGGTGCACGATCTTGATTTGTCAAGTTGCACAGTTCAAGTTCCCCAACATCAAAACCAGTTGTTGCAACTTACAGTTAATTTTTTATTAGAGAAATTAATTGAAGTATGCTGTAAATAATTCATAAACTTAGCTTGATTAGTTGGGAAAACAAAATAACAGATAACGAAAACGAGAAAGCGACTTCTCTTATTTCTTGGACATTGAGTTTAGGGGAGTTAAAACAGTTATAAAATTCATTTAGCAGGCTTTTAGATATTTTTGGAAGAATACATACTTTTTTTTGTAGTAATATTACAAAGCTTTGTTTAAAAATTTCTCTTCATGTCAACGTTCGAAAATCAGTTCCTAAAATTAACTAAATGTTCATTCAATACTCATTTTAGACTTATCCTTGTCCTAAAGTTGATCAGAACAATTACAATTTTTTATTTATTTTTAAACATGAAAAAATAGTCCAAAAGTTTATAAGGTATTGTGTTTACATGTCAAAATGGAGTGAATAAAAGTTTATGAGGTATTGTATTTACATGTCAAGATGGAGTGAATAAAAGTTTAACAATATCTGATATCATACATATAGAATAGCAATATATGCTGTATATAATATGTAAGAGAAGTGGCTGAAAAAACAGGATCAAAAGTACAAGAGCAGTATCTAAAAGTGCCGATGGAAAGAAAAATCCATCTCATGATCTCAAAGCAAATCTCAATCAGAGACCATAATAAAAGAAATGAAACAAATCGTAGTGACAAAAGCAATTGGCATATTCTACTATCTATAATAATGAATATGCACTAATGATGAATTCACAGCCTAAACCTGAATTTACAACTACTGCTCCGAATCCTAATAGAATTATTAGCACTAAGGTTGTCCACCACAATTCTGCACCTAACCCTGAACTTGACTTTGAACAGCTTCAACTTCCCAAGCTTAATCCTCACAGGCTGTTTAACCTTCAAATTGAGAGGAACATTACCTGTTTCTTGAAGCTGTTGCTGAAGGGTATTTTGCAAGCCACTAGCATCTTGTGTTTGACCCTTCAAAGGTATACTAAGCACTGTAATGTTACGGTGACCTTGGTAGAATTTTGGTAAGGACCCTTCACATAGTTTTGTGTCCATGTACCATGCACTTATGTGACTCCCACCTCTATAGTCTATTCCAATCTTCTTGTTTGGGTTTCTAGCAGTGATTGTCAAGTTGAAAGTAACAGATAAACTATTGTTGTTTGAAGTTTCAAGCTGGGTAACTCCAAGTTCATCCACCGAGTATTTTGGAAGCTTTGGTCTAAACACAAGGAATAGTATCCCAATAGTGATGCCAATAGCTACAATGAGAATCAGCAATATGCTTACCATCCAACACAAAAACCTGCAGCAACAGCTTCTTCTTTTCTTTGGTGGCTTTGAGTGCATCACAGGTAGAGCTTGTTGTTGTGTTTGTGAAGGGTGATGCTCAACATTCGCTGGATCACCAGCATCAGACTTAGACATGGTTCTAGGAACCAATGGTGCTGAAGGGTGGTTTGGTGCCTCCACATCATGGACAGGATGAATTTTCTGAGGATCTGCCATGTTTGGTTGGGATGCAGTTAATTGTTGTTGTTGTTTTTTTTTCCTTATGTGTGGTTTCTATGGTGTGTTAATATATAGAAGGTTGACATGAACACGTTTGATTTGAGGAAGTCATGATCTATAAGAGAGGTCGAAGGTTTGAAGCTTCCCATTGTTGACTAGAATGGCCAAAAGGGTAAATATCTAAAGGGTGAGTATTGTTCTAAATCACATGTCATATGGGAGGGACATAATATTCAATATTTGTGTCTTTATAGAAATGAGATATAATACATTGCCGCCGAAGGTTCTTCCTTTAATTTCTTGCTTTTCCATTCAAGGTCTCTGAGAATGACGTACTATGATTTATACAAGTTCTAGACCTTTTCTTTTTTTCTTTTTTCTTTTTCTACGTTCATTACTCAGCTACATTAAAAAACTATGGGACGATATTGTTTTTTTCTTACAGTGTCATTTATATCTGACGTGATAGTATATACTTTATTATTTTAAAACTAATAAAAAAGTTTGGTTAGAATATTATTAGGTGAGATTGTGCCGTTAAAAAGTTAACAATTGATTATTCATGCATCTTTTATTTATTTAAATATGTTTTCTTTCCACTTTTCTTTTATTTAAAGAAGAAAGAGAGAGTGAGCAAATTTTTTTAGGTGCGAGGGGAGGTATATTAAAATGTGTAGGAATAATATTATTTAAAAAATTATTATATAGAAGTACTAACAAAACAATTACTCCTTTATAGTCATTATGTTATAAAATATAACCATTTTAAAAATAAAATATCGTATTAAATCCGGCACAAAAACATAAAATTGAACTCAGATTAGTTTTTTTTTGGAGAAATACTAAAAGTTTAATTTTAATACAGTTCAGCTAGGTTTAGGAATAATGGCTAGATGAAACGAGAAATCATCCATTTATCTTAGAAACAAGAAAGATATGAAATCCTTACATTAAAAATTTTGATTATAAATTTTATTTTTTTTGTTTTCCTTCTTACAATGGCATCCATATATTTAATTTGTTACTTCAATTTTTAAAAATTTTGTTACTTCTTCTTAACTATCTTTCTAATATTAGTAAAAAAATCATTATCTTAAACTTTTAAAAATATTCAATAATTAGGATTGAAAATTATTTTATCTTGTATTACTCATTAAAATAAGGAGTTTAAAGTAAAAGCAACAATAGTCAATGCCTCGTTTGAATAATAGATTATTATGCCAAAAAATGTTTCTTAATTTAGAAGCCATTGTTGAATGAAAAAGGGGTAGCTCGTAGCCGGGAGCTCAATGTTCAGTTCTACAGTTTGAAACGGAACAACACAAAACGTTTGATAAATTCATCATCGTTCCATTTTCCAAAATTTAGTATAGAAAAATGTTTCAACGCTGTTACACTTAATTTAAGTCTTTTATTTAACTTATATTTAAGAAATTTACACTAAAAATATCTACTCAATATTGAAATATAATTTTAAAATTTTAGCTACTATTTTGTCATAATTTTTTTTTTGGGTCAAACTCACCGATAATTTGGTGAGTAGGTTATCAAACCCTTATAAATGCTGTAAACTTAATTGATGAATTGCATGTTATATGACAATAATTCTTAAGCATGTAAATTTTTTTGACAAACTAAATAAATGTCACACCATTATAATAACAACTAATGTTATACAATTAATTGATAGTTTAAACCCTTTTATACTAATAATTCCCCCTTAACTTGAACGGAAAGCCGAATTATCCCTCTGAATTGAAGTCTCAACAATCTACACGTCTTCTTTTGCTTAGAAGTAAAGCGTTTCTATTCATAGAATAATAAGGTTATAGCTTCTTACAAAGAAAAATAAAAGTTTATAGTTTAGAAGTTTCCTGTGTTACTATTATTATTATTATTTATGTATGAAACTTTTCAGCCCTAAATACGCGTCTGTTCAAAACACCAAGTCCTAGCCCTCCCTTTTAATTATTATTATTGTTGTTGTTACAAGTTCTAATAAAATCCAAGTACATCAAGGGATGAGCTAATCATTTTTTTAATCTTAATCTAATAGTGTTTTTGACTTGCAAAATCCTTAAGCTTTTGTGATCTCATGGATGCTATCATCTGTCTGTGCCACGCACGTGGTAGCTTTTCTTTATGTCATTTTGGGAGGAATAGAATCTTACAGAGGGAAAATAAATCAGATTTGCCTAAATGATATCAGTTTTGTTAAATGATTATTAAAAATAATAAATGAGTGAATTTACTTAAAATTACAGTAAAAATATATTAGTCATCCTAAATATTATATTTATAAATTTAATTTTGATGTATTTTTTGTGTAAATTTTTTTATACGGTCAACTAATGAAAATATACCATAGATATATAACTTTTAACTTAATTATTATCAAAATTAATTATCTCATTTATGTAGTAATTCTTGACTAAATAACAGTGTAATTTTTTTACATTGATAATATATTCTAATTAATTGATTTAAAATATAGTTATTTATACTAATAATGCATTAAAATTAAACTTTAAATTTTTTTACTTTTGATTATTAATTTATTACCTCTAGGATAATAATTAAAAAAATTAAAATAAATTAAAGAACTCAATATAAATAATTGTAATTTTTATACTTATGATAGTTATTTTTTATATATTCTTTTATTCATAGTATAATCATATTATAACTCGTAAGAAAATTATCATATTAAGAAGTAATAAAAGAGAATTCATTTCCAAATATAACATTTCATGGGCAAATACCCAACCAGAATACACAAATAAAATAAATAAGTTGGACCTATCAAACGAGACATAGATGAACTGAAAAGTCTCTTAATTCGAGCTCAAAAATTGACAAATAAAAATATTTTTATTTTAAAAAGAGAAAAGTTATTTAAAAATAGAAATAAACATACTCTAATTTTCCTTTCCACAATTTCTTTTCACATTTTATTTATCATGGGTTTTTGTTTTGTTCCAAAATGTAAAATAAAGTGTATTTACATGAACTTTAAAATCGTTGACCGAAAATCCCTCAAAAAATAAATTGTTGATCAAGCAATAAATTTAAATTGGATGCAAGTCCACAAGTCCAAAGGATAGTGTCATATTTGGAACGAAAACTTTGGTTTTCCCAACGGAAAATAGTCGTTTTCATAACATTTAAACTTCACCTTCTTATCATTATAAAGAAAGAAAATCTTAGCAATTCTATGTTCAAGGACCCAAAATTTAAAGTAATTCTTTGTTAAGTTTCATCACTCCATTTTTATTAATAAAAAAAACACTTCCATTACATAAATACTTAATTAGTAGTTTGTATTAATGTGTAACCAAAAAGATTAAATAAAATATTTAGTTAACCAATATCATAAAGACAATAATTCAAAAAATAAAAAAATCATGTCTGAAATGTATTAAAAATTACAAAAAAATGTGTATTGAAAATTCAATATTTTTTCTTTTAATTCATTAACATTTTCCTTAAATAAAAGATAAGGAAATACAATAGGAGAGTCGTCTAGGTTTGTTAAGTTTCATCACTTGATTTTTATTAATAAATAAATCACTTTGATTAAATAAATACTCAATCAGTAATTTGCACTGGTATGTGTAACGAAACAGATTAAATAAAAGATCTTATTAACTAGTATCATAAAGACAATAATTAAGAAGTAAAAAATAAAATTGTGTTTGAAATATATTGAAAATTACAACAAATGTGCATTGATAATATTTCAATGAAAAATTTCTTCTAATTCATTAACATTGTATTGATATATGTGCATGAAAATCATGTTTGTGCTATATACATTGATATATATTTATCATTGTTTCAACTCACTTCCAATTGTTTTGAAACATTGGTTTAAGTTTATTTACAAATGGAGTCCGAAAATGATTGATGGTCCTATTGATTAAAAAAATGAAGGGATATATATATATATAAAATAAACAAAACGCCACACACAACAGCAGCATTCATAGACAGAATGGCAAAAAGTGATTCATGGACAGAACAGAGAAAATTGCAAATATGTGAGAGATCAACTTGAATTGGCCTTCATAATAAAACAACAAATTGCAAGCATGCAACTCCAAACAAAACAAATGTCAACCTCATAGAGTATCTAAAATACAACAGAAAAGTTGGAACTCATGTATCATCATCACACACCTAAGCTGTTGCAGCAGGTAACGTGCGAAGACCTTTATTGGAACCAAGCCTACCACGTCCAATGCCACTGCTATGCTCATGATCACACTCTCTCTTTTTGTTGTTCAAACTCCTCTTCTTTGCTTCAGATGACAAACTAGTACCACTTTCCAAGCCTAAGTCCAATCTTGAAGTCCAGCAATCTGTTGAGTCAGCTGAATTGGGTTCCCATGATGAAGATGAAATGCTCCAATGATGTTGACAACTACTACTCACGGTGAAGCTGTTACTACCTGAAGACTCTTGGTCCTCCATGTCTACCCCACCAACTGAACCACCTCTCTTCACTGTCACATACTTATGTAAACTTGGCTCCATCACATCATCACTCACAACTACCTCAGATTCTATAAAAGGGTCTTTGGTATTTGGCACTTTCTTCCCATAATGATGGGCATTTGAACCTAATTGAACATTGTACTCATTAGATTGTTGAGTGGATGGACTTCTCTTGTCCTCAGAGAAGGCACCAGAGAAATTTGAGCTGGTTGTTGAGTTGAGATCAGCAACAGCTTCAAGGATGGAGCAAGCTTTGGAGAGACAAGCTGGGAGAGAAATAGAAGGTTGTTGGGGTTGTGAAGGGTTCTTTTGATGGAAGTTCTGAATGTCCTCAAGCAGTAAGGAGGTGTAGGACGGTGGAGGGTTCACAAGAGCTTCAGAATTGATGTCTAAGTCCCTAGATCTTCTAGAAGATCTGCTTCTTGTTAAACCTTGGGGTTTGAGATTGTCAACCCCTGTTGATGGCACTGAAGACAGTACCTTGATCTCTTCCTCATGTTGTCCCTTTGGCTTGCTATCCACACTCACACCCTTCTCCAATGCAACTCTCCCATTTGGTTTCTGCAGTGGGGATATGGTTCTCATTATTCTCATCACATCAATGACACAAAACATAACCAAAACAAAAAAAAGTAAATAAATAACAGCTTTCTAAGGAAGACACAAGGATACACAATAAGAACCTGCCCAATAAGTTTTTTTTAAAAATCATAAATTATCACATAATTTAATGCATTAATAACATTGAAAGATATAATTTTTAATAAAAACTTACTAATTTCTTAATTTCTTATTATTCTTTTTTGTCAAACATCAGAAAAACCAGGTAAAATATACCAATTTTCGAAGCTGTTAAGTAATTACCTGATTGCCTTCTGCTTCAATCTTGGATTTGTTTTGCACCTTGCTGCTGCCATTGTTTGTGTTGGAATCAACCTCATTCAGAGGGTTTCTTCTGTAAGGAGATTGTTCTGCTTTCCTTGAAGAGTTGTTGCGGCTAAGAGATGGTTGTTGTTGTTGCTGATTCTCCCCCAACACCTTAGCATTTGCAACATTCCCATTAGCTCTTGCAGGTGATTGAGCACGTGGAGATGCTGCACTTCTTGAACCACCAACCACCCCATTTCCACCATCACCAACATTTCTCTTAACAATGATCCTCTTTCCAGATTCTCCACCACCATTGTTACTCTTATCCATAACTAATGATGAAACAGTGGCAGGAACTGACACCATTTTGCCAGGCCTAGTAGAACTTGTGTTGTTGTTACTTGCACTTGCATTAGCATTGGTCTCAGACGATCTTCTACCAGGAGATCTACTCACTCTTCTTTCTCTGCTGCTGCATTGTTGCTCCCTTTCCCTGCTGGGAGTTCTTCTCCTTCCCTGAGAAGGAGAAGAACGCCTTGGGGATTGGCGGTGCCGCGGCCGGTGGTGACGGTTTTCTGAGGCGACCACCACCCCATCATTTTCCTCACTGTTGTTGTCATTGCCATTGGCTTTCCTTTGGTCATCTTCAGCAGAAATTGCATCATTGTCACAGTGATCAAAATCAAAACTTCTTTTTGAACCTGAGTACTTTCTTCCAGAAGGAGTAGCAGCTTTGCCAGAAGAGCTTCTGCTAAGCCTTCCACACTGGATCAGAATTGCATCCACCTCTTCTTTGGTGCAGCTTGAAGTCCTCACACCCACACCCATGTTTGGTGTGGATGGTGCAATCCTGTTACCCATTATTGCTTCTTCATTTGCATCACCTTGTTCCGCTGATGGAGCAATGCAAGGTGAGATTTTGGAGGCTCTTTCCCTATCGTCATGGCTCTTCCTGTGTTTGATTATGAATATCTCTGTTTTCCCTTGACTTTCATCTACTTTTGCTTCTTTTGGGTCTTGTTTTTCTTCCACTGTCTTCTTCTTCTTAGGATTCAATTCTGGCTCAGAGGGTTTAGAGAGAGTAACAGTGACACTGTTCTCAGAACTCCTTTGCTGCTGAGAAGGGGCTGTGGAAACTGATTTGGCTCCAGCATAGGAGGAAGTAGAGGACCCTTTCTTCTTGCTCAAACATGTACCCATTGAGCTAGAGAAAGTGAAGGAAAATACAAAGCTAGAACAGAATAGATAGTCGAAGCAGGAAAGGAAGGAGTTTAAGAAGATTTGAATTTCAATTAGTTAGATAAGAGTAGGAGAAAGGTTGTGGTTTGTGGAAAGGGAACGTTGTCCAAGAAACATTTAAAAAATATATTAGCTTTTAGACTTAAAGAGAGAGAGAGAGAGAGAGAGAGAGAGAGAGAGAGAGAATTCAAATTTGGAGAAACAAGGCATTGGAGAGGCATGTTATGTTATTGTCTGACACAACTGACCCCATTAAGCCACAAGCTTCAATTTCATAACTTTTTTAAAATACTAACTAAATTATGTGAAAAACAGAACAATTTGGATCTTGACTGGAGACGGGTATCTCCAACTTAAACATTTTCTATCTGTCCTCTCTGTCAAGATTCAAATTTGTATAATAACGGCTAAATTCGTTTGGATAAACGAAAAGAAAACCTAGAAAGTTACCACTGTTTTGTTTTCTATGGTTAAAAAAATCAGCAACGGCTGTATGCCTTTGGATTCTTGTTGGTATTCCATTGGAATTTGGCCATCAGCCGAATGTTTACACTCACTCACATAGAAAGAATTATATCAATGTGTTTCTATATGCTTTTTGTACGTAGGAATGTTATTTCAAAATTTCCCGTTTCTTTTTTTTTCAATAAAATCATTTTAATTATAAAAAAAGACATTATACGTGATATTATAGCATACAGAATAAAAAATTATTATTTTTTATTCTGTACAATGTTTTACATGTTTTTTTTTTTTTTTGCAAGTTTGTGTTTGCAAAATATTTTCTTAAAATTAACCCATCCAAAATGAAACCTTAAAAATAAGTTTTCGTATGATAGTATAGGTTGAACAAGGAACAAAGTGTTGTTGCTTTCGCAGCACTATTTCATGAAAGGGACACACTTAGCTGATGTATACGTTTTATGGGTTATAGTCGATTCCCAATTATAGAACAGCCCGCTCAACCCAAACCCTAATTATGTCCAAGTATTCCCAACCACCGGTCCAACGCAAGTATTCCTATAAAAATTACTGCATCAAAAAGTTTATAAATTAACAATAATTTTTTCTATATACTGGAATTCTTTTTTGTTTTAAAACAAAATTTGTGAAGAGAAGAAGGAAGGGCATTCAACAATGAAGTACAGAGAATCCAAACAGAAAGAAAGAAAACAATTTACATAGCTAAAAAATAAGGGAGTCGATGAAAATTATGCAAAAATTGATATATTTTTTTTCTTGGATTGCTTGGTCATCATTAAATTATTTTTTAAGATAAATAATAAGCATATTATATGGCTATTTTCAGATTTAATAAATTTAAAATATAAATATTTAATTATCATCAATAATAATTCTATTGTATTAAGTTATATATAGAAAACCTCAATTGTTATAATAAAAACTAATTATTCTCATTTAAAAATATTCTTAAAAAACTTTCGTGTAAGAATATTATTAAAAATATTTATTTAAAAATTAATGCTTGCAATTTATTTATTAATTATTAATGTTGATATTTTTCACTACATGGCATTAATTTAACAATATTTTTCCATAGGTCTTGCACAGAATTTTTTAACTCTTACTCGAATTTAGATAATTTTTTACTCATACTCAAATTTGAAATATTTTGTAAAATAATTTGCTTTCTATCTTCAGCAAGCATACACACCTGTCATCTTATTCCTTTGTGGATTATTGGGGATGGCTAGATAAGCATGTGGACCTTTATCCAGATACCCAACAAAACAAAATCCTTCATTTGAATTTCAACTTATGGCTTATTTTGAAAGTTTGGAAATTGGAGGAATGCATCAAAAGAGAGGTATCAACTAAGATATGTGGCACTGAAAAAATGTCACGGAAAAGTTAAATGAACTGAACTATAGATATTAAGTACATATTAAAGTTTGCTGCCAATCTAGCTCGGAAGCATTATATTCATCCCTTTCTGCAATTAATTAAAAACTATTAATTAAAACTAACAATAAAAGGGTTTTGTACATAATAGAACCATAGTTGCGGTGGAGCTAAAGAGAAAGCACCAGCTTAACAGCCTATACCTTGCAAGAAAGTGACACATGTAAATTAATATTTATTGAACTAATAAAAAAAATTAGTTCCTAAGCATTTAATATATTTTATATTATTTATATCTAAAATATATTTTTTAAGATTGATTCAAACACTTCAAAATGAAAACATTTTATCAAGAATATTTATTACACTTGTATTTTTAATATAATAAATACTGTCTTCATAAAAATTTATTACTTTTAAATATCTAAAAGATTGATGTTAATGAAAATAAAATTTATAAATTTCACTGTTTATTTAATTTTAATAAATTTCAACGATTACAAAAATGATGAATTGAAAAGAATGTGTTAACTATTTCAGCCTACATCATGAACACCAATAGTTTAAAGCTCGATTGGGTATCAAAAACAACAATCTTGTCAATTAAAAGACACTAAAGAGGTGTATAATTTTTTACAGAGTTGAAGGTTCAAGGTGCTTAAAATATAAAATTTTTCCTACTTCATATAGTGGTAGGGATTGGGAAGAAGAGATAAATTGTAATTTTTGCACTTGACAAAATTTGAACACTGTTTTCTCCATTCCATGCTACAACAGGCAAAACTGGCTTCAACAATGGATATGGGAGTAAACAGTAGCTCTAGATCACTATTTTTTTTTTCAAGAAAAACATAATTTAACGGGCTTTGGTGGAAGCTAGCATTCCTAAAAGATGATGGGCCCAATACTGTCCAATTGTACTCAACTTGACCTTGCATATTTAGCACAAGATAAAACCTTTAGTTTGCACAGTTAACCAATGGAAATTGGCTTGTTGCTTTTTTAAAAACTTGGCTCCACAGATGCGCATACATCAGAGCTTTCGGGTGATTTGGGGTACAAAATTTCAGCTTGATTCCAAGGCGGTAGTTAGCAGCATTGAAGGCAAATCAGTAGACAAATTTAAGTAGAAGGAAATCAAGGAATTAGATAATTGAAGATCTTAGATTAGATTGTTCGTATTTTTCACATCTACATGGAGGCAAATGTTTGTGCTAACAAACTGACCAACATTGGTGTTTTACTTAAAACAAATTTGATTATTTATGAACAACCTTCTCATGGAAGTCTTTTATGTTAGTTGTACATGAAAGATTAGGAATTTCTACTTCATCTTTGGGTAATTTTTCCTTCTAGATTTCAGAACCACTCAATTAATAAATAAAATTGCAATATGGTCTCTCAATCTGTTTTTAATTTTCTTAATTTCCAGCATTAAAAAACGAAAAGATGGATATTGCATAAAGTTCATTCACACCGATTAATGGTAATGTTTGGAAAAAAAAGGAAATCCATCGACAAGTAAATTTTCATCTCTAGATCAAATGAAATACAATAGTTATACAAACAAGAAATATTCCTCAGCCTCTTTTTCCTCTTAGTTTTAAAATAAATTCAAAATACAAAGAGTATTGTGTTAAATTAAAAATATTGAGTCCTCCTTTATGTCCTTTCCAAATTCATACAAGCAAACAAAATATTTTTTTATTAGCATAAATTTTTTAAGACACTCATTAATTAAGTAATTAATATATAATATTTTTTAAGTGAATTTTAGTTGTAGGCATTAAGATAGTGGTCAAGGCAAGAGTAACCTAATATTATTTCATTTCATCCCTTTCCCCTACTTCCTCGATTTTGATATTACCACTAACACGAGTATTTGACCTCAGAAACCTGACAAAATTCTCCAGTTTAATAACATAACTTATCTTTTTCTTAGAAAATTCCTCTTAACCCAATGACACTTAATATGGGATGAAATTTGCATTTTTTTTCATGACCAAATTCCTTTCTAACATCATAAATTGGACACAGAAAAACACTAACGTATGATAAGTTAGATAACATTGATTGATAGATGAAGCCAAATATAACAAACATTGGCGGGAGAAATCAAACACCGGTGGATCCAAAACCACCTTCACCTCTCACAGTGGAATCCAAATCCTCGACTTCAACAACATCTGGTATCACAATCTTCTCGATAATGAGCTGCGCAACCCTATCCCCAATCTTCACCTCAAAATCCACATCGGAATGGTTGAACAGTATCACCCCTACGGGACCTCTGTAATCAGCGTCAATCACCCCTGCACCCGTGTCGATCGAGTGCTTCAAAGCCAACCCCGATCGTGGCGCTGCGTATATTAATTAATAATTAACTTCCACTATATAATTAATTTTAAATTAAAAGTAAAATTCTGAAATCCTGAAATCGGAGAGAAAATTACCAACGCGGGCATAGGTCCCTTCTGGAATTGAGATGCTGATATCAGTTGCCACCAGAGCTTTCCCTCTCGCCGGCACCTTCGTTTCCACAGCACTAAAGATACAAATTTCAAAAAAGAGCAAATTAATTGTATTTGATATAAAATAATAAATAAATATAGTGAGGAAGAGAGAGGGAGCGAGTTATTATACCTAGAGAGATCGTAACCGGCAGAGAAAGGGGAAGCCCTAGAGGGCAAAACGGCCTTCTCAGAGAGCTTCTTCACGCGGAGAAATGGAGGGTTTGCAGAGATGTCATCGTTTAAGTGGAGCTTTGGGATTTTGGGCGATGGCTCACAGGAGCCATTGTTGGTGTGGGACTCTGCCTGTGGTTGGGCCATCATAGGAAGTTGGTTGCTGGAAAGGTGAATGAATGAAATTGACGAGGGAAATGGGAAGGGAGGATAGGATTTATATAGAGGAAGACGAAGAACACCCAATGCTCTCATGCCACTAAATTTTCCCGCCATATTTTTTCCAGTAGGGTTTGAATTGTCAAGAAAGTACTATACGGCAGTGTCAGAGCTACCGTATAAATTTATTAATAAAATTTTATATAAAAATGATAAATAAATACTTTTATAATTTAAATTTAATTTATCTGTGCTCTCTTATTTTAGTTTATTCAAAAGCTCAAGTATATAATTTGATTTTAATTTTGAAAAAAATTAATTCACTTTAACTCCATTTTTTTTCTTTTATGAGCTCGTAAAAAGGATTATTCATAATAACTTTATGAATAAAATATGGAGAAGTTTCATGTGATTGTTTAAAGATCAAAATAATTCCTTATAACTCGGATTCTATGTGGTTTTTATTAAAAGGAAATAGAGCATAAATAATTTGTATTAATAATTTCACAAAAATTGTGTTAGTTTGGTTTCATGTTTTAGTCTTTCAAACGTGCATCTATTTTCATCAAATTTGAGTTTCTTAGTTTGACCCACATGTTTTGACATTTCTTGCAATGCACACATCACCTTCATAAAATGCAAGTACTATTTCGCACTGCTCTTCTTAACTTATAGAGGCAACAAACACAATTAGATTTTGATATTTTGCTTGATCGCTTTCTTACCCCTACTTCAATTTGCTGCTCTCCCTTATCCCTCACATGGCTAGATACCATGCACACCTCCTCAACCTATCACATGTAATCACGCATTTGGCAATAGTTAGGCCCCAGTGCACACTTCCTACAAGCTCACTTGCTCTCTTCCACGTTCTCTATGCTCTAGGAAGAGGAGATAGAAGTAAAGTGATCATTGATGACAAGATCATACTTGATAAAATAAATTGTCCAAACCAACCTAAATATATAGGTTGAGTTGGAATTTTTTTTTTCATATTTGTTAACATGCAATCCAAACCAATTCAACCAGGCAATGAACAAGTTAATTCACATAAGATAATCGAGTCTTTATTTTTTTTTAAAAAAATCTGTGACTAGTAAAATTTAATAATTATCAATTTAAATTTAAAATCTATCAATATTTACATGAAAAATCTTAATTTATATTCAAATAACAAATCATTCATCAAGAATCACATTTAAAAATATAATAACATTAAAAACAATATCTATTATTGTAATAAAAAAATATAATTATAAATAGAAGTTTTATCAAACCAAATGGCCCTAAGGTGAAGATTGTGGGTTCCCAAAAACCAAGTACGTTTGTGAAAGGTGAGGAATGTGGACTTTGGTTAACCCCTTTAGTAAGGGCGGCCACCTCGCACAAGTAGTTTCACGACCCAAGGGCATTAAAGGTTTGAGCAACCATGTAATCTGGCACCATGTTTGGAAGACAGAAATTGGAAGATGAAGTGATGAAGAGCTTGAATCTGTCGACGCTCACAATTAACCTTATCAAAAGTGTTGTTTTAAAAGGGTAAGAAGGGAAAATCAATGTGATATGACTAGAGTTCATGCACCCAATTTAGTAAGAAACTGATTCTACATACAATGCAGTTTGAATGTTGCTGGCAAAGCACACGGGTCAGTTTGTGAATGATAGAACAAACAAATGAAAGAACTATAGGCTTCCTCACTTACTGCCAGATACTGTGGATTCCACTGGCCATCAAAAGCACTTGAGAGAATATCTGCTTGCTCCTACCTGCCTAGTTTGCGCAGTCAAAATTCAGAAGCCATCAGTATCATTTTAGCATGGCATGATTAGCTCAATGAAAATATTGACACCTTAATCCGTGTCCCTGTATTTGTCTCTGCAGATACATCAGTAACTCTGCATCTCAAGCCCACTTGAAATTTAACTAGTTTACAAAAGTTGCAATGCAAACATACACACACCACATAAAATAGTAATAATAACAACAATAACAAGAAACATTTATGGTCGTTAGAACTTGCAAAATTTCACCAAAGCAAATTATAGCTTGGTTTGTCTTTACATTTGGCGTTTCCTAGGCATGATAGTAGCCAGACCAGAATATTTAGATCATTTCCTTCATTTACCAAAGAGACTAAGGCTTTGACAAAAGATTTTCATATCTGGCCCATATTTGGATTCTAACTCTGTCCTTTGCTAAGTATGCACAATTGATATTCAACATTGTGAATGACATTCAAATTATCTAATAAAATACAACAATTAAATAAATACCTACAAGTGATTAAAAATATAAATCGATCATAGCTTTTCTTCAAAAGAAAATCATACTTGAGAACAGGGTCTGTAAATAATACCTTTGCAGTGCAGGTAAGGAAGGTGACAATCAGCTCATCAGCGGTGAGCAGGTATGGTGGTGACAATCAGGTGCAACAGTTACTGGGTTCACTAGCTAAGGTACACATGTTAAATTACGATTAATCCCCATAAAAAAGGGTACTGAAACCCTTCAAAATTTGAGGCTACTACAGAATTTAATATGTTGAAGTTAAAATATATTTGATGATGACTATGGTACAACAGAAAATTCAAGCATGAAAGGCTGAAGTACAATTTTAGTGTTATTTAAAACCAACGAGTAAATCACAGTAAATGAAGTGAAAGGATGCTGTAAAGCATTTGATAATTAAAGTAAATCAATTCTTGTGTTGCAGCCTTCCACTCTCTGCACCAGCATAAGGATCAATCACGACATTTATTACAGCTGGTTTCCGAGCAGAGAAGGATTGTGAAAGAGCAGACTTGAGTTCATCAGGAGTCCCAACAAGATAGCCTTTTCCACCAAAAGCTTCAATCAAAACATGGTACCCTGCATTCGGGACAAAAGATGTGGGGGCAGGATCATCTTTGTGAGGTCCATTTATCTCCTCTGGGCTTCTACGGTCGCCACCATATACACCGCTATTGTTGAAAACAATCACAACCACAGGCAGCTGGTACCGAACCAATGTCTGGATAAAAAATAAAGTATCATGTGATATGCTTGTATTCAGAAAATGAATTGCAATAGCAATAACAAAAAGAGCAAATGGAACCATATAGTCATATCAATTGAGAGAAATTACATAATGTGTGCTGAACTGCTTTGTCCAAAGTCAAGAACAAGAAGGGAAAAATACTCACACCCAATATTAACAAATATATCTACACCTTCGGGAACAACAGTAAAAAATCTATTCAAATAGAAACCCTCACAATATTAGTGATCTAAAATGGGACTTGGTTCCTGGGTTGCCCAGTAGTAACATACCACAGCTTATGCCATCTATCGCAAGAGAACAGAGCACAACGACTAAGCCCCGTGAAGACTATCACAAGATTCTAAAACAATAGTAATGTAGGTAACTTAATACAATATTTTGGATCACAAAAATAAAGATTATATAATTGGTGTGCATTCACCCACAATCACGACCAAGCTACAGTTACCTCACATAGGACCAACAACAACAATCAAGCCTTATCCCACTAGGTGATTATCTCACATAGGACCAAGAGGAAAAAAATTGAAAGAAAGCCAAAAAGAAGGAAGCGGGTATTGAATGCTACTGCTACATCATAACATAAATGAATATAGGACTAACAGCAGCTTGCAAGTTAGCTAGCATTCATAATGCATCATGGAATATTGCATGGTTGTAAGAACTCCAAAAAAAATGCAAACAAAACATATAAAGCAAACAATGTCATATACACATTACAAACACTTGTAAAACAAGAGGAGCTAAGTAGTAATTATCCATAAAACACGAGTTCAGGATGTACCTCAACTTCAATAGCACTAAATCCAAATCCAGAATCCCCTTCAACGGCAACAACAAGGCGTTCAGGAGAAGCCACCGCGGCGGCAATGCAATAACCAAGACCAACCCCCATCGTCCCCCACGTTCCTGCATCCAACCTCGTCCTGGGTTCGGTCTGAATCAACACAGAGCGACCCACATCCATCGTGTTGGCGCCTTCTGAAACGACTATAGGAGCAGGAGTCCCCACAGCGAGAATAGCATCCCGTATGATCCTCATGGGCGTCAAGAAATTAAAGGGCACGACATCCTTAGCTAACTGAGCCTCCATCTTAGACACATTCTCCTTAGCCTTGTTCGAAATAGCTTCCACCCAGGGATGCGTGTTCCCCAAGCAAAACGGATCATCCTTAATCTCCTTATTCAGAACCTCAATTACGCGTTTAGCATCTCCCACCAACCCCAAACACGGCTTCCTCAGCTCAATCTCTTCCTCACTCACATCCACCAATATGAACTTCACATCCTTAGACCACTTGGGTGGCTCCCCAAAATGGAGCAACCAATTGAGCCTAGCCCCAACCACAAGCGCTACGTCACACTTACCAATCGCCAGTGACCTCGCAGCAGTAGCCGCAAGCGCGTGAGTGTCCGGCAACAACCCTTTCCCCATCGGAGTAGGAAGAAACGGAATACCCGTCGTTTCAACTAACTTCGTTAAAGCATGTTCTGCGCGTGCATAAGCTGCTCCTTTTCCAAACACAATCAAAGGCCTCTCCGCGCGTCTAAGGAGAGTAACAGCTTCCTCAATCTTAGAATTGGGAACAGAAAAAGGAACCTCACTTTTCGCGCGGTTCTTTTCCGCTTCAATTAAAAGCCTCTGGGCTTCGGATTCCGATACTTTTTGATGTAACACATCGGAGGGGAGGTCCAAGTAGCATCCACCGGGACGGCCCAACACGGCCCAATCGAGGGCTTGAGCGATGCAGTTAGGGATTTCGGATATGTGTGTGGCTTTGACGGAGAACTTGGAGAAGGGTTTAACGGCGTCGATCTGGTTGAGTTCTTGGAAATCGCCGCGGCCGAAATCGGTTTGGTCGCACGAGCCGGAGATCATCAGAGTCGGCCAGGTGTTGACGGTGGCGTTGGAGAGACCGGCGAGGCCGTGGATGCAGCCGGGGCCGGAGACGGTGAGGAATACGCCAGTGCGTCCGGTGAGGTAGCCGTAGGCGGAGGCGGCGTAGCCCGCGGACTGCTCGTTGTGGAAGGCGATGAAGCGGATGCCTAGGGAGACGGCGCGGTTGGCGAGGGAAGTCACAGGGATTCCCACGACGCCGAACATGTGCTCCACTCCGAATTTCGCCAGTGACCTTGCCGCCAGGACGTTGCCGTCGATTTCTGTCTCCATTGGAGGAGCTTCGGCGATTGCTTCGGCTGGGGTGTGACTGAGGGTGGTGGAAAGTGGAAAGTGGAAACTGAAACGACCTCGTTTGATTTAGAACTGGTGGCGAGTGTAAATTTATAGTGGTGGGAGTTAGAACACCGTGGACCATCTGACAAATTGGATTTTAACTCTTTCAAAATTAGTAATTCATGAAAAATGAGGAAGATAATGAAATGTGATACGGTATTTGTTTCTAATTTGTTTACCAACTCACATAATAACGAATTCTATTTTTTATTAAAATATATGATGTTTTGTAAATTTAATTATATTAATAATATTAAATATTATAATAATAAAATTTATCTTTAATTAAATTTTTTATTTTGTATCTTTCGATTACATATTAAGAAAATTATTATTTAAATTAAAATTTTGTTAATGTGAGTGTTAGTTAAAAATTAATAAATAAATATTTATTAAAAATTATGTTCCATGTATTAAAAGTATAATAAAAATGTATTATTAATATAATTATTACAATTTTCTTTTAATTAATATCTAAAAATATTTGTTTATATTCCACTTTAAATTACGATATATTAGAATATTAGATGATTCAATAAGTTTGATCCCATTGTATATTAAAAAAATATTTTTGTTCGTTTTCAAATTAGAAGTAATCAATGAAATCATAATATATATTATTCTTTTTTATATATCACAGCGTTATCATTTCTGAAATGTACTTTTTGTATCACTTATATTTATATAAATAAATATTTAATTAAATTGTATATTTAAATATATCCTTATTTACTATGCTGGCCTGTTGTTCTTTATAATAATTTTTTTTTATAAACATCAACATTAAAGATAAATCAAACTACAATTGTTATAATTTTAAAGAAAATTAATAATATATATATATATATGAAATTAATTAATCAAATTCATAAATTGTTAATTACTTTATTTTTATCAAAGCAACTCATCATATCATTTTTTATTTACCAATTTTTTGAACTTCAAATAATATTTTATCTTTTGTAATCTACTATTCCATTAACGATCTCTGTCAAGTTTACAAAAATAGAAAATAAAAATTATAAAAAGATTGTGAATGTAGTTAACTAAGTGTCGATTAAAAGATGTAATATAAACAGTCAATAAAACATATTTAGGGGGAGCAAGTATAAGACAATGATGTATGTTGAGATTACAAAATTGCATAATAAAAAATAGGTTATCTCAATATGAAACAATACAAATAATTGGTTCATATTATTTGTTAGTATCTGTTAACATTTTAAAAAAACTCTTTAACAACTCAATTCATCTACGCCTCTCCCATGGCGTCCACCACTTACAAACTCATCATCTTCAACCACCACAAGTACAACTCACTTTTTGCCTCTGTATCGATCACGTAAGAAAGGCTTTTTTATTTTCTTTTTTTTCTTCTCACTCACAATATTTTATTAAAATTTTATTTCGATATTTCTAAATTTTATCTGATAATATAAAAATGTCAATAAAAAGTACCATAAAAGTGTATTTTTTACATCTTATTTTTGGCCATTGTTAAAAAATTAATAATTTTTTTTATCAAAAAACACAGCATGTAATATCTTTTAAAATAACGTAAGATTCAGAATAAGAATGAGTAATGGAAATAGTAATATCAAACTTTTAAGAGTTTTCTTTAAGTGAAAATACAAATTATTATTAGCATTAGCTGATGAAAATTACTATGTAAACCATTTCTAAAAATTTCAACCCCTAATAAAAGATATATAATTTGTGTTAATAGAGTTATAGCGATGATAAATATAGTATTATGTGTTTTTTTATAGCAATATAGGATTATACAGTTAACATTAAAGGAATACTGCAAGATATATTTTAATATATTCTTAATTATTGGTTAAAATTAATTAAAAACTATAAAATTCCAAGTTTTATTATTTTTATTTTTATTTTAAATAAATTTTAACTATTAATTAAAAAATGTGTTATTGTTACTTTAAATTATAATATTAATATTGGTTTTAGTGATAAGAAGACAAATAGCGTCACCGGGCACAGGCAAATAAATGATGTGCTGATTGAGGTCCCATATGGCGACTGCCCTCCCCCAGGCAACAACAAAAGGTTTTTGTCCAAAAGAACCGAACCGCCGCCAGCGAAGTCTATTCTATCCTTCGCTGCAGTAAGTTTGTTTTAAAAAATAAAATTGCTCCTTTTTTCATCATTTTTTTCATATACTGATATTGATTAACTAAGTATCAAATTAACCGTTGTGACTTTAATTTATCGAAATTTAATGTACTTTAAAAGTGTTCGACTTAAATAATTTTGTTATTAATTAAATATTTATTGAACTATACAAATAAAATTAACTTATCATATTATTTATTATATTTTTAAGCTAATATAATTTTTATTCCTATAATATAACTAACTTAAAAAATTATTATTATCTTCTTTAAAATGCTCCTAATTTTTTATCATCTTTTTTTTTTATCTTTTTCTCTCACCTCTTTATTTTTATATATTTTTAAAATATATTAAAATATTAAATTATTTGTATTTTTTTATAAATTTAAAATAAAAAATTTATATAAAATAAAAAATTTTAATTTAATTTAATACATATAAATAAAATAAATATTTTGTCATTTTTTATATTTATATTATATATTTCTCTCTATCAAATTTACATTAAATATTAAATATAATAAAAATTTATTATATTTTTATTTTATCTTATTCTTATCCAACACTCTTGTCCTATTAACTTTAAAAATAATTAATTGTAATAAAAGTAAGTGTCACACTATATTAATTTTATTTCAAATTTTAAACTTTAATTATTTTAATAATTTTGTCTTATCATCATTTCTAGTCTAAAATTTTAAAAAAAAATTAAAACAAGAAATAACTATAATAATTATCAATATTAACAAATGATTTATGTGTATAACTTATAAGGTTTTTCTTTTTTAAAATTGAAAAAAAATACAAAAAATAAATAACAAATAAGAAAAAGTTTAAATTTATTAGATTTAATTATATTTTTTATCTTTATAAAGTTAGTATATTTTGTGATAAGTTTTAATAAAATTATTTATTAAAATTTAATATTTAAAATATTAAAAAATTAGAATTTAATTTATGTCATCAACTGTTATTAAATGCTAAGATGACTAAATTAGTTCAATATTTACTAGAAAAAAATAATAATAAAAAATAAATCTTAATTTTTAATATTTTAAGTGCTAAATTTTAAAAATAAAATAAAATTAAGAGAGTCTTATCTCAAAATAGTAGAACTTTACATGAACTAAAATAATAATTAAATCAATCTATTATTAATACAGAACTCTTTTTTTATTTCCGTAATTTTGCAAAAACTACTATATTTTAATATATAGTATTTTCAAAAACCATATATAAAAAAGTAAACCTTATTAGATTCTTGTAAATATAACAATTTTTATTTTTAATCCTTATTTTATTATTTTTTTATTTTATCCTTATTTTCTATATTTATATTTGTAGCTTTTACTGTTAACTAGCCGTTAGATACCTGCTAAACAAATGTCCAACTAGACTCTGGCATGTGTACCAACTTATTCGTATATGTTAAAAAAAATTATATTCATTCAGTCACATAAATAACATTTCTTTAACATACATAATGAGTTGATATATGCAACCGAGCTTATTTTGCCTGCTGAATTAGCAACTAACTAACGACGAGGCAGTGACATGAATCAAAAATAAAATTGTACAATTTGCTATTGCCACAGGTTTTTTGGCACGTTATTTAGTGTACAGCATTTAGAGATATAAGCTACACTGCATTGTTTTAAACGCATGGTTCAACGATTGAGATACTTATTCCAAATTTGTACCTATGTATTGAGTAGAGTCAAATTTTTATCAATAGAAAATTGAACACAAATACCAAATGGATGTTCAAACTAAACTCATCTACCAGATATTGAAACTGGATGATGTACACAAACAACCATGATAAGTTAATATATGTGGTACATTCCCATTCTGCAGCTATAAACACACAACCAGAGAAAAGCAAAAACAATTCATTTGTATTAGCTATAAATTTCATTTCTGAATTAGTATTTGGAAAATAGCATATGTCTTTAATTCCATACAATAATATGGATTTGAAAACCATGTTTGAAACATTGGTTTTGGGTACTGATTTGACCATATGAACAAAGTTATGGAATTTTCAAATTATAATACTTCTACTATTGGACCCCGAAATCGTAGTCAAAAGAACTTCCAGCTAAAAATTTTGCCTTAAAACAAATTCAATTGCTCCTTTGCACCATCAAGATTAAGCAAATGTTCTACCTTTATTGGTATTAGACGCATTTAAGAAAAATCTCAAAATCAACAAATAACTAAAGCACAAAAAATAAATAAATAATTCTGAACCTAAATTACAACCACTCACTCGTATGGATGGAACACAATTATACTTCATTAATAAATACATGTTACAACCACTAATTTATGACTCATCAACAAAAGATCACTACTACCATAGTGTCATATACCTAAATACCAATATAAACTTAAACCAACCAAATTCCTAAATATGACAGTGATAATGTCTAACACAAAACATATAAATTCCAAATGTCATTGCCCAAGATATTATAACAAAAGATATACAAATTTTTTCTTTTTTTCTCTTCTCAATCTACAGCTTCCTTGTAGCTTGTCAGTCTTTATTCTCAAGACTTCAAGTAGTACATCACATCAATCCTTATCATTGCCACGGGTTGAACCCTTGCCTCATGCCATTTCCTTTTCAACTTATTCAGAATGATTACGGCTTTCCTTACTTAGTCTACAAAACTAGCAAATGTGAAGATGGGTGAAAGTTCATAGACCAATAGATGAAGGAAGATCCACTTACCCTTTGGTCATCTCCAAAACCTTAGCACAATGTTCTTAACACTTCTAAAGGTCAAAGCAATGTAACATCACACCTTCACACTTCCTTTCTTTGGTTCGCCGTTGACGTGTAACATCTTACTAGCCTTGTGATGCTTCTATCACTACGGGGATGATGAGTCGAATTGAATATTGGGGTTGGAGATAAGGAAGAATCGAACGAGGGTGTTTAGAGAAGAATCAATTTATTGAGGATGATGTGGACAATAGGACGAATGTGTTTAAGATTGCAACAATAATAATAATAATAATAATCATTTGCTTATTACTTAACTATTTATTTATTTTATAATTTGATCATCTTATATAAAGAGTGGTAATGAGCATTAGCTATAGGTGTATGTGGCAAAGATAACGCAACTTTTTATCTATCATGTCATCGTTTAACAAACTTCATGTAATGATAAAGACTAAAATTAATGACTTATAGAAAATAAAATAAATAGAAGCTTTAATTGATGAAAGCCTAAAATTAGATTTTTAAATATTTATGCAAATGTTAAAATATACTTAAGTCAATTATAAAATTTTCATTTCTTTATTTTATATAAACTGGTCTGTTACTAATATATTTTTAAAATAAAATATATTTATTTATTTTTAAATATTTCTAAATTCATTTAAATCATTGATTTATTTTAATTTTCATAATTTTAAAAAATTCATTATCATTATTATTTAATATTGATATACTATTATTTAATATTACTATATTCATAATCTCTTTTGTCTTTTTTATTATCAGTAAAAATTAAGAGGAAAAAAAATACAATTGAAAAAAAAATATAAGCTACAAAATTAAAATTAAATTAAAAATATTAAGTTGAATAAAAAAATGTTAAAAAATAAATCAAAATTACTCTTAAACTTAGAAAATATAAAATATACTTTAACCTAAAAATTCAGTATAACAATTTTATTTAAATTTTCAGAAAAGTAAAGCATATACAACCTTGTAAGTAATATCCATAAGATAGGGTGTCGAGATCAATCTCTCACCAAATCGCAAATTGTAATTGTAATAACAACTTATTTAAAATTTGTATTACATGATGCTGTTTATTATATTTTGCTTTATTCCATCTCTATTAATTAGATACAGTGTATGAGTGTAGAACAACCATTTGCATAATACTAAATACTAATATAGTAACATGGATAATGTCATGATCCAAAAGTATAGAGAGGGGCCCACTCTCACGGTTATTGTGAGATTTGAAGAAGAATTCAAGTGTTGTCATTGTCTTTCGAAGAGTAGGGCTCAGTTCAGCCATTCTATCCGGACGCCGCTTTCTCACTCTCTCTCTTCACTCTCTGAGGTATTCTTCTTTCTCTCATCTTTTATTTGAGCACTGTGCTGTGCTGTGCTGTGGTGGTTGTTGAATCAAAGATCTGTCTCTGAATACTTTCAGTTCTAACTCCACGATCAGGTTGATACGTTATTTAGGTCTTCATAAATTAAGGCTTTGGGTCCACACCCTCACTCACCTGTCTTAATTTCGTTTAATAACACTTTTTAAGGCTTCTTTCGCTGATTTTATTTCAGTTTATTGCGGTTGTGTTGATGTTGATGTGTGTGGGGTTGTGCGGTGATGAACTGCGTTGATTGTTTCATTTTCTCAAGTTTGGTTTAGCTGAAGTTTTTAATACATATCAACGAAACTTGTGTCATCAAAGAAATACATCTGAATAAAGAGGAGAGGTGAGAGTGTGATCGAATTTTGTTGCTAATTTGGGGATTGGATCTGTGGCTTCTGCTTCTGTTTCTTTCTTATTTATTTTTTAAAAATATTTTTACATGTTTTCCGCTTCTGATACTCGTTAAGTGAAGTTGTCTCGCATGTCTCATTTCTTTAGTTTGAGATTGATTTTCTTTTTTCTTTAAATAAATGAAATTAAGTAAATTAAATGATTTATAAAGTTTGATTTCTTTATTTTTGAGCTTGGAAGATTAAAGATACGGTCAGATTCTAATTGAAGTAATTGATTAGATTCTGTGATTCCAAAGCCACTTCTTTAGTACCTTCTGATGTGCTTATACTTGGTTTTTGTGGAGTTCTTTGCAGAGCTCAAAGCTCATGACCTCTTCTCCCATGAATACGTGCATTAATAGACTTAGGCTAATTATATTATGAGATTCTAAGATGTTTTATCTGTTTACTGGACAGCTAAGATGCAAGGAGGATTGCGAGCCTTTTTTTCACATGGGAATGTCATAAAGAATGCTGTTTTGCAACGAATCCGCATTGTGAACCCCCTTTTACAGCCAGTTGCCTCTTCACGGTTTGAATCTGTTACGCCTGCTCGCATTGAGGAGCATGGTTTTGAGAGCACCACAATTGCAGACATCTTGAAAGATAAAGGCAAAGGTGCTGATGGCTCCTGGCTTTGGTGCACAACAGATGATACTGTTTATAATGCTGTCAAATCGGTAATCCATATTGAATTTTATTGAAATTGTTTTTGCGATAAATCTGTATGTGTTTACACAGGATTGACGTATTTCACTACAATGCAGATGACCCAGAACAATGTTGGAGCTTTGGTTGTTGTGAAACCTGGTGAGGAGAAGGCAATTGCAGGAATTATAACAGAAAGAGGTACCTTATAAGGATGTAGATTCTTTTATTTTTTGGGTACTATGATATATTGTCTGATGGATATTTTAGCTATATTACACAGTATTGGCTTATAAAATGGTTTTCTTTTTGGAAAAAGAAAAAAATTGAACTTTTCTATCAGTTGTACTTAATCATATTGAAATTGATTTTTGGATCTGTACTTGGATCAGGAACATCAGGTTATGATGAAATGGCTGGATCGATAGCTGATTACACTAAGGAATAATGTTTAGTCCTTCTGAAGGACGATAGTTGATTAAACTAAGGAATAATTTTATGAGTCCTTCTGAAGGATGTTTAAAGTGATTTCTCCTCTTAAAATTAATTGGAGTTTGTGAAATGAATTTCTACGAGGAATTAAAACATGAATGTGTAATGTCTTTATACTAATATGTCCCCATAAAAATTGTTAGAAAATGCTAAGTAGTGAACTTAAATTTACTGTGTTATAGAAACAAATAAAGGAGGAGATAACTACTTTCTTACGCTCTTTTATCACTTGCTCCTGTCCTTGCCATGTAAGATCCTAAAATTCCATTAAGTCTTAGAGAAAGACTTTTGGTAAGATTAGTCCAACTGTACTGCATGTTTTTCACGTTAAACCATTAGACAAAGTATGCATAATTGCAGTACTGAACAAGAAAGATAGCAAAAGGATGGACTATAATCACTTAATGGTGCTTTTGGCATTCCAGAATCTGTATCATGTGCAGCATGTGTTTTGACAAGAACAATATGATTTATGTTGGAAAAGCAAAATAGGATAACCAGCTAAAGGTCCAGAAAAAGACAGTATAATGTAGTGATGGAAAATTGTGTGGGTGGGTTTTTACAAATGTATTCTTGGATGCAGTCAAATGGTTTAAATATCAACAACACTGTATGCTGATTATATTTGTCATCGGGTCATTGATATGTATCTATTTTGTCCTCTTTTGTAATCCAGATTACCTGAGAAAGATCATTGTGCAGGGAAGATCATCCAAGTCTACTAAGGTTGGAGATATTATGACTGAAGAGGTATGTACCGTTGTCCTTATTGTATAGGGAACCTGCATTTTGATCATGTTTTTAGAAAATTAAGCTGTTCTTTTAGTTAGTATTGCCCCTACCCAAGTGGCATTATTATTTTTTGTGTTGGATGCAAAATTCAGCAATTGTTGATACTGTCAATTGAACAGGGTAGCAGTAATTAGGGATAATGTAGAAATATTGTACACTTCTACAAATTGTCAATTTTGCCACCATTCATGATATCTAAACTAAATTTTGGACATTGTGGCCGCAGAACAAACTTATCACAGTCACCCCTGATACCAGAGTTTTACAGGCAATGCAACTGATGACTGGTATGTGTGCTTTTTGGTCCTATAGGGGAAAAGATTAAAAGATAACTTGCCAATTATTATTACTATTATTTTGAACAAAAGGGGAGATTACATAAGCTTTTAGCTCATGGTCTTCTCCTATCATGGATTTTTTCAGATAACAGAATCAGGCACATCCCTGTCATTGATGTAAAGGGGATGATTGGCATGGTGTCCATTGGAGATGTGGTTCGTGCTGTTGTGCGTGAGCACCGACAGGAGCTTGAGCGTTTGAATGCTTACATACAAGGGGGATATTAGATGATGATGGAAATCCCATAAGGGCACTCAAGCTAACTTGGATCTTGTAATAAGCTTGCGTGCTTGTAAATATGTCATGGCCACAGCTGTCTTGTTTGCTTTTCTGTAATTCCAGATTTCAGTTTTATGGACATTAATCCTTGGTGTAGCATGTTAATAATAACAACTACTGGATGCAGTTTGAATTTCTGTTTTGAAGTATGTTCCACTAATGAGTGCTTGCATCTTTAAATTGCCCAGTTTCTAACAGTAGTTTTTTATTACTGGATCGAGGGATCACGAGAGTTGAAAATGCAACTTTTAAAAATATTAAACTTAGTTAATTAATTATGTATATATACAAGGAACATATCCGGAGAGATTAGTATATAATATAAGATTATGAAAATATTAAATTTTAATCATAAAAATATGAATAAAAGGTTAAAATTAAAAGTTGGCAGTGATTATTAATAATTTAGTTGATTCCGAAGATGCAACAAGTGGTACCTCTTGGACCAACCCAAGATATGTGGTGAAAATAAGGATAAGGTCGTGCCCAACTTTTCATCATTTTGATAGTAATTTGTAAAGACATCATTAATAGAAGTGACTCAAATTAAAAACAGAAGTACTCAAAATGAAAAACGAAAAATAGCATTGCTTGTTGAATGGGTTGTTAACAAACAAGTGAAGATTATGCATGAACCACCACCGAATAATGGTATCGAAGATTTCCTCTTCACGCTCAGCCTTAAGGGCAGCCAGCTTCAACTCTAACTCAGCAATCTCTTCGTCCTTTTCCTTTCGAAAGGCAGCCATCTTCAACTCTAGTTCGGCCCTCTGGATATTGAAAATCTCGATCAAGCACATGTCAGTGTAACTGAAAGTCCCTCCTCCCTTTTTGGTCATCTCTTCCTTAATCTTTTCCTTCAATTTGAAATCGGCAAGCGCAACCTGCCCTTCTTTGCTCTTCAGAAATTGCAGGAACTTATAAAACTGTTGAGGGGCACAATCACGGAATGCGTCAAAGAAGCGATGCTGAAATCCCAACAAGCAGATTTTCTCCAATCTGACATTATCCTTGAAATTGCCCAGAACTCGCAGATAGGAGGCAAGAATAGAATCAGTGAACCCATGGGCGAGGTAATTGGCTTCGTTGAAGATACCCACCGGAAAGCCGATGCCAATAAGAGACACACTCGCTTCATCAATAAAAGCTTGGTTATTTTTGGCTGGTGGACGCATTTGCGAAGGTAACAATGCTCTACGAGAAGTACCTGCCATATTAGTTAAAATAGAAAACAAACAGGAAGAATAATGAGAACAGAGCAAAGAAGACGATTAGCTTCGAGGCAAGCCAAAGCAAGGGAAGTGAAAACAAAGGTCACTCAGAAAATTAAGAGACGTTTGATTCTAGGGTTCTGTTTTAAAAAAACAAAATCTAATACGTTAGATTTTATTTTTAAAAATAAAAAACTGTTATTCAAATAAAAATTAAACATGTTTTATTAATTTTTGTTGTGACAGCAAGATAAAAATTTTGAAAAAATCTCAACTGATATTTTCAAATTTTTTATCTTCTATTTTTCACACATTTTTTTCACTCTCTCTGATCAAAGATTAACCTTTTTTATTTTTCTTCTTGTATTTCAAATACCAAACTGATTATATAAGAAATTCAAGATTTATTCTTGAACCCTTCAAAACCAATTAACTGTGTCTTGATTAGAATAATTTTTTTGAAATACTGTTTACTCTCTGTCTATATCTTTTTTTTCTTTAATAAAATTAATTAGTTTATCATTATCGTTAGCATCTTTTATACATAACAGAAAAATCAAGGATTTTTTTCTATTATGGCAAAGGAAATAGAAGAAGAGTTAATGGACATGATTCATTAATTCCCCTCCCCCCCTTTCTATGATGCATCTTTTATTAGGGTAAAGGGGAGGAGTTGACTCAATTTTATGGATGTAATCCCATTGCAAATTTTCTTTAATATTATGATCTTTCTTAACTTTACATGGTAATATATATTTAATGAAAATCAAGAGACACATGGGTACAAAATTAAAACATAACTTACTATATATGTATACACTTTAGATGAAATTGTGAGAATTAACTTTTATAATGATTATGAAAGTTGGGGACCATGATTCTCTCTCGTTTTGGCGCAAATTGGACGATCCAGTCAAATAAAATTTTGCATTTTTGCTTATACGAAAATGTAAAATCAACGTGACAGGACGTCTAGTTACTGGAGAAAATTTAAGTCCGAAAATTGATCCAGTTAGTAATCGTTGGATTCATACCTAATATTCATATCTCACAAGGATATGAGTTTAAATTTTACTCTTGAAGTGAAAATTTTATCGACCAGAAACAAAATTAAGACTCAATTCACCTAATTTTTTTAATAAAAAAATAAAATTTAAATATTTTTTATTTAAATATCATTTAATAGTCTCAGTCTTATTTATTAGTTATACATACTATTAAAATCAGTTTATTTTTTTAATTTTTTTTATTAATTTTAATCTTTAGAATTTTATTAGTTGAGAAATTTTTATTAATTTAATAGTCTCTAGGGCTGCATCTTGCTTAACCCTAAGACCAACCAGTTTTAACTCCAGCTCAGCAATTTCTTCATGACCACCTTTCTATTACCGAAGCTAATATATTTGCTGGATTAAATAATTAATTCTTTTTTATTCTACAACTAGTTTAAAAAATATAAAGAAAAAAGCATGTTAAATAATTGAATTTGATTTGGATTCAAATTTTTTTATCAATCATTTTTAAGATTTTATCTATAACTATTTTTTTGGGATAAATTTATCTTTATTACTAATACTTATTTTAATATGATATTAAATTCGGATTTAACAACCTTATAATTTATTATTATTATTTTATATAACAAAATATTTGTTATCGTTGTTTAACTATGAGCATTTGTTTGGCACTATAAGATACAAACACTTATTTTTAAATAAATTAAAAAATAATTATTATAATTTGAATAAAATTTTATTAGTGTGGTAAATAAAATGTATACTTATAGAGTTATGTTAAAATAATTTAATAAATTATAAATAACTCTAATTTCAATTATTACTGCATAAAATTAGAGAAATCAAATCCAAGATTTTTTACATTATTAAGATAAAACAATATTTCTTTTTTAAATAAATTGAATTTAAAATAATATTTTTAACATGTAAAATTTGATATATTATATCAATATAAATAATGCATCTTGATTTCAATAATTTGTTTTCATAAAATTATTTATTAATTTAGTAACAGTATCTCTTTCATATATTATTAGTAAATTCTATAAAATATAAAGAAGTTTTACTTTCAATAAGATGTCATTCTATCACTTTATCTATGGAATTTTAGTTTTTTTTAAATTATTATTTTACTCTTCAAATTAGTCAATTTTTTTGTTTTTGTTTTTAGAAAATAGTAGCAATACAACTTTATTAAAAAAAAATTAAATCATGAAAAAAATTTGTTGAAATGGTTAAAGATTAAGTTAATTCTGAATTTAGAATTTGAATATAAAATTCAAATTGACAATGAAAATTATATTTCTCTACAAAGAAGTCATATTTTTTTTATAGATAAATTATATTTTTTGAATGATAAATTATATCTTTTTAAATTTTACACTTTATATAAAAAGTCTTAGAGACTTAATATTGAACACTTGACCAATCTCTCTTTTCATCACTTTTTCTCTTTCTTTATCAAAGAGTTGTGCTTCCATAAGAGTAGATTAGCTATTGCTTTCCTCTTTTTCTTGTAACGTATATAAAGCTTACCTATTGCTTTCCTCTTTTATAACAATGGGTAATTAAATATTTTTGCCATTAGGTTGATGTAGATTCTTGTAATACAACTCTTCTTAAACCCTATTTTATCATTTTCTTTTTATGATTATTAGGGTAACATATAGATAAAAATACTATCATTGTTGCATAATCATTGGATATGGGTAACAATTGATTAGATGAGAGTCTGAAGTGTTACTTGAGAATATACTTATCTGTTAGTTGAAAATTTTTGAAGAAGTTTAAAATCTGCAATATTTAATTATACATACCAAACACTAGTGAATTGCATGACTTACTAACTAGTTAGTGTAAAAATAAAGTCTTAAACTCTTACACTAATTTCTTGTATCTGATTTTTTATTATTTAAGGCACAATAATTATTAAATACAAATTTAAATACATAATAAATAGAAAAAAATTGTTTAAAGAATTAATGTTATCACAAATTAGAAGTTAATCTAGATTACAGATTAAAATAATTTCAAGATTTCTAAAAATATAAATATATTTAGTCAAATGCATTTTAGGTAAGGGTTTATACGAGGGTGAAACGGAAAAAATTGGTTCAATTTTAAATATGAGAATTATAAACTAAACCAAAACTCATAAAAGTGAGTGTTATTATTATTATTATTATTATTAATGATTTATTCAGTTTTTTTTATCTGTTCAACAATTTAGAATTATTTGTATTGATTTTTGGATATTTTTAAATGGAAGGAGTATGAAAGGGAAATGCTAACTAGGATACCGATTAATGAATGACTAGTATTTTTTTTATTCAAAAAAGGTTATTAATACATTTTTTTATGATTTCTAATTAATTTTTTTATTACTTTTTTGTATATGTTCTTAGAACATTGATTAATAAGATTATTATAACAATTATATATTTTTCAATTTAGTTTATTTATTTTAAAATGTAGTAGAATATTTTTAAACAATGGGAATGTTTGAGATGCAGAGTATTTTCTCATTATTTGAAGTTATTTTTCTTTAGAATCATGTTTTATGAGAGTAATACTTTTTCTTATAACTTTTTAAATGAATTTAGCATTGATGTGATACATCAAATTTAACATATTTAATAATGCAAAATCTCAACACAAAAGATTAATGAAAATAATTTTATTGGCATGACTAAAATATTTTTACCTTCATGAAAATTTCAAATTATCACTCCTCTTATATTGGAATATTTAAAAAAATATATAGTTAAAATATTTTAATTTCTTGAAAATATATTTTAAAACATTTATACTAAATATAAAAACTAAGCATTTTCATGATTCTAATTTTTAAAAAAAAATCTCCTTACCAAACACTCAACAAAAACCCCTAAAAGTCTATAACGAGGAAACACTCAGCAAAATGTTGCTTTACGTTTGTCCCCCCCGAATGCTATTCCTTGTGGTGGAAATTGTTTGCTTTCCAAGAAATCTGGTCAACTGGGGTATGAGAAATGGGTGGCCATGATGTGATTATGTTATGGTAGAAAAAGTCACATAAATGAAGTTTCCCCTTTCAAGAAACGACACAATAAATAATTGCAATTTATAGATTATTATCGACAAGTTTTATAGATGTTAGTTCTTTTGTTGAGAGCAGAGTCTTCCAACATCATTACTGTATACCTTCATAGACTTTGAACTCAGCCATCATGTCTTCTATGCAGTTTGGTTTGACACAGAAAATTTGAACAACAGGACTTGATGGATTTTGCTTCTTCTTTTGGTTCATTCTCCTCTTATGACTATGCTATTCCAAGCAAAGAAATTCTATGGCTAGCATCTATCTTCTCAGGCATAACCTTATGTGTTCTTGTAAGTAAACTCAGCTTTTCATTAGTTGGATGTGAGTTCTATTTATGTTGCTTCTTAAGGTTTGATAATATGTATGTCTGTAACTCCTTGCAAACCACAAATAGGAGCTCGAAGCCTTATGCTTTTCGGGTGAGGACTGTGTGGTTGTGCATTTTTAACATGAAGTTGTTGGATAAAGGCTTGGTTTTGGATGTGGGGTCAATGTTTGGAGTTCGGGAAAAAATGTTTCTTTTAATTGCTCTATTGGCAGGGTTCCTTGTTGTTTAATTGTTTTTCTTCAGAAGTAATGATGCCACCATTATTTTAACGTCCAAAGAAAATTTTAATGCTTTACTAATTGAGAAGAAATTTGTATGTCATGAATAAGCTGTTAACATGTAATGACTGAGATTAAATGCGTTTTTATTAAAAATAATGTATTTATTACGTCAAGAATATAAAAGTGTAATAAATATTATTTTTAAATACTTACAAGCTGGAATTAACAAAACTGTATAACAATTGAAGATGATATTTAGCATCTTTGTTTAGTGCTTTGCACTACATACATTCGAATTTTTTCTATGTACTTCAAATGGGTGAGTTTATATTCCTTCATGGCTTGCATGGATGTCAGTTTTTGTAACTTCAGATCCTGAAAACTTCACTCTTGGTTTTCTGAAAGGGTAATTTCAGATTGGTTAACTTTTAGGTTTAATTGATGAATGCAGTTTCGGGTTTTTCCCTTTCCAGTTTGTTCTTTTTGTCAAATATATGATCTTCTTTTTCTGAAGGGGGATAATTCTGAAGAAGTGTATTCATATTAAAGAACTTTTTATTAGCAATTTTAAATTTTGACCCTTTTGTTCCGTCTTGAAGGTTTATTCATCAAGTGCTATTTTGAGTTCTTTGTTGTTCAAGGGATATGGGAAATTGAGTAGTGCAGAGAAAATTGAATGGAATAACCGGTAAAATGACTTTGGACAATCATTCCTAGTTTTCATTATTACATAAATTATTTTTTTTTGTTCTAAGTATTAACATATTTTGTAATGCAGGGGATTCTCTACATTTCACGCTCTTCTTGTATCATCTGCATCTTTCTACCTCCTGGTCTTATCAGATTTCTTCAATGAGAATTCACATGATGGTTTATTAGTTATTAATAGATCATCAACTTTATCAAATACAGTGTTGGGGGTGAGTTGATGAAGATATTAGCAAAATTTGGTTGTTGGTCTCATAGCATAGTTTGACTTGCAGTTTTCATAGAAAAGTTTGACTTGTTTTTATCAATTTTCATGTCTTGTTAATCTCATGGCTAATTGAAATCTTATTAGCAACGCTATTTTCAAGCATTATTGAGATTTTGTTTGTCCCTCTCTATTTGTAATTTATTTATGATTTTATTACCCTCAACTTTTGAACTGTTTTCAAGTATCTAAAAATAACATTTATTATGTTTTAAGTTGAGGTTAACATTTTCTATTTGTTTATGACAGTTGGCTCACTTGTTTGGTTTCTTTATACTTGCTTGTACAGATTTCTGTTGGTTATTTTCTAACAGATCTGGCGATGATTCTTTGGCATTTTCCAAATTTAGGGGGTCTGGAGTATGTAAGTAGATATGAGCTTTTTTGTTATTTTTTTTATTACTAACACATTAAAAATATTATCAATGTGTTACACGATACTATTTTTTTACTGGTTTTGTTAACATTAACACATAGGGTTGATTTTGAGCATTTTAAAGCAGAAAGATTTAGTAGAAAGAAAATATTTATTATATTAGAAATACTAAATTATAATAAATGCTTCGTTTCCTAATAAAATCTTTGCTATTCTTATTGTTCAAAATCAGCCTAATATTAACATTTTCCATTTTTTTTTTATCTTGTGCTTATCTTTTTACTTTCATTCATATGATGAATTCATTATTAAAGTTATATGATTTATAAGTGGTAAACCTACTTCATCAAATTACATTTAGGTTCTGCACCACGGGCTATCCATAGGTTCTATTTTAGTATCTCTGCTAAGTGGTCAAGTTCAGATCTACATACTTATGGTTCTTTTCTCTGAGTGCACCACTCCTTTTGTAAATCTAAGATGGTAAATCTGTTGTTCAGAAATCCATTTACCTTCATGTATTTTTGTCAACATTACTTATTACATTAATTACATATATAGGTACTTGGATATTGCTGGTTTTAAGAGCTCCAAACTTTACATTTGGAATGGCATTGCATTGTTTATCGGTTGGCTGGTACTGTCTAACATACTCTTGACCTCAACTTTAATTCCTCTGTATTGAAATTTGAAAATGCCATGTATAATAAGTAATGTAATGACCGGAATGAATTGCTTATAATCAATCATGTATGGTTTCTATTTTGGTGCTTTCATTTTTTTAATTTTGAGCCATAATAGGGCAATAGGCACAAATTAGAAAGCAATTGGGGGGGGGGACAGAGTTCTGACTTGCGTCTCTTTAGAAAAACTTAGGAATAGCTTGTAGAAATTTTTTTATAACTATCATAAGTTATTTCAATTATGTTATTGTTATAGCTTATTAAAATAAGTTATTTTAAGTTTATTTTAATAAATTTTATTGGTAAATTTATGACATAGGCTATTGTTGAAAAACTTATTAATAAGCCCTTATTTAAGTACTATTTCCAAACGCACCGTAAATAAAAAATTTGTATTGCATGTATCATTTATGTGCATGAATCTTTATGAATTATGATGACACTTTCCTCCTCATGCTTTATTAAATATTGAAAATATTACAAGTGGGTACCTTAGTTGAGTTTTAGAAGGCTTCTACAAGAACAAACATCACTGAATTAGTTGGTTAATATGCTGTATAGAATATGATGATGATAATTTAGGTAAGTCAGTGTCATCCAACTAAAACATGACACTTTAGATGCTGAAACTATTTGTTTTTTTAACAGCAGATGGAGAAACTTAGTCTTATGATGTACAATAGATGTAAGCAAGGTGTCAAACTTTGTGGTGACTTTTGATGTTTCTCAGTTCCAGTGGTTGTAATGGAACTACTTTTCTTGGTAGTTCCAGGTACAGATCTTAATATGCTTTATGTGAAGAGCAATATCATTTTTTAACCCCTTATACTTTCTATGTTTAAATATTATCTGTGGTGTGGCAGTTTGCAAGGGTTTTCCTGTTCGTGTTCATTTTTTTTCACATGGGGACCCATTTTGATGAGGTTAGCATGTGCTCTCTGATTCCCTCTCACCTAAGTCTTCACATTTTCCTTCCATGTTTGTGTCATATTGCCACTGAATCAAAACTTGATTTTGTTGATTTCAGGTTAAGGAAGCCTTTCTTTTAGGATTTTACATCTTGCTTGCGGTGCCTTCTGTGTTGGCAGTGATGAACATGTTTTGGTTCTGGAGGATTACCAAGGGTTTGGTTAAAGCTCTTACAAAAGCAAAACACAGTTAGTGAGCCTGGTGCATCTGTACTGCTATACTCCATGTACGCATACATAAAGCATGGTAGGTTTCACATTAGATTTATATTTATTTTAAGGCTATTAGTTGTAGTTTTTGTAGTAAATTTACATTCACAAATTTTTTAACATTTTTTCAAACATACTATGAGATGGCCATTAATTGTTTTATAGTAGAGCTACAATCACCATTAAATTTTAACTTGTAAATTTTACATATGATGTATATTTTCAATTTTGAATTACTTCATTGAATATGCTTTTTAGTGACAAAATATGATCTTAATCACTTTTTTCTGACAAACAAGATCTAAAGCTGTCTAAAGAAAAATAAAATTAAACAAGATGAAAGCAAATATAGGTTCTTCCAATCTTTACTGGTCAGTTGGTAAACTATAAAAAGATCTAGGGGTTTATCCAAGGGAAAATTATGCACAAGAATTGTTCATGGTCATGTTTAAAGAAAATATTATAAAGTAATTTTTTCAATTACATGGTATTTCACTTAACAACATAGATATTTATACACTTGTTTATATTTCTTTTACCCCATTTTTTTTTCTATCACATCACATTTCTTATCACATCTCTCATTTTTTTATCACTTTCTTTTTCATTTTTATACTCTGAAAATGGGGTGTACAACAATGATTATCTTTCACTTGAATCCTTATTCAGTTTAATGATAGATTGAATTGGTTTTATAAAAATTAACACTAAACTATTGAATATAGTTAAAATGTATAAGTAAATAAATCTAATTTATATGTTTTTATTCAATTTATAATTTCATAAAAAATGTGAAGATTGATTCTATAACTTTAATATAGTTAAGCTAAATTTACATCTCAAGGACGATCAAAATTGGACAAGTGATTTACAGAAACATTTCTTTTAATTTAGTCTTGGTTATTGACATATTTAAACAATTGATGATTCTCTATCAAATCATTATATAGTTTTTAACTACAAATATATAAATTATGGAAAATATTCTATTAATATCTAAAATAAAAAAATATATTTTTATTAGAAATATTTTCTCTTAAAATATATCTATAGAAAAAACATAATAAAACCAAAAAAAAAATGAAAATCATATACAATATCAAGCTTTAAATTTTCAAATAATAGAACTCATAAATTATACTGAGAGAGCATCGCGTTTATGGCAAGTAATTTATAAAACTCGAACCCTAAAGATGAACGTTGCAGCGTGGAATCCAACTTTGGTTTTGGCACACTGCACCTGTCGGGAATTTGAACATTAACTTTTTGGGGGCAACACAATACAGAAATTTTTAACTATTTGAGCATCAACTTTGCTTAAGCGGTGGTCTCTGACTCCCTGCCTGTCTGAAAAATAATATAAATGCTGTAAAGATTGATTTATTAAAATATAAAAAATATATTTATTTTCATAACTTTTAATATATTTTAACGTTATTTTTAATAAGAAATATTATCTATTAATTTTTTAGATAAAATTTTTAAAGTATTGATTAAAAAATCCTATAACAATTTATATCATTAATTTTATTAAAAAAATTAAGGATATATAAAAATTATTTTTATGAATTCAAATGAAAAATATCTATAAATCCTTTGAAACACGTCGTGAAGAAGTAAAACCAAGCATGATTTCTTGGTTTCTTTTTCAAGGGCAACAATGAAAGGGGGAAAACCAAGTACATATCGTGTTAGTTCGTAGTTTCCAAGACAAAGGACATGCCTCCGTTAAAAAGCGTTAACTAGGAAGGACAATAGTGTTGGCTATTCACACGGGAATGTGATGGAACGGATCACTATCCACTCGTGGTTGATAGCATTGTAGCTTCGTCAACGTTTACCTTCCCTTCTCCCATTACTTCACACGCTTTGCCTTCGCTTTCCCAATTTAGTTTTTGCTCTCTCTCTCCGTTGTCTTTGCCTCTCTTTCCTCGTTTCCTCTTTTATTTTAATATTTAGTAACAATAAATGCACACGTTTCGTTTTTCTTCAAAACCTGCTAGCTTTCTGCATCAGTCTCCATGACTCAAGGTTCTTGAAGTTACCTGAGGGGAAAGGAAAGATGGGTAGTGGTTACATTGGATTTTCACGGTGATAGCAATAGTGGGTAGTGTTTGTTTCGGGTGGTTTTTGTGCGTAACAGATTAAATTTTTAGTTTTGGGTTTTCAAAATGTGGAGTAGATGGAGATGTGTTGGATCATTGAGGCAAAGGGTATCTGGTGTTTTCAATGGAAGCCATGGTTGTGGCGGAAAAGTTCAACCTTTTGATCCTTTTTTGTTGGGTTTGAGGGATTTTGCAATGGAGTGTGGTGCAAGGAGAAAAGGAGTGGCATCTTTATCAGTTTTTTGGTTGAATCAGATGAAGAGGGGTGTGTCTTCCTCAACTTGGGTTTCATCCCCTAATGATGTTAGTTCCAATTCATGTGGGAATGGTGGTGTCAGCAATGGGAATGGGAATGGGAAGGGAACAGAAAACTCTATATCCTTCTCTGAAGCTAAGAAGCTTATGAGATTGGTGAATGTGGAATCGCTGAAGGTGAAGCTTGGTATGGATGGGAAAGAGGTTATTCCCTTCTGTGAACTTCTTGAAGCGTGTGAGAGCATGGGTGTTGCAAGAAATTCTGAGGAGGCTATAGCATTTGCCAAGGTTCTTGATGAGGCTGGGGTTATTCTTCTTTTCCGGGATAAGGTTTATCTTCATCCTGATAAGGTGCGTGGTATCTGTTTGACTTGTTTCTCTATGCTTTGCTTGGCATAAAAGAAGAATTTGCTATTGTGGGGCTCACTTGAAGCATGATAAGATCAAGAAGGTCTATTATCCATTCATTAGCCCCTTTCATGGTCCCCTAGCTTTTAAGGCTATGTTTTGGAGTTTTTAATGCTGCGTTGCCACTTGCTACATCCCTTTTTGCTGCATTAATGATATACAGTAACACATAATTTCAAACATGTTCATTATTACGGGTTGAATTTCATTCTTAATTTAATAAATTTCACTCATGATTTAATAAATTTTATTCAATAAACAATAACGTGTTAAAAAGAAAGTCTTCTTAATTAAGAGTAATTGTCTCAATGAAAAGGACACGGCATGGATTGTGAGTACTGTTCATCTACAACTTCACTTTTTAAAGTCGTTCATCTCTTTAAATCATAGCTCACGCATCTAAGTCAAAGAAGACACACGTATTTGTAGTCTAGAAACACGTTCTAGACTTCATTCTTATTAGCTATTTGCATCACAATAATTAGATAAATTGTAACATTTTATCATGTATATTATGACTCCTGCTCATGATTAAACACATCATTTCTTTCTTTTTTGATGCAGGTTTTGTGTCTTACATTAATTCCATACCTTGTTATACAATTTAAAGCTTGTTGATTTCTTTTGTGTTGTATGGTCAACATTAGGTGGTGGATCTGGTTAGAAGAGCAGTTCCACTGGCATTAACGGCTGAGAATGATCCTATGAGGGGTGAGTTAAAGATGCTGCAAGAGAAGAAGGAAGAAATCGATGTGTTGGCGCATAAGCAGGTGCGGCGCATCCTTTGGTCTGGACTAGGATTTGGTTTGGTTACTGTTGGACTATTCTTCAGGTTAACATTCTGGGAATTCTCATGGGATGTAATGGAACCTATTGCATTCTTTACCACAACCACTGGCTTAGTCATAGGCTATGCCTACTTCTTATTCACTTCAAGAGACCCTACTTACCAAGACTTCATGAAGAGGCTCTTTCTTTCAAGACAAAGGAAGCTTCACAAGAGGTACAAATTTGATGTGGACAGATTCAAGGAGCTTCAATGCAAGTGCAAGACACCTTTAGATGCCAGAACCATTTTGAAAAATCGCATAGGGGTGGAATTGGATTTGGAAGATGCTTTACACAGAGATTAATTAACATTTTTTTTTCAGGTGATTTTATAATTTTTACATTAAAACAAAAAAAAGAAAACTCTTACATTTAACTTCGTTCTCCTCTGTTTTCATGTTGGTGGGGTGAAGCTTATTCTAACATTTGTTCTGGCTAGTGAGTCATCAATGTTCTCTTCATATACATTTTTACATGCCAAAAAGATTATTTTTTCTTCCATTTGATTGCACAATGTATTTTATTTGTGAAAAAGTTTGTAATCCAAATTTGTTACAGAAGAGAAGAAACGTGTGTAGGAGGAGATTAACTTTTCAATTGATTAATTAACATATGTAAAATGCAGCTCATAAATTGAAACGCAAAATATGCGGTGAGCGTGGATCGAACACGCGACCTTCAGATCTTCAGTCTGACGCTCTCCCAACTGAGCTATCCCCGCATCCCGTTTTATTGCCAATAATATATTTCCACAATCTGCATTGACGATTCAGTAAATTTACAAACAGGTTGAATATGAAAGACCATATTCGACTTTTAATTCGCAAGACAAAAATTTGTTTCAATCATTATACTACTTTCGTTAGTCTTTTGAACTTCTTAATATTGCATTATTTATTTCACAACTTACAATTAAGGGTTAATTTCTTAACTTCAAGCTAAGTCATCATTTTTTTTGTCATTCAAACCGTATAAGGAATGAGAACAAAGACTCTTCATTTGGATTTATACCAACGATGCAACCCATGACGAAATATCCCTCTACAAGTCTTTAAGAGTGGGGTTAAAAAATAAACAACATTATGAAGTTGAAGTTCCTTCAAATACTTTTTGTTGCACAAGTCTTGAAATAAGCACATCCATCACATAATCTTCTAATAAATGAGAATGATTCATTGAACTAATTAATATTCTCTTCTCCAGGAACAGATCATAGTTTTTTTACCAGCAAATGTACTCCATGTTCAGGCTCTATCAAGGGCCTAAGTATAGGAGAATGAATGTATTTAGGAGAGAGGCAGAAAAAGAATTTGGACAAAATCCGAGATAACATCATCTTAAGTTCAATCATGGCCAAGTCCCTTCCAAGACACACTCTTGGTCCTATCCCAAAGGGCATGTACAAATGTGGCATCTTACAAGCACCTGTGATCCCATTGGCAAACCTTTCAGGGTTGAATTTGTAGGCATCATGTCCCCACACATTAGGATTTGTCTGTGCGATCAAAACCATTATCCAAATGTTAACACCCTTTGGGACATGAATGTTCCCAAACTTCATATCCTTGAAAGCTTCCCTTGACATCACAGCTACAGGGGGATATAGACGCAATGATTCATGAATAACCGTTGACAGCTGCCAAAACGAGTGCAAGTTAATCATTGTCATCATACATAAACTGCATACTTAATTATGTCTCTGTCTCTCAAAATATATTACATTTTGATTTTGGTCTTATAAGTTTTTTTTTTTTTTTTTTAATTCCTACACTGTAAAAATATTAGTTTGACTCTCTGGTTTGACATGTAACATCAAAATTGACACATGGTAATATTTAAATTAACCATATCATCATTGATCAATAATTATGAACTAAAATCAATAATATTAGAAAATTGTAAATAATAAAACAAATCAATTAATAGACCAAAATCAAAATTAATATATTTTGAAAATAAAAACATTTAACTCAAATTATAGAGTTAGAAACTGTAGTACGTAATATGCCACGTAATGATCCAATCCATACCTGCTTCATCTTATGAAGCATACCATAATCTGGGATTTTACCCTCACAAATTTCCAGTGCTTCAGCACGAACACGATTTTGCCACTCTTGATTTGAGGCCAGTAACATGAGGCACCATGTAGCAACAACTGCAGTGGTCTCATATCCTGCCAGGTATATATTCTTGCAGTTATCAACAATGAAGCGTTCAGTGGCCTCCTGAGATAGATCCCTGTTCTCAGCACCCTCAAGAATCATTTGCAGTAGGTCATTCTCATTAGCAGTTTCCTTTCTCTTCTTCACCACTTGTAGTATACAATTTTTCACCTCTTTTTCTAATGCCCATGATTCTTTATTGCTCTTCGTTGGAATATATCTATAAGAGGCACGTTAAGGATAAATCATTAATTTACAACAACAAAAGTTTTATCACAGAGGTTAACTGCACGGATCATATAATATTATTGGACAAAAAACATTAAATTGACAAATGAAAAAAAGGAAAATAACAGATCTTTTGCTGGGATGTTTTATACCTCATGCCTGGGATCCCAGAGGAAAAGTTTTTCTTGGACATGATCTCTTGGAGAGCTGCGAGTTTTGAGAAAATTTCTTTTCCTTCTGAATAATTGCTTCCAAAGCATGCTTTTGAAATAACATCACCAGAGAATCTTCTTATGCCGTCATCAATTTTTATATCTGCAGTTCCACCTTCTGAATCTATTCTACTGCTCCACATATTTAGCAGAGAAATAGTAGGCTCACTAATTATGCTCATCATTCCCTTTCAAGAACATATATAAAAAAACATATTGCAAGTTATGAGGCTAATATAATTAATTATTCATGTAAGTACCAAAAAGTGCAAGATTGGAAGTTAAAAATGATACCTTAACCTTCTCCATGTATAGTTCTGGAGCTATGATCTTCCTTTGATTGGCCCATATAGTCCCATTTGAAGATATAACTCCATGACCAAGCAACGGCCCTTTTTCTTTCCGCTGATATTCAGGCTTCCCCAAGTCCAATGACGTGCATGTGGTGATATCTCTCACTATGTCAGGTTGTTCCAGATACAATATTTGTGTGTTTCCAAGGGAAAACATAAACACTTGACCTGTTTCAACAAAATATTAGAAGCATAGTATACAATTCTCAAATCAGTCATAGACTCAAAATCATTAGGCTATTTTATCAAAAGGGTTATTTAGTTCACTTGCAAGCAAAATGAAAGAAAACAAAAAGTTCAAGGCCATATAAAAAAATGTTACAGGTGATGTTGAGAGTCAAGGGCAACATGACATGATTCACAGGTTGATGAATAAACACACAAATTTCAAGAGGGTAAAGTTTGACGTCGAAGTCTTGCCGAAAATTGCTTGTATTGAAGTCTATACATGTATCTACTGTGTTGTACAAAGTCCATTTTTTGAATTGATTATGATGAAATTGAACAACATGATACAGAAAATTTATATGCTGAACGTAACATACCATATTTCTGCCTCCATTTCTCAAAAAAAGGGAAGAGAATTGAAGCACAGTCATGAGAAGCATGAGGGTCTAGTTCAACGGGAGTCTTTGCAACAGTATGTTGTCTATTTTTCGTTATCTCCCTTATATTTCCAAGTATTAAAGTTGGGGTTGGACCATTGATACCTTGTTTCCGTAGCTTAGATCGAAGTCTCTCTGGCTTCCTCACAAGGGTGTTGTATAACATAAACGATACAGTAAAGCCAATCAACAACACAAGTGAGGTAAAAAACTGGGAATCAAAGTGGATTTGCATGGCCAGAGAACTCATTTTCAGTGTTGTTAAAGATATGACGTGCGTATATTTGTCTCCATACTCGGATTATTTTATTTATAACAAAAAATATCACTATTGACCTGCAAATACGTTAATACTTGTGAGATTGGTGAAGGTGGAATAGCTGAAGGTGAAGCTTGGTATGGATGGGACAGAGGTTATTCCCTTCTGTGAACTTCTTGAAGCGTGTGACAGCATGGGTGTAGCAAGAAATTCTGAGGAGGCTACAGTATCAGCATTTGCCAAGGTTCTTGATGAGGGTGGGTTCATTCTTCTTTTCCGGAATAAGGCTTATCTGCATCCTGATAAGGTGGGTGGTATCTGCTTGACTTGTTTCTCTATGCTCTGCTTGGCATAAATGAAGAATTTGCTATTGTGGGGCTCACTTGAAGCATGATAAGATCACTAGAGGCTCTTTTGCTGAAATGGGGTGACCGGAGAAATAAATTCTCTAAATAGGTGGTTGCTAAACAAATTTGCTGTCTCTGCACTGCCACCTGTTATAAGTGTTTATTTTTCTTACCGGTGTAAGATCTACTGCCGACACAAATTTTTTTTATTTTTTTTAATTATATGTGTTGTTAAATTTCTTACTAACATCAATAAAAGGTAGACACATTACGTGTCAATAACAAAAAATCTTTTTTAAAAAACTATCAACAACTATAATCGTACACGTAGACTTTTTGTTTAGTGTCTAATAGTTTAAATATAGCTTTTGTGTCGACACTGTTTTAGCTGATATAGGTGTCAGTATTTAATTAGTGTACATGATAGAGTTTCCCCTAGTTTTTCTTCTATGCTTCGTCTTCTTCCGAGACAAAACGCAAAGTACTGTAGATAGTAGAAAAAATATATCATTTTACATGATAGTTTTACTGTTTTAAGAATTTGTAAGATAAAAATGAAGCTATTTTGTATTAAATATTTTTATAATTTTTTGTATGTAAAAAATAAATAATAGAAATATATATTTTGAAATTAGAATTATCTTATATATAATTAAAATATATATTATAATATTTATAATATTTTAGTTTTTTTAGGTAAAATATTTTATTTAAAAGTAAAACTAATGTTTATATTATTTAGTATTGTAAATATTATTATGTTAAAATAACTAAAGCTTTTATATATATAAATATAAATATAAATTAATTGAGAAATGTAAAATAATTAAATTAGATAAATATATAGATTAGAATTACATGTGATTGTCACTAGATTAATAAAATAAAAAAATTATAACAAAATAAAATTGAAATAATAAACAAGTAATATGTTAATTAATAAATTAATATTGATAAAAAAAATCGTAGTTGTTAAATTTGTAAAAATAATAATAAAAATGATTTGTCACGTAATTAAAAAATAGTAAATAATTTAAAGTTCCAAAGTTAAAAAAACAAAATTAGTCATCATTTAATTATAAATTAGATTATTTTGAAAAATTAAAGCGTAAAAAAATAATAATTTAAGTGAAAAAAACATGAATCTATGAAATTAGTAATAAATAAATAAATTTAAATATTTTAATTTAAAATAAAAAATACTGAAAATTAAGTAAAACAAAAATAATTAGTAATTTAGATATTTAAATCTCTTAAAAAGATTGCAGCTATTTATATGAGTTAGATTAATAATAATAAATTTATGTGTTAAAACTATTAATTTAAGTGTAATAAAATATAATAGTTGATTACATTGAAAAAAATGTCACATAAATAAATTTTGTATAATGATATTTTTAATATATAAATTTTTTATAAGTGATTATAAGTAATCATTATTTACATATATGATGTAGAAATACTAATTGTATTAAATTTAGTAAACGAGTTATTTTTGTTAATACAATAATTCATAGAATTTGTTTAATAATAAAATAAAATTATTTTTATTAATTTTTGTTACTTACATTGAGAATATGAAGTTTACAATTTACTTGTTTAAACATATTTCATATGGCATAATCTTAGTCTCACAGTAGTGTGTTAAATCTCAACTTTAAGGATGATTTATTATTGTGCTATCAATCTATTCATATTTCAAAGCATATTTGAGATAAGCATAAATATGCAATTTTGAGAGTGAGGAGATGTCACTTCATACTTGTTGGCATGAAAGAATTGTTCCTCATTTGATACTAGTATGATTTGACAGAGTTACATAATTAACTAGTATTTATTATCATACACATATAAAATTGTGAGGTTTCCACTCTTTGCATCAACTAAAATATATGAAATTAGTCTAAAAAATACATTAGTACTCAAAAGTCTCAATTTTATATGTATCTTTTTTTTTCAACCTCTTGAAAGTAATTCAATGTTTTATCTTAATTATCTTCTTGTTCTCTTCAAATATTATAGCATCATTTCCTTCGTACATTCTTCCATTCCAATATAAAATAACCACAATCCTGATATCAAATAAAAAAATACAAAAAAAAAATTCTTAAAAAAATAAATTAACTACTTAAACAACACTAATAAAAAATATTACATTTATATTTACATTTTTAATATTGTACTTACACTAAATAAATTATCATACCACTACAAATATTTTTACCTTCATAAATTTATAATAATATTAATATTATTATTTAAATCTTAATTGCAAAAATTAAAAAATCAAAACTTCTAACCTTCTCAATTGCATACATTTTAAATTTGGTAAAAATTGAAAAATAAAAGAAATAATGTATTACTTCTTTAACTATAGAGTAAAGGTTTGAGTTACCATGTGCAACACGAAAAAAGTGTCAGAGTCAAAATAGTAAACGCATTATAAAGTGTCATTAGAATTTAGCATACCAACACATAGGTGCCGCGAAAAAGTCAACAAACATACGAGTGTCAGACAACTTTCAACCGATAATTATACCACATAGCAGAAATTTGAGTGAGTGTGGATTATTATTTTGCCGATACTTTATTTTTAAATTATATAAATTTTGTAACGGTATTTCATAAGCCAACATTATCCATGAAAAACAAAACTTAATGTGTGTCAGCAATAAAATTTACGACACTATATCAATTTCACCCAGCAGCGAATTAGTTCGGCAATCAGCATGGAGAAATTATTTCTCCATTCATCCCATTTCAGCAAAAAAGCCCCCACTTGAAGCGTGATAAGATCAATGTCTATTATCCATTCATTACCCCCTTACATCGTCCCCTAGCATAAGGCTATGTTTTGGAGTTTTTAATCTTGCGTTGCCACTTGCTACATCCTTTTTTGCTGCATTAATGATATACAGTAACACATAATTTCAAACATGTTCATTATTACGGGTTGAATTTCATTCTTAATTTAATAAATTTCACTCATGATTTAATAAATTTTATTCAATAAACAATAACGTCTTAAAAAGAAAGTGTTCTTAATTAAGAGTTATTGTCTCAATGACAAGGACACAGCATGGATTGTCAGTACTGTTCATCTACAACTTCACTTTTTAAAGTCGTTCATCTCTTTAAATCATAGCTCACGCATCTAAGTCAAAGAAGACACACGTATTTGTAGTCTAGAAACACGTTCTAGACTTCATTCTAATTAGCTATTTGCACATTAATAGTGTGGCGTTGGATTTAATCAATATGGAGGTGTATGTTATGTAACCGTTTGCAAGCTTGTCTAAACGGTTCTTGTAAACCATTCATCACTGGCCCATGAATTTTATTTATTTCAATTTATTTTCATAATGTATATTTTTTACACAAAAATACTTAACAGTGAGTTCACAGTTCAGTTGTACGTCTATGCTTCAACACCATATATCTTCAGCCTGCAATAAATTCATGAATTATTCCCTTTGGATTAATTCCGTAGCAGGTGGAATAGTGCCTCTCTGTTTAAGAACAGTTTTCCTTGAAATTTGGTTCATGAATACATTCAATGTCGTTAATTGCTAAGCATAGCTATGTTTCAAGACTATGGTTGCCTTTGTATGAAGTGGCAACAGTATATTAAACTAAACTAATGCCACAGTAGGGCTTAATTATTTGACTGCAGAAAATATTTGTCAGCTATGCTTCAATTTTCAGAACTGTGTTCAATGATTCTATCGGATGTGTTTTGCAGCCTACCATTCCTTTGATAGTCCACACCCAGTAAGCATGCCTGGTTAGAATAGAACCTTAGCTGCTGAATTTAATATCTCGTTTGCTGATACAAACCCCTTAAGGAGTTGGTTTTAAAAAATGGGTTTTAATAAGTCTAAAGTTAACAAAATCTTTAAAAAATTACACGATTTACTAACATGGAATTCTGTTGTCTACATCGTGGCTTTGTTCTTACTTGCTGATTAGGTAGCATGGACACTTCAAAATTGTAGTGTGTTGGGTCATACCCTCTTCAAACTCTAAATGGATACTTAACAAACTCCTATGTTGTATAATTTTCATTTTAATTTTAAATTATAAACTTTTATACCAATTTATGTAGGAATATCATAATAATTAGATAAATTGTAACATTTTATCATGTATATTATGACTCCTGCTCATGGTTAAAACACATCATTTCTTCCTTTTGATGCAGGATTTGTGTCTTACATTAATTCTATACCTTGTCATACAATTTAAAGCTTGTTGATTTCTTTTGTGTTGTATGGTCAACATTAGGTGGTGGATCTGGTTAGAAGAGTAGTTCCACTGGCATTAATAGCTGAGAATGATCCTATGAGGGGTGAGTTAAAGATGCTGCAAGAGAAGAAGGAAGAAATTGATGTATTAGCGCATAAGCAGGTACGATTTTATAAAATAATGATAGTTAGTTAAGAGTTAGTTGGTTTCATGCGTTAGTTTCCTTAAATAAAATGTTATTGTTAGAATAAACACCAAACTAAACATTTGTATTTCTCTTTGTATTTTTCTCCCTTCTATCAATAAAAGATTCGGAACCTTTCTTCCTCAAAGTCCCCTCATTCTTGTATGTTCATCACAAGAGTCTTTGTTACTTTTTTGATGAACCCTACTCTCCATAACATAGCTTGTCACATAAAAAATTGCAAGTTCATGTTATGGAGGTCATAGAGGATGAAGATCATGTAGCATTTGAAGAGGCAGATGTTCAAGTGGGGAGTGAGAAGGAGCCTCAGATTTCAGTTAATGCCTTGACAGGTGTGGCTAATTTCATAACCATGAGAGTGACTAGTTACTTGAAGAAGCACCCTTTGCACATTTTGATATATAGTGGAAGCACACATAATTTCTTAGATATCTAGATGGCTAAGCAATTTGGTTGCAGAATTGAGGATAGAGAGCTATTAATGGTGACTATAACGGATGGCAGCAAGCTCACCATTTCTTAAGTAGTAAAAAATTTCACTTGGACTATACAACAAACAACTTTCACTTTTGATGTGTTTTTTATTCCACTTAGGTGTTGTGATCTGGTTTTAGGGGTGCAGTGGTTGGTTACATTGGGTGATGTCACATAGAATTTTGATAAATTGACAATA